GGTGGTACAAATGCGAGTTGTTCAGGAGCGATTTCGAGGGAATGCATCCTACATTGAGACAGGTACCACCAAGGGTGCCACGCTTTTCAATACAGGCAACCTAAAGAATCGTCGTTTGTTAATTCACAGAATAGCTATCAGTAGGTTCAGCATCGATGACCTTACCTTCATGCCCTCTTGACCTGCTTTGATAGCGGCAACGTACCCAGCGACACCACCACCGATGATAACGAGGTCCTTCTCCTCTGAAAAATGGTTAGCTCTAGATACACGCCATGTTCGGAAATGGCTCGCCAAAATGGTATTCACAGACCTGAGGAAGAGGCGTAGCCACGGGTCCATCGTGACAATCCTGGAGACGAGATGACGGTTGGCAACCTGAGAAGACACGGTGGTTAGAGGGCTGAATTGATTGCAACGATTCCTAGGGACGACCATGGATGACGCATCCCAAGTGGAAGCTCCAAGATCAGACAACTTACGAGGAATGCTGCCAGGACGACGGCCTGACCGCGACCCTGGATACAAGACGGCTAGTGAGCATCTTGAGGCACCGATATGCAAATTATGGTTAGTCAATGGGTGCCGGATGAAAGGCGATGGCGACGAGAGGGAAGGTTGAGGTTTTGAGACACAGGAGCGTCGTCGGAGAGCTCCTGCGAGGCTTTGCGGTAAAACGGCAGGGTGGCGCCGGAACAGCTGGTAATTTTTCTTGGGACCCGGCGCTTCCCTCAAAACGTTGGGCTAGGTAACTGCTACCTCCCCAGGTGGGCATGGTAACGCCTACCACGTACCTGTAGGCACAAAGGTGAGGTGTCCGGAGTACCTCCACATAATCCACGAGGCGAGGGCTGACCAATGAGGAGGCTCTGAGTCGGTTGTCCTTACTAAAAATGAATAATGCCTCAGGACAAATGCCGAGCCACGAGCCGTACAATTCCGCCTTGAGGCGACCTTAGCCGCGCCAACATCAAAGTCCGAGAAACCAGAGACAAACGATATCAATGTACTAATACTGAGTTTCCTGATACACAAAAGTCAATGAATGTTATACCTAAGTATTCGGTAACTTTGCAGCCTGAGAAGGGTGAAGCAAAGTCTGCTGGCAGGATTCTACCAGGAAAAGAACCCCCCTTACACAAACAGCAGAACCATCCTTTACGTACAAGTGTCTGTGCGCCTGACTTACCTAGCTAGACATTTCTTTCAGACTTAACCTTCTAAAGTTTTATAAATCGAGATGCTTGTGCTAGGACGTCATTCTGCAGAAGATAATAATTGGATCAAAATTCACGAATTACGCCAAACCGGAGTTAGCGCGTACCGCAGTATTCAATGGCCAGCCTTTATTACTCGAAATATTAGCTGTCGAGCCGCCTCGTGGGCTAGACCGTAATCCTTAAATTGTAAAGATTCGTACATCATCTGGCGTCAAAATGATCCTTTACCTGAATAACATAGAGTACATTATTGCTTATCCCCGTCTGACCCTTGGATAGCGGCTTGTGCTTTTGTTCTCACCCGTTGAATCGCCTTGGTCTCCTTGTTCCCAATATACTTGGACTTGCGGACTTTTTTCCTCAAAAACCAGTGGAGATTGGCTGCCAGAGCAGGCAGCTCGCTGGCAGCGCCGAAGATACGCTTCACCTTCAGATCTTCACTGGTCTCTTTCCTTCTGCATTGCCGTAAGAGACTTAGAAGAAACAACTCCACAAATAACGAGGCCCATACATTTAGTTCCGGGAGGTCAATGGCTTTGAAGATGCTAATGCCAAGGGCGCCGTTAGCCACAAGTGAGGCGTAGAATTGGGCAATGTTGCCCAGCCGGCTTTCGTTTTTGAGTCTTTCCCCTTCAGTAGTCTCTTCAGCTTCCTCTGAACCTTCGCCGAATAGGGATTCGCCTAAGCTTCGAAATATTTTCCAAAGACGATCTTGAAATGCGAATCGTATTCGGCTGTTCACACAAGCTTGCCCCCCCACCAAGGCATAGTATTCATTGTAATCTGGTTCGCTTCCAACACATTGCACCAAAACTCTGGTTATTTCAAGCTGATCATCCTTTTTCAATTTCAAACCCACAAATTGGCGATGACCATGTTCGTAGTTAAGCCCCGACATGATGGCTGTAAATATGGCAATCTGGGCACCTGTATGGAGACCTTGTGCCTTTGCCTTGCTTGGATAATCTGGCAGAACAAAATCCATGTCCTCATCGTCCGCTGCATCTTTGAGACCACGGTTTACTTCCTTGGAGATCATTCGCGCTCTTTCTTCCGCATCACGGTAGGTCGGAACACTGGCACCAACTAGCCACCATTTTCCATGCTTGTCGACGCTTTCAGTATCTTTAAGTCCAATACCCATTGGCGCTAGACCATCCAGCCGTCTTGACTGTGACTTCAGTTCTCCAAGGCGTTTTTTCATCCGAAGAACATGCTCGGACACTATGGTAGAGTCCGTTCCTTTAGCACTCGGCTTGTTATTCTTCAAGTCCTGGATTGTTTCAATCATGAACTTTGTGCGTGCTGAGACGTTCGTATATCCAACGCTGTTCACAGCAGAGCTTAAAACGGTAGAAACATGCTTGAGCGCTTGAGGGTCATCTCTTCGTAATAGCCTTCCAGCCATTCGACAGACCCTGAGTAGCAGTTCAACGTTCAGTTCGGACAGGTTGTCTAACAAAATTTCCATGTAGTCGAATACAATTTTGCAACTGACGACTTCGAAGACGTAGAGCTGCGTAAGAAAGGTCAGGAAGTTGGCAGGTTCCTTTTTCAACGCGTGCTGACTGCTATCATGGTCTGCGGCTTGGCCATAATATTCACCAAACTCCTTCACTATATTTCGCACGAGATGTGATCCAAAGCTGGAACCCGTAATTTTGTAAACTGCGGCAGAGAACCCGCCGATCAAGACGAAGAATTGGTCCGGCAGACTTTCTTGTTTGCGCAACTGTGACAAGATAGCATCAGTGAGAATATCAGTGACTTCCGCGCGGGCATTGGATTGGTATAACTCTTCGACAGATTGCACAATCCATATAAGGTTGGCGTCCGTCAATCGATTGATCAGGCCTCGAACTTGTCGTTGTAGCCGAGGCTGGGCATGTTTCTCTGATTCTGTATTTTCATGGCGTCGTGCTAATGGAACATACTTTGCAGCCGCTTCTCCGTTGGTAGGTGCGATGTAAGGATTCTCTCTTTGCGGTTGTTTGTAACTTGCAAATGCGTTTTGGTCGGAATCAAGTCCAATGGTGGCGTCGTCTTCATCTATACCAGATTCATCTATATCAGATGCCTCCGGTGAAACGCTTTCAGTCATATCCCGCGTCGGAGCAGACCTGACCCTAGAAAGAGAGTCTGAAACGGGTTTTGAAACAGGTCTGGACTCTGTCTTTCTCCTCTTTGAAGATAACCAGTCATCGTAGACAGATTTTCGTTTCTTCATATCATCTTCACTGCCGGCAATATCCTCACCCGTCTCGCCAATTAGTTCCTCCAAGCCATCCTCCTTAAACGCTTGTGGTAGAGATCGACGACCCTTTTTGATACCAAGCTTCCTCTCGAAATCTTCAATTTCGGCATCATCCTGGGCTAACTTCTCAAGGTGTATCTTTGATAAGCCTCCTCGATTCCTCGTATTGGGAGTTGTATCTGCTGAATTTTCACCGGACGAGTCCTCCCACTTCTCCACTTCTTCAGTGCTATATTCCGAATCGCTACTTTCGTCAGCATCTGATAAAATGTCGTCTACCTGGTCCACGTCTGAGAACTGAGATGCCAAAACCCGAGGCACTGGAGACAGGGTTTGCCTGGGACGAGATGCAGAATTACCCTCTTTTCTTTTCATCACGGGCTTCGAAGGATGGCTAGAGTGCCTCTGGGATTTTTTCTGCGTCCTTTGAAGCCTGCGATTTTCCTTGCGTGTGAGGGAGTGGGATGAGCCATAATGTCGATGGATTGCCGCTCCTCCAGGTTGTTTCTGTTGGTGTAAATCGACGCCTATGCGCTTGAACAGTTTCTGTTGCAGGTCTGTAATTGAGCCTGCTGGCATTTTGAGCAGATTGCCTCCAAATGATCCCAGAACAGGCCGCTTCTTTGTGCGTAGTGCTCTCGTATCACTGAAATAAATAGAAGACGGATGCGTGAGAATCGCAGGTCTGTTAACTGAGACCTGTAGTGACAAAGCTTAGGCAGATGACGATGCTCAGGGAAAAGATAGAAATGAAATGTCTGGTATTAACAAGCAGACTCTCTCAGCGGAGGGAAGCCGTTTGCTTGAAGAAAAGTTATGGGGAGTTATTGGGGGGGGATGACAGAAAGAGCTAGATAAGTCTGCTGAAAAAATAACAATAATAATAAAGACGGTCAAGACTTGTTTTCAAGCAAGAGATCGAAGCAAGACAGCTGTGCGTTCTGTCTACGGTCCAACTTCAAGCAGAACATCGACATCTAGGAACTGGTGAATAAGGGAATAAAAAATATATATGGGGCCCGCCACAACTCAACCTCAACCCAGCCCCATGACCTAGGCACCCATTGGTCGCCCCACATTGCACAACATTGCAAGCCTCGATGGGCATCAAGCTGCTGAACTGGACTGCCACTCAACTCTGCAAGTTGTTCACAACTCCACGAACAGATGCGCATCTGTAGCTGTTGGCTTCTCGGTGCCGTGGGATTTTATAATGGACTCTGATAAACTAAGCCAAGATGAGGTTAGTGATCTGCACTTCACTCAAAACTCTAAGCTTCCTCTGCTGGACAAAGCCATTCGACTAACCCCGCAGAGCAGTTTTTCTCCAAACTTGACGAGCTCTTCACAAAAAGGAAAGGGGCAAGTCATGGGGCGGTTTATTTAACTCAAAAGCGCTGTAAGTACAGTATTCTGCGCCTTCACTGATATGGATCTATACTCCCGTTCTGGCAGCCTTCTCTTATGAACCTTTTGATCGTTGACCCTAATCATCTATAGTAATGAGGCATACAGAAGAAGATACCATGGGAAATGATGATGCGGTATCTGATAAGCACCCTAAAGGTCCCATGCCCGTTCTCATCAGAGCATCAAATGGGAAATCAAAACGAAACAGATCTGACAAGATCAAGATGTCGACAATAGTGGAACCACAGGATCTTGACAGCTTTTACACCCGGTTTGCTGACATTTGCAAATCTGGAATGGTGGCACTGAAGCCTAGGGATCGAAGCAAGAAGAAGGCCAAAGCAAAGAAGAAGAAAGCCGCATCGTGAAATCATTTGTGCATTGTTGGCCGCAAGCCAAATTGAGTCTCTGTCCCAAGACCGGTAATCAGGTGCGGCTACCCTGCATGTGTCTACGAGGGGCATCCAGGCAACGTGGGGAAAGGGATGTCAAGCAAGAAGAATTATGTTTGGTATGAATGAATACATAGGGTCTGAGAAACCTGTTGCCATATTGCAACATGAGACTTTTCCCAAACAATATTCATTTTGTGTTCTTTTTTTCTAGCGGGGTGCAGTGAAAGTCTCCATGCCAGCAAGCATCCAGTGGAATACGGTGTAGGCGAAGGGTCAAGTATCAACTGGGTGAAACACCCAATATACTCCATAGGGATTCACTGTTGAGATAATTCCGCTATCACTTATTACCGTGATTTGACGAAGACGGGAATAAACAATATAAGCAGAGAAACTAAACGGTAGGTATTTAATATCAGTGCATTAGCGAAATATATCTAAACTTATGTGCTTGAATCGCAATGGACCGGGCGAGCACATCTGCTCCTCACCCATCTCCCATCTTCAATCACTGGGAATGTAGATTTTGATCGACAAACTCCATACGAGATGTATTACTGTCTGATTCATCTATGAGATAAGATAGCAACCCCGTCTCCCGAGGCAGATAATACCATCTGGTTCAGAGTTTCCAGATTCACGCCTAATTACAATCACCCCTGTTAAACCACATTGCTCGTTATCACTGCTACACTCTTCATTTGCGTACTAGCGTCAACACCATCTGGCGTGGAAATGTGACTGTAACGACACTGCTCACTAATCTCAACTCATTCAGAGGAGAGCCACCCCCATTTCCACGCAGCATAGACTATACTTCATCCAACTTTTGAGATTATCAATTTGCGGAAAGATCGCCCCCCCCCCCCCTAGAATACCGTGAAGTTCTTGGGTAATTCGCAGTGCAAATCCGATCGCGAAGGTGTGATCCATGACCTATTTCCGGACCACAGCCATTTGAAAATCCTACCGAGATATCTGCACTAATCGTCAATCGTCCTTGCCTACATGATCTGGTCCTGTGTCAAGCCACCATGGGTGTCTGTTTCCATGCTCTCGCCACTAGACTGATTAAGGTACTTGACAAAGCTCAGGTTGAGAGGACGACCGCCGTATTGGTAACCTTGGAACTTGGCAATCGCAGTTTCTGCAGTTTCTGCAGTATCGAAACGGACGACACCTGTGCCTCTAGACCGACCACTAGGTTCATATTGTATTTCAGCCTGTTCCACCTTGCCAATTGTGGTGAACAAGTCAACCAAATCGTCGTTGCTCGTGGACCATGGAAGCTAGTGACAAGTCAGCTCTGGGATTCCTGTCTGGTTTTCCATGGTTCGTTGCCGGCTCACATTTCGGACGTAGATTGTCTCGCCCTTCTCAGTTCCAGCAGTAGCACCATCTGTGAATGGATTCGGGGCCACAGCAGTGGCGGCGGCTGAGGCATCGAAGTTCGCACCACCACCAGAAAAGCCTCCACGACCGCTGAAACCGAAACCTCCACGACCGCCGCCATAACCTCCACGCCCGAATCCGCCGCCAAACCCGCCTCTCATACCGCCTCCGTAACCGCCGCGTCCCGAAAAGCCCATACCGCTAGAACCAGCGTATCGGTCTTCACGGACTTCGAGCATTCGTCCTTGCCAGTCATACCCGTTGAATTGCTGAATAGCATTCCGAGCATCGTCGGGATTCTCAAACACAACAATGCCGGAACCTTTGGGACGACCATCAGGGCCGATGTGGACATCGGCGCGAATCACACCACCCACACGCGCTAGCGGGTAATACATGTTAGAAGAGGAGTTTGACCACTGAGCATGATGCCCAATTCTCAACTTACCTGCTTGTCGGAAAAGGTCTTTCAAATCCTGCCACCCGATGTTGAATGGAAGCTGCCAAGAGTTAGTCTGGCAACGCAATATTTTCGTTATCATCATTTTAGGAGAAACAGACATTAGCTACGTAGATCTGTCGGCCACCTGCACCAGGAGGACCGCCATAACCGCCTTGGTTGTTGAAGCCGCCTGACATCCCCCCACTAAACCCACCGCGGTTGCCTCCGGTGGCACCAATAAATCGTGGCTCAGCTTCACGATCCTTGATTAAGATTAGTCGAGTTATGCTAACTTAGGTATCAAAGAGACTTACCTCTCGAACGTAAACTAGGCGTCCCATCAAGTTCTGGTTGCTAAGTTGAGCAACGGCTTGCTGAGCCTGTTCTCTCGTTGCATATTCCACAATTCTATGACAAACCGTAAGCCTTTCGTCGTCATCTCAAACAAGTCCACAATGCCGGCGTAAAATACGTACCCGCATCCCTACAATCATCCAGGACATCGTCCAAACCCGTCAACCCAGCCATCCATCAAGAGCCAGCGAAAGGGAGTGTGCCAAACAAGAGGAGAAACGGAGAAGGGAGTGAGAAAAGAAAAGGAAGGAAAAAACCAGCCAAAGACTATGTGATAAAGCCCACCTTCGACATTCCATTAGGAAGAAGGAGCACATCAGCGAAGAGCACTTCTCCAGCTATAAGAAAAACAGACCGTTAGATGTCCTGCGCTTGCGTCAAAGTCGTGGTCCACATACCCTGTCTCATGAAATCTTTGAGATGATGCCATTTCACATCGTAGGAAAGATTGCCGACATAGACACGGCGGTCTTGCTGTGAAGTTTCCCGAATGTTGGTCATCATTTGTTCCCTTGCCGCGGCTCGCTCTTCATAAGATCGATGCGGTGCTTGTCCGCCGTAACCTGCGCTGGATCCTCCGCTAGGGGCACCTGTTCCAGTCATGGGCGAGCGATCACGGCCACGACGATAATCGTCCCTACTATTCGACCTGCTACGAGGCGAGAATGAACGCCTGCGTGATTGTCGACCCGGGCTTCTGGAGCGTCGGCGGGGCGATCGGGACCTCTCTCGCTTTGCCCAGTTAGTACGAAGGCTGCAATGAACAGATGGATTATGACGGATGGATTGGGGGGCGATTGAATGAAGGCTATGGCAGGGTTTTATGCGAAGTAAGCCACGTAGGAGTGCGTATTGCACCTATGGGCTTGAACATAAGGAGGAGAGTGCCTTCCAGCCCCAAAACATATCGGCACTGCGTAAACGACCTCTTCTAGTCTTGAGGGGGCTACCAAGGACGCCCGAAGAGGAGGCACTGCGCTGAGTTCTGCATGGAGTGGCATTTGGTGGCGGCAAGTCCAGAGAGAACAAGAGGTCAAATAGTTGCAAAGGCATACAGTTGAGGGGTAAAAGCAAACACAAAGAAATAGACGGGAAGGCCAAAAAAAAAAAAAAAAAAAAAAAAAAAAAAATTAGCTATGCGAGGGTGTTAGATATTCCAGTGGACAGCACTCTTGAGGAAGATGAGACGGAGACAAGATGGTAGCCAGGGATTGAGATCCAAAGACAAGAGTAGCTTGGAAGAAGAGTGTGGGGTTTGTACCAGAGAGAATGAGTTCTGGCAGGGAAGTAGGCAGGACCGGAAACATGCAGGTAAGCGGGCTTGTGATAATGCAGTGTACGGGGAAGGGCCAGCAGACCAGAAGGTTGTTTGTGCCAGTGTGTATCTTGGTGTGGAGGACAGTGAACACGTTACAGCAGGCAAGAAGAAATTACATCAACTGTGATGCGTGATGGTGATATGTGTGTAAGGCGTGCCGGTTACAGCCGATCGGCAACAAGGCTGAAGGGTTCGTATGGCAGGAAGAGGCGTTAAGTAAATACGTGACGCTTCGGAACAATGTGCTTGTGTGTGGGTAGACAACCAACGATACGGCCAGAGAATATCTGGTGGCCGTGGAAGGTCGTAGACAACAAGAACAGCGAGAACAGCTTGAACGGCGTGGACGGGGTAGGAGAGGTGCGGGCAGATACAAATGTGTGGCAGAGGGGAGGACATACCCATGACAAAAGTCTAAGCGTTGTGAACAACGAGGCTCTGTGCCCAAAGCTCGGTGAAAGGCGAGCGGGTGTCTCAACAGAGGGAGGGTAGGTCAAGCCTGGTTGCGGTTGCGGACACTGAGCGGGAATATGACGAAAGACGGACGAGCACTGTGGTGAGGAGAAGACACTACAGTCAGCAAACAACAGAGTCGCGCATAAATGCAAGATGGATGCAGCAAAGTCGGAATCGGGATGGTGGTGGCGCGACGGTTGAAGGGGGGTGGGAGGACGATGGGGTAAAGCTTCCCAGAAGTGCCAGAGCAAGTTGGCGAGAAAGAAAAGACGCGCCTCCAGCTCCAACGAGGGGGGAATCAGGCAGCGAATGGGATTGCAAAGGAGCAAGACGACAAGGGGGTCAAGCTGCAAGCTACCCTACCTCAGGTACGAAGTACAAAGCTTGGCCTGGAATCAATCCACTTGGGCAAGCAGGAAAAAGTATTGGAAAGGAAAGGAGGGATAGCACAGGGGCTGGATGAGGAATTTTGTCAAGTCTCGTCGCACTCGAGCTTGCGAAAGGTTGGGTGCAGGAGTTGGAACAAGCAGCGATTGAATGTGGATGGGCCAGCCGCTCAAGCCTGAGGTGCGAGTTTCAAGGGAGCAATGGGGCTGGGCTTACCGCTTACCGGTCCGGTCAAGTCGGAAACAAAATGCACGTTCAGTGTCTGGTTGCTGCATCGGCTTCAAAGCCGTCGTCGAGAGAGTGCTGTCGGCGGGAGACAAGGCGTGGCTGAGACTTGCAGGCCCGGTTGAGCGAGTGCAGTTGATGAGAGATGAGAGCAGGATATCAAGGTCGTAGTGGAGTCTCGAGTCTAGAGCGCGACGCAGAACGGGGGGGGGAAGGGGGTAGCCAGGAACAAGACCATCTCGAGACAGGAAGAGCCTGGTCTACGGAGTACTCTGGCCAACCTCGTAATGAAGTACCAGGTACGGGGTACATGGCCAGGTACCGTACCTAGTACCCAGTGCTTTCAATGGTTGGTACCAGTAATCAATAATTGACACCCAAGTTGATGCAGCGGGCTCAGACTTGTTCTCACCCTGAGCGTCACTGGTGTCAAGCATTGATGATGGTTTGCTGGGCTTGGTCTTTCAGTGGTGCTTGGCATCTGTGTTTAAAAAAAAAAAACCCTTCGTCTAGCGAAACATGCATTGTCCGTTCATAAGACGCGGTGATATTCTACGCAATTAAATAAATACATTAACCTGCTGCAAGAAAAGAGAGGTCTTGACTCTAGCTCGGGCAGCCCAGGCCGCTACTTGAACACCAATGTCGTCATGTACCCGGACATTATGATAATGGCAAACCAACCCTCGTTGCTCCATGTCCGTATGGGATGCCAAACTCACCAGTCCTTCAACGTACAACACACCAACCCGATGGATGGCATTGGGGAATGTCTCGTCACCCTCGCTTTAGTCAACTGGCAGTGTAGCAACAACTCCGTCGGTGCATGTGTGCTCCGCATATTGCGTCGGCTGGGACTTTCAACGTTGATGCTGTTCGGGACACGAGAGCGAAAAGCTTTTCAGCCCCCAGTACACTGGATGCAGGGGCTGTGGTGACTGTGGGAATCAACCGCTGAGCATTGGGACAAAGAGGTGCACGACTCCACCGAGTATCTTAATCCCTCGTAAACCGGTTATCGAGCGTTTTTGTGACATTGTATGCATGTGCTTTAGTGCTACAGAAACGTAAGCACAGTGAAGACAGAGAGGCTTGCTCCTAATAGAATACGCCGAGAATAGCATTGAAATAAGTCTCCTCCAAGGCTTCGTGCTGCTTCGCTAGCCATGGGACGTACGGAGTACGGAGCACATAATAAATAACTCTACCTTAGGTACCTACCCTACGATCTACATACTTACCTACCAGGTCGGTGCGAATGCAAATAGATACTGATCAGCCCATTAGACAGTTGGCGGCAATAGAAATCGGTCCATGTTGCGGAGTAGAGGGTTACCTCCTGGATCCAAGCACTATTGCGAGCCAAGGAGATTTTTTTTTTTATATATAGTATTTCGAGTAAATTTTACCATTGTGTGAGCTCTTGGGAGGACAGTGAAGGAGTCGAACGAAACAAAAATCAAATCGGACCGTCTTATCAGACACCTTCGCCCTCTGGCTCGAAACGAAGGCGGCGCCAAGTATTGTCTGGCCAGGTTTGCTCAAGTAAATTTGAAGGCACGGTGTGAGAACTGGCAGTCGAGTGTTCACAACCCACTCCCACCACCAGCGCCGGGGTCTGTGTGGCCGGGAACGATTTTGTATCGAGACTAGTAGGCCGATCTACGCCTGCCACATGCCATCGAGCAAACCTCTGAGATCATAGCGCAAAACAGAAACACGAATACATTGCGTGTCTTCTCGCCGATATCTAAAGTTGTTCCTCTTTTGACTTGCATTTTTGATTTATTTTTTGTCTTTGGCCCACTGCTATGCAAAATCTATGCCAATGATGCGGGCAACACCGATGCGACCGACCTTGCTCCCGATTGCACGACTAGTGACTCGATACACCTGCTTTACCCGAGCGAGCTTCCACTCACACGAGCATCCTCCATCAGCGAAGTCGTTCGGTGACGTGGAAAATGCTATCCTTTCCGCGGCCTATCAGCATGTGCCGGAACACGGCTTCTCTCACAGCGCCCTGAGCCTCGGAGCGCGCGATGCTGGTTATCTCGACATCAGCCCCAGCGCCTTGTCGGACGGCGTGTTCAGCCTAATACAATTCCACCTTGTCCGTCAGCGACTCGCTCTTACAGAAAAAAGCAGAGCGTTGTTTGATGCAAGTAACACGAACATTTCCGGCAACGGGATTGGATTCAAGATAGCTACATTAGCGTGGGCCAGACTTATGGCAAACAAGGGCATTATTCACAGGTGGCAAGAGGTATGATTCTCTTTCTCTACTGTGCTTCACTATTTGCTTCGCAATTTTCTTCTTGAAGTCTCTATAACCAGGCTGACACTATGTTTTGCAAGGCACTCGCCGTAATGGCCCAGCCGAGCTACGTCCCAGCCTCTCTGAAGGAACTCGCCATGCTCTCGGACGAGATGTGGTATCTAGCTGGCGACAAAGCAGTAGACTCCTCCTGGTACACCAAAAGAGCATCACTTTCGATGGTATATAGCACGAGCGAGCTATTCATGACAAACGACAAGTCGCCGGGCTTTGTTGATACACGCAAATTTTTGGATAGAAGGCTAGAAGAAGTGACGACAGTGGGAGGATTTGTTGGAACTCTTGGGGCTTGGGGTAGCTTCACCATGAATGCAGGTGTCAACGTCTTGAGAAGCAAGGGCATGAGGGTATGATGTACAGAACATCCGTCTTCCGACTGGGATCTATTTTTGTATTATATTTAGGCCATCATGAGTCTTGTACAATATCCACTGAAAGACTGCTATATCACGCGGCCATCACTATGGCCCTTTTGCAGCTTTTGCACCCCCTTCTCAAGGCTTGCGGTGAGATCTCATAGTCTATTGGCTAATACTAGTCCAGGAATGTGACTATCAGACTCCCAAAGCCCATTAGACTGTTCCGGCAGAAAGTACTACATCAATAAACGGCAAGGACAATTGAACGGCTTAGTTAAACCAGCGTCCGCTGTCGGGGATCCGTCAACCTTTGGTGTTATTGTTAGCATTTATGCTCCTCATTTGGCAGCTGAAGCGAAGAACGCACCGAATAATTTTGACGTCCTTATCAAGTCTGGCTCGTCCTTCAATTGCATTAGGAGTGATCAATATATATTGCCGCGACACAGAACGACGAGCCGCATCCACCTGGTTGTGCTGATTTTAGCCTCATTGTTATCATGTTCCTGGACCTCGGGGGAAACCCAAGAGAGAGATCAAATAACTCACCAGCATGTTGGTACTTATAGCTCTGTTTACGTTGTCCATGAAAACATCGAATTCGTCCAGGCACCGGATAGGGGAGCCAATCGCCTCCCAGACTGACAAGAGCATGCAAATGGAAGAGAAAGACTTTTCGCCGCCAGATAGAGTCTTGGTATTTCGGCCTGCGGAGCTTTTCTTGGTTTCATCTGGCTCAATGTGAATAGTGACTTTTCGCCCCCGATGATCGAGGTCTATTTTACCTCGAAACCCACGTTCACTGAGGAGATAGTTGAACTGGATTCGTATGCGAGCGCTGATTTGTCTTTGGAACTGGCGCCATAGGTGAAGTCGGTGCTCAATGGCGCGTTTCATCAACATTATCGTTTCATCCACATCTTGTGTCTGTCTCAAAACACTCTCGTATTTTATGCTGGCTTCGTTGGCTCGATCGTATATTTCCTGATCGGTCGCTCCGATCCGGGCCTCGCGCTGTGCAAGCTGTTCACCGATTTTTTCGTACTTTTTCTCGATACTTTGGTGGTCCTCGCCATCCGGGATGTGTACACGACCGGGCGCTACCTCCTCAGCTTGTCGAATGAAATCCTGAACTTGTTCAGCCTTTTCATCACGTTTCGACTCCGCTCGGTTCAGCGCAGCGCGCCCCATATCGACTTGTTCGAACTCGTGGTTTTTTTTAGATACAGTTATTCTCCTCATCGAATTATAGCTTTGAATCTTCGTGTCTGATTTACTGACACGATTTTGAAAGTCTTTCTGCTCGTCCCTTGCCGCATCGAGCTTCTTTTTTGCTTCCTCGGCTTTGGCGCCGAGTTCTCGCTTTGATAGTTTGAGACTCCCATATTGATTGCCAAGTTGAGTTTCCTCTGTACGCTTGGCACTAAGCTCAGACCGTAGCAAATCTAGACGGTCGTCCACACCTTCAAAGGTGTCCAACTCTTCTGCCGCTTTCTCTATATCAGCCTGAGTCCGACGAAGGTCGTTTTCAAGCGCCTTCATATTCTTTTTATGCTTCTCCAGTTCCTGCTTAGCCTTTTGTAAAGCTTGTAGTGCTTGTCCTTCCTCTGCCATCAGGTCTCTAAGCTCAAGTCCAAGTTGCTTTAAATTGTCCTTTTGCATAGCTAGTTGCCGAGCAGCATCGGATTGCATCCGTGGTCTCATGCCCGATGGGATCGTTGGAGCGGTCCCTATTGTGCCAGCTCGATTGGTGATTCGCAAACCTTGTCCCCTTTTTCCTTTTCCATCGTGGAAGCATATGCAGGCAGCGACGTTCCGGGGGGGACCACTGTCAATCATGACGGCCTCAGCCTGAACTCGATCCTTTATGAGAATGACTTTTTCGATTTGATGATTAATGATTAACTGTGACCGAACAAGTTCATCGTCGAATTCCAACACGCGCAAAATTGTGTCGTATTCGTCTGCAGGTTCTTGAGATGCGGTGTCAATCCGACCTCCGTACGCAATGTACACTGGTGGAGGCCTTTTCATGCCAGACTGACGAATTAAACTTGATAAGCGAGATTGGTCCCTTTTGCTCCTTACGACAAAAGCATTGAGGGCGTCACCTAGTGTCTTCTCCAGAATACCAGACCATTCTGGCTTGAGCAACTTGATGTGGGCGCCCAGAGGTCCCAGTGGCTTGCTGCCAAAACCCGAATCTGCTGCAACAGCTTTCACCAGCTGTATAATATCGCGATCAAACCCATCATAGATGGATCCCGTACTCTTCTCAAGCTCCCTCACCCCTTGTTCCGCAGCCACAATGTCCTTGCGCTTTTGCTCTTTAAGCTGCTGATGTCTCTTCACGGCATGCTCAATTTCTGCAATCTTGGATTGCAAGCTAGGAAGTTGTTGAGTGCAGTCCTCAATCTGGTCATTCAGCTCTGCCTCACGGGCTTGTGCTCTCTTATGCTCCGCTTCCTTTTCAACCCTAGCAAACCCGGACGACGCAACGAGTTTTGCTTCCTCTTCCCGAATCCTTGTCTCGTATGTTTCAATGTCAGCTTTGACCGCCTTCAGCCTTGCAAACGCGTCTCGTTCTTCAAGGTGCAGCTCCGTCAAGTCTTTTTTCGCTCCAGTGTAAATGCCCTCTGCAGACGCAATGGATTCCCCAATCGCCCTGTATTCTTCATTCAGTCCGTTCCGTGTTGCCTCTGCACGCTCAAGTTTCTCCGTGATCTCATCCAGTGCTCTTGACAACTCGTCACAGTTCTTTTCCAACTGGATGATCTTTTGCTTCCGTGTTTCCAACTCAGCATTTTGGAGTTCGAGTTCTTGTTCTCTTTCAACAACCTGTGACCAGACGAGTTGATTGCGATAGTGTCGAGCCCTTTCTCGTAGGGTGTTATTCCTTTGCACAGTCTCTGCTAGTCTTTGAGCGTCCTCCATCTCCTTCTTAACGTGGGCAATCTTCTCGCTCAAATCGTCTCTCAGAATGATTGTTCTGTCCAGTGTATCTTGTGACATTTTGTAGTCGTTATCAAGTTGTTCTAACTGGACACCAGAGACAAAATATTTGTATTTCTGAGCCGGGGTAGCAGAGTTGAGAAATTGTCTGGCGTTATCTTGGGAAAGAACAGTTAGTGGGTTTCCCATCTGTAGGGCATACCATTCGGATATCTCGTCCACTTCTTGCTTCTTGGTAGATATAATACGGCCTTGCTCATTTTTTATCTTGAAACCACTGCTTCCAGACTTGGAAAAGTGACGCTCAACAAGAATAGAGTCCCCGTATATATCAGGCTGGTAGGCATCCGACCCAGCATTCTTTATTTTGACAACAAGGCTGCCATGATCTTGACCTTCCTTCACAAATGACTTCAAGCTTCCGCCTCTATTAGTGTCGCTCGCCTTGCCTCCAAGGCAGAGAGTCAGTGCCGTCAGAACTGCGCTCTTGCCGCTGCCGTTTTCACCAACAATGAAGTTGATCAGGGGGCCAAGCTCCACATGTAATCGCTCGTGGCACATGAAGTTATAACAAGTAATGCTCTCGATAATACCACTTTCCGCAGCCATGTTCTGAACAACGTTTGTCGGGCGCCGTCTAAGTTTCTGCGTAGCTTGAAAATCATCTTTGTCTGTATTTTGAAGATGTTTGAAGCCAGCGTCACGCATTATTTCGTACTGCGTTTGGGGCGGGGAGTTGGGTATGTCGGCGCCGTTGTCTACATCATCATCGTCTTCTTCTTCTTCAGAGCTTGATCCGTCTTCGCGCGTTGTTGTTCTCGGAGTGCTATCATGGGTGGCTTCAAGAGACATTCGAAGTCTTTTCGTCTGTACAATGTGTATCAGTCCATGAGTCCGCTCCGCGAAAATAACAAATATGTCTCTTACCGTTTGAGAATCATTTGCTAGAGAAGAGCCGCCCTCAGTACTGTCAAGATCTCCACTCATGTCATCACTGTCCACGGCTATTCTCGCACGCTTCAACGGCGCCATGGTGACGACTGTTGTTCCCCACAAAGACTGGGCAAAGATCGCTCACTCAATGATTTTGTGCCGATAGGAATAGAGTCTGCTGTCTTGAAGAGTGGTTGCCAGCGTCGCGTTGCAGTCTGTCACTCTAAATGGTACCATGGGTAGCCGTAAGGTTGACCACAATAAAAGTGATGATCTCAACTGCAGAAGTTGCTGGGGGACGCGACTGGCGCGTCAGATCGCGGGGCAGGTACTCTGTACAATAAGCAATTAACCAGACAGCACGAGTGCATGCACAAAACCCACCAACCAAACACTTCAATGTTTCTTGTTGGAGGGATATTACAGATCCACTCCTTGGCTCCAAGTTTGCCAACACTGAACTTGACTCTGTGTACTGCCTCCGACCAGGTGCATAATAATAGCATCCTAGATCTCAACACGCCACTTGGTCACAGGCGAATGAATAGACTAGAAGCCACTTGCATACCGATGCCAAGTCACTTGTAAAAGTCTACTCAGACGGTTCAAGTAACCACGTGAGGTTATATATCTATTGATTCGCATTTGCGCTGGCAGCACCAAGTATTCTACAACATATCGGCCCCACAAATTTTGCCCGACCAAAACTTTGTCACATCTTGCCTCATGACAAGTTTGACAACTCATGGCCACCTCGGTGCTGCACGATATGTGAGACGTCATGGATGAGCAGTCGTCCTCAGTCCCCCCAGACTTCAACTCTGGCCGCGGACGAATTCCCGAAAATTACGTTGAATATGATTTGTTTCTTGTCCAGCAAAAGAAAGGGTGTCGAACGCTACTCCAGGAGCTGGAAATGCTTCGAAAGTCTGCCATCAATATTTGTAACACAGTTACGAAAGACCACATCTGGCAAAGAGATGATTTCCATCTGGAAATGAAATCATCCGAAGGTGTGTCTCCCCCGACATTGCCTAGACTCGTGTATTCTCAATTTTCTAACTCAATTCTGGCTTGATGTTGTAGGCATGACATATTTACATGGCATGACTGACTACGGCGATGCTATTGAGGATGAGTGGCTCATTGTGTACTTGCTACGCCAACTGACCCAATCGTTCCCTGACCTTTGGGTGCACGTTGCTGATGCCGATGGGGAATTTTTATTGATCGAGGCCGCCAATGTGCTGCCAAAATGGATTACTCCTGAGATGGACCAAAATCGGGTGTGGATTCACGACTCCAAGCTTTTAATCATACCACTGTCTTCAGCAGCCGACGCCCAACAAGAAGGGAATACCGCCAACATGACTTTGCGCAACGCGTTCGACTACCTGAGAACCAAGCCTAACGCGCTACTTCATTCTCCTTTGATTGAAGCGGAAGCCTTCTATCGTCTTGAGAAGTATCCCGACTACATACGCCATTCCACACATTACTCCCTAGTCACTATCCCAAGAAAGCTCGCATATATTCTGCACCTGATACCGAAATCTGTTTCAATCGCTGTCGAAATGTTCTATCTTCGAGATGCCGTTACAATGAAGTCAATCTCTTCCGCCTCTGCGCCGCTAGTATTCCCCCCTGAAGACTTTGTTACCACAAGCATTCACTTCACGAGGGTGCTTTTCGCGCAGCTCAAGTCGCAACGCCTGGACCCCCCTCCGAGATGGAGGGCTCTTATTAAAGATCGGTCGGAGGCATCTCCCTCAGATTTTCAGAAGCTAGCCCGACAAGATATGGGGATGAAGTTGACGTGTGGTTACGAGATGCTCTCGGTTGACGCCGATAAAAGTAGGCACCGAGTCGTCAGAGAGCTAGCTCTCTTGCTACGAGATCTAGCCGAAGACGGAGATGCTGGATTACCTACAGATCGTGACATGGAGTCTTGGTTAAATCATCAGCGTGATGACGCTGAAGATTGGATGGATATAAATTACCTAGATTTTGAGCGTGAGTTGGATGGAAAGCACCAAGGTACATCCAAAGAGGGTGGCTCAGGTTTCGGTGATCCCCAAGCACAAGACCATCTCAGGAAGATTGTATCACGTTTCGAGAATTTTCTTAGTGACAACAAGGCTGGCATAGATGGCGTCAATCTTGATGATTCGGATGGTAACGACAACGAAGACGCCGACGATAGTGATGGCGATGAAGACAGTGAGTTTGAGGATAAAGCTGTTAGCTTTGACGAGGAAGCTTTCCAACAAATGATGCGGGAGATGATGGGGATGCCCGAAAACGGCACAACAAATAACTGCGGTGTAGATGCTGGGGCATCAGACCTAACGCAGCAACCAATTTGTGAAGAAACCGAGAATAATCCCGATGACTTGCAGCAGCTTTCATCCGAAATGGAGGCTGAGTTGAGACGCCATGGGGCTCTGGATTTGAAATCAGAAACACCCAGGCATGTTAAAGCACCAGCCGCAGAGCAATGTCATGATGAGCAGCAGCCGTCCTCTGCTATCTCTACAGTTGAAGAAAGCATGGAGGAGCTGAATATTGACTATAACCTGGCTCAAAATATTTTGGAAAGCTTCAAGGGACAAGCGGGAATGGCTGGGCCAACTGGCAATCTCCTTGGTATGATGGGTTTCACGCTACCGAGAGATGAAGATGACAGAAGACGAGAAGATTGAGTATAAATCGGTATGCTGGACTCTTGCTTGAGGACCTACTGCACCCACAATAAAAAATAGCAGCATTGACAGCCGACTATTCCCTTCAGAATGGATGTGTCTCTCCAAATTTCCTCGCTAGACACTAGTCTGTCATATTCCTCTACAAAGGACTGATTGATCAGTAAGACTTTTTGCGCTTTGCAATGGGATGGGCTGGGCATGGATGTGGATGTAACTTTCTACCGTGGTCGTCCAAGTCGTCCAACCTAACTATCGCTTGCACCAGCCTTCGTCGAGCCGGGAGCTCCCGATCATCGCCGTCGACTGTCATTCTATAGTATTCCGTTACTATTGTAGTCACCGAATGATAGCAATCGTACAGCAGCCGCCGCACATCCACGTGCTGAAAGTCTTTTGCCAGGTGGATTGCCTGTCTTATTGCTTTGGACTCAACATGGCCGGTTTGATCCATCAAGCCATCCAACATGTCCGTATTTTTATGCCTGGTAAGCACAGATGTGAACAATGGGTCACCAAAGACGCTGTTATGCCAGTCCTGAATACCAATAACTCTCGGTGTATCCGGGCTCTGACGCGTGGTGATTGGCACCGGCACCGGCACAGGGCCATGTTCATTGCCCTTTTGTGCATTTCTGGCGGATCGATTTGCTTCAAACAGTGGTGCTGCTACAGTTTGAGGCTTCTCTGTTCCGAAAGATGTGTTGCCATGCCGTTGCATGGAGACCTTGAGGTCTTGCGTTGTGGAGTCGCTAGATGTGATGATATGGGTATTGGCGTATTCGCCAGCATCAAGAATCACCAGGCAAGGTACTGTCACCTCATCAAGTATTTTCCTGAACCGGCCGGCATGAAAACGAAGTCTGTCGTATTCTAAAGACAAGGCAACGTCTTCTGCGTCTCTCAATACAGATTCAAGCAGCGATAAGAAGGCGTCGGACCACCGAGCATATACGGCATCGTTCGTAACCTGTTCAGTCGGCACAGGTGAGAGTATGAGCATGGTGTGGTGAATACCAGCAGCCTTCAACACAGCAGAAGCGACCCCAAAGTGTCCATTTGGCGACTGGCAGGTAGATAATTCACGAATCAGCTGTCCAATTTGAAAATCGATACGCCTTTGTTGGGGTTTTGACAAAGTGTTGATCGCAGACGAAAGAATAGCTCCACCTGTCCGTGTTGTTAATAGGAACTCAACGTCATTCGGACACTTGACTCGGCCATGTTTAACGACTCTCGGCAAAGTCTTCTTGAATTGACAGGTGTGCTTGGACAGCTTAGCCTCGGCGTCGCTGCCTTTGGGAGCTTTCTCAAGCGCTTCAGGGTTCCTCTGTCGTTCTTTTGCTAAGGGACAAACATGACCACCAGAACCTAGCCACTGCAAGAGCATTGCTTCGGAGCTTATTGAAGCCTGTTCTGTTCGCAGAATCTTCGTCGAAGTGGGAACCAAGGTCAGTGTCAGTTGTTCCTCGTCGCTTGATGATGCAACGTAATGTACATGAAGTCTGTTTTCAGGTGTCAAATACAGACGTTTCAAGTCTACTGGATGAGCACCATCGAAACCAATGGCTTCCTGGAGTTCATCCATCCCTACTCTTCTCCTTTACAGGCGCTGAAACGGTGTGGCAACACAAAAGGACTTGTATCGGCCTCAAGATCTCCGATGTAGCACGTTGTGACTGTCGAGGCGGCCAGGCATCGAGCCGAAAGACCGAATAATCCGCTGGCCGTATTCCAGGTTGGCCCACTGCTTAATACTTCTGGGTGGTACTGCGGAGTTCGTTATATCGAGGCTCAGAAGGAGAGGTTCGAGGCGTTTTGAAGAGGAGCAGGACAAGTCCGGCCTGTTTGGCAAAACTCCATGAAAATGTTGGTTTACCAGTCCAGGAGATGGACGTGTGGATGGGCAAACGTTAATTGTTATCAGATTGTAAGCCGATCAGCAGCCAGGCAAGAGTAAAATCACGAATACTTCTTCGTATAAGAATTAACATAAAAGTTTGCTCAGTTGGCGAACAATTCTGATGAAATATGCCCAGTTGTAATGGGATACCCCGATGTGTACGAACCAACGCTGTGGGTCAGTTGATGCGAGAGACGCTGCTAGGTAAGCCCTCTCGCATATGAAAACTGTCAAAAATGGGTCTAAAGATGAGGAATGCCCTTCTGTCCTTTGCATGTATGTTCATGCGTATGTCTGTTTACGATTGACCGCTATCAGGTCTGTCCGACTACGGAGTAGACATTCCATGAAATCATGTGCCAATGCTGTCAAAGACGCACAGGCTGTGCCAGGGAGCGGTCGAGAATCGAGATGATGAACGGGGACCCTATTCGATATCCCATGTTTTGCGTCGTTTACCATGACCCATGCTACCGCCACGTTGCCGGTGTCACTTAAAGACAGGCCCCCGGTATGAATGGGGGCAAATCGGCCTCCATGTCCAGCGTTAATGTCTGGTAGTTCAATGTTATGTGTGCATCTGCATACGGAGTACTCGCGGCACTAGAATACTATACGACACGAAGGAAGACAACGACGAAAGGAGGGAGGGAGGCCCTCGATGGGCAGGATGTGGATGGGAACTTTTGAATTGGCCATACGGGCCAACAAGCTTCAACGGGTTAAATTAAGCGTTTGCGCTCAGCGCAGGTCTCAACGCAAGAGCCACAATATGCAAGATGGTCAATGACAGGTCGTATCGTTTCTGTGTTTTCTGCGCGGCTATCAGGACGTCTTTGCGTGTAGAGCCGAGTCAATCGTCATTCGCGCTGCCTGCCCTGTAGTTGGACCTGGTCATATTGGTCCGAGCCACCTGTGAACCACTTGTCGACGCCGCTTTCTTCCATTACATCCGGCAAGAAGATAACGAGGAGACATCATTGGATTGCTTCTAGCGAGCTTGCATCTTCCAGCAAGACAGGATGACCAGAGCGGCGTCATGATCCGCGAGAGTGGCGCACGGTGAGTAGATACCCATGTACCCGTCCAATTGCCGAGTCCTCAGGACGAGAGTGGGAAACCCTGCTTTTTAGAGATTGATACGCGGCACCAAGCAGGACAATGAGTGGACCATGGAACACTTTTTTTTTGCTTTGGGTTGAAACGAGCGTGGAGAAGGGTGTTGAGGAGTATACTGAGGCTATTGCCTAGTCGGGATAAAGTAGGCGAGCCAGATGTCAACGCATTGTGACATCCAACGCTTCTTGACACCGACAACATGTCACCCCAAGACAAGCTCCAAGCCTGTCAGTTTGTTGCTACGGTTCGGCCATCCGGGGTCAGGTGGTTGGGTTGAGGCACAGAGCTACACAGTACAGGATTATTAGTAGTGTCTGGCACAATAACAGTTGGGGACGGGACTGGTTCTTTGAAGTTCTGAACCTGGGCAGTAGCACCCCAGAGAACGGCCAGAATGTACACTTGAAAGTAGTACTCACGGAGCATACCGCAATTTGAACATTATTGTCCACCAGTCGATGGCGAACCCTGGTAGAATGACAGTCGGTGGTTGCTACTCCGAAGTCCATCGTCCGTTCGTCGGTCAACCTGACTGTTCGATAATTGGCCGTCTTAAGCGAGGCTTCTGCGGTTGCATTCCGCGGCCCACACCGCGAATTGACGCAATGACAGGGACTGGACTTCGTGCGGTAATGTGTAGGGCGCCTTTTTATATCATCTTCACCCATTAATAAAGCCAAAAGTTTGAAATATATGAACGAGAATTAGAGGTTAGCAGCTGAGATTCCTACGTGGCCTTTAATTGATTGCACCGTTGCATATATTCATACGCACAAGCTTACACGTTTAAGTCGGACACTTGCGCCAAATAGCATCACCGTCACCCCCTTAGGTATTCTCTATGACCAAGCATACCCTTGCAACAAGAGAATTATCCTTTCAAAATAAACACCTAAGTCGTCCCTGGCCCGAGGATTGTTCCTGGCTTCAAAAAATCACAGTAGCTACATAGGCAGTTAAATGCTAATACACCCCTGTTCTGAGACGGCGATCAAACGTTGAATACCATAAGCTCTTCATTCCGAATACTTCACCCTCTACCGTTCTGTTCCCGGCAGGCACATAAGTTCAGTCTTTCTTTCCTATGACAGGAGTAAGACTGTAAAGTTCATTCATGTTGTACCGCTTCAACTCCTCCCATTCCTTGCCGTCGACGACCGATATACCACAGAAAAGCTTTATACCGCGGTGTCAGCTCGAGACTGCGTGAGAACAAGAGAAATAAATGAGGTGAGGGGAGACTACACCGACCTGGAAGATTTCCACGAGGATCACCTTGTCCGGCTTACTCAGATTGACGCAGTGTTTGGCATCTATAAGACCTGCAATCTTTTGAATAACCTCACCCGATTTGAACGTGGTGTGATTACGAATGTTGTGTCGAATGGCGTACTGAAAAGGCGAAGTTGTACTTTTGTTAGTTGCTAAAACTCCATTGCTCTCACAAATTGTCAGATGCCACTGCATAGCACGTACCGTATAAGGGGGAGACGGAACAGCTGAAGGGGGTGCTTCTGTTTTATCTGCATCGCCTTTCTCTTCATCTTTTAATTCAAACCAAGGTGACAGCACGGCACGTGCCACCTTGTCAATACCTTTATCCGTAGCTTTGTCCATGTTGACCACGGGTGTGAGTCGGTTGATGTATTTGCACTTGCGCTGCCTTTGATCTTGGCAGTCTCTGGCGTCTTCGCACATTTTCTTTGCCAGGGATCCAGGTTGAACCGGATCCATCGTCTTCATGAAGAATAGGCACTCAACGCCGGATGAGACTGGTTTGAAGGTTTGATTCGTATCTGCTTTCCCACCTGACTTCATGCTGCTCAGCTCGGCTTCGATGGAGGCCTCAATATCCTGGTGTTCGTCCCCTTGGGCAATTTCGTCGTCGTTTGCCGGAGGCTCAATACCATACATTGTCTTGCCGTACTTTGAACATTTTAGTCAGTCACAAACTTCATGCAACTCTTCTTGGGTGAGGGGGGAGAGAGAGAGAGAGCTGTGTCCGAGGAGTTTACGACCAATCGTTTCTTACCTCAACACAAAGCTCTTGAAATTCCCTTATTGCTTTGTATTTCATTCCTCTCGCGAACGTCACCCATATGCCTTGATCGCCTATGGCAAGTGTTGTTCCCAGTTCCACCTTCTCGGCTATTTTAGCCTTTTGATGAGGAGTTTTCCATCTTCCAGCGCTGCCCCCCTAACGTCATCCCATGAGAAATGTCAGCTTCGAAAGTTCCACGACAAAGCAGTGCGCTTGTACTTGGAGCTCAGCATCACTCGTCATTCGTACCTTGCTCTTCTTGTGGGCAGGCTGGGTACTACCGTTGGCTGGCACAGGGCCATCTTTACGTTTTCGCGACGTGGAATCCATGCGGCGCAAGGGTCTGGTGCAGATATCAAAGGCTAAGATGTGAATCAGTCTCACGACTGTTGAAGGTGATTGAATGGGATATGAGCTTTACCCTCTCCCTATCTAACTTGCTGCTAGCGACGGGCGTTTTCTGCTTCGGTCTTGTGTCATTTTCTGCCTCTCTTTTTCTTTCCCTTTTTTTACTGGGTCGCGTCGCCTCTGTCTACACGCACTGTACTGTGAAGTGGGTCTGGTCCTCACCACAGCGCGGAAGGCACACACACTCTGGCTACCCTGTGCTCGGTTTCACTCCGTAACTTGTGTTTTTGCTGTGTGGTTTTTTTGCTGTGTGGTTTTTTTTTGGCATGGTTGTCATGGGACAAAAACCAGGTGATTTCCCTAATAATCACGGGCGACATCACCTTTCACAATGTGGTGCTGATAGAAGGCGCTATCTTGATTGCAACTAAACTCATGCATTCATTGCTTATCACTCCTTCCTTGCATTTGTTCTGGCACTAGCCTCGGCCGTCATCACCAGTGATCTCGGCGCATCTTTCTTTGGCATATATACCTCAACAAGTTGCAATTCGTTCGCAGACTTAAAGGAAGGCTTTGCAAGCAACTCGTTCAGCTCATCCTTTGTTTTCACAGCAAACTTTTGAGCCTTCCCTTGACCGCCGAAAACATCAACAAGGCCCCGGTTGTCCCATTTAGCAATATCATTGTAGCCTGCATCCATACCATGGATAAATCGCTCAATAGTGAAACCCTCGTTACAAATGACAAATCTGTGTGCAAGTCAGTATCCTGGCATGGCAGAGTTGCTGCTGGGCTCATTCACCGAGGGGAACTCACATGATCGGGTTCAGCTCATGGCGTATCATGGTGCTCAGTTCCTGAGCAGTCAATTGAAATGAGCCATCCCCAACAAACAAAATGGTCCTTCGCTTCTCACCCATATCCTTGGCGGCAAGTGCGGCTCCTTGACATGCACCTACTGACCATCCTATACTACCCCAGAGAACCTGACTCAGCGCCGTTACCCCGGAGGGAAACTTGGTGTCCCAGATACCAAAATTTGCAGTCCCTGTTTCTGTGACAACAATGTCATTATCAGTCAGGAATTCGCCAAGACGTGGCCAGAACCAAGCCTGAGTTATTGTCGCTGATCCATCGTGGTGTTCCCTCGCCTCATTTCGAACGGCGGGGGAAGCGCGGATGTTGAGCTGTTTAGGATCAATTCGCTTGACAACTTTCTGCAGAACTCCCTTCATCCTCACCCCAGGATATGTCGAATATTTCACAACACAATGGTCACTGTGAAGGTCGATGCTGTTGAGCTGCGATGTTCTGTAAGAGAAGCCAGCCGTATTGAAGTCACTCTAAACATCGTGTGTTAGCATCAAGACTCATATTTTCGGGATGGGTAGACGTCAATACCTTCAAAGCGCCAATAGACACAACCAGATCCGATGATTCCACAATATCCTTCACTTCCGGAGGGTGTGAGCCGTCTCCAGCATAGACACCACCAAAGTTATCATGCTGTTCATTGACAGCACTCTTGCCCATTGGGGTCACAAAGACAGGCAGATTTGACTTGGCCAAAAGATCATGAACCTCTGGAAGGACACGGTGACGCACGGCACAGGCGTCAACGAGCAGCACCGGGTTCTTGGCAGCGTTGAGGTATTTCATGATGACATCAACAACATAATCCTCCTTTTCTGGATCATTCTGTGGCTCCGTCAGGTCAATCGGCCGGTCAAGTCGTACCCCTTCCACCTTGGTTTCGGCCATGTCCGTTGGTAGGGTGATATAGACGGGTCGCGATTGAACCCAACACTCGCGCAAAGCATGATCAATTTGGTCCGCAATGTCTGATGGGCTATTTAACTTGGCAACCTGGCATGAAATTTGAGAACTCATGTTGGCGAACACGTTGAAATCCCCATTGCCAAGGGTGTGATGCAGAAGCATGCCGTCTCGTTGCGAGAGCGTCGACGGGTACCCGACAATATGGACGACGGGTATACGCTCAGAAAAGGCTCCCGCGACACCATTGATGGCAGACAGCTCTCCTACACCGAATGTAGTGAGGAGCGCACCGATCTGCTTTACACGGGCGTACCCATCCGCAGCGTAGGCTATAGGGAAAAACATAAGTCAGAACTGGTTTCTCTCTCGTCCTTGAGCCGCACAGGGCTTCACCACAAACAACACGGCCCATTATAGCGCAGACAAGCTTCCTCGTCGGCGCCTACATAAGAACTTACCGGCGTTCAGCTCATTGACACTGCCAACCCATTTCAGTCCAGATTTGGGAAGATAGTCGAGTGCGACAAGATTATAGTCGCCGGGGACACCATGTAACGAGCGAACACCAACCTCATAGAGCCGCCGAAAGAGATATTCCGAGACATCAATGGGTTTGCGCAGGCTTTGAACGCGTATGTCGGCCATGGTCGATGGACTGTTGCGTCAGATTTTTAGTTGTCTAGTCACACAACAGAAAAAGACTGTTTGCAAGCCGAAGATGGAAGGGTGGTTGTGTCCTTCCAATCTGCTGTGCACCTCATCAAGAACGACGGCATCTGGATGCGAATGAGCCGGTGCTCCCGGAGCTTTGGCTGTAGAGTGGAGATGTTCTGATGGAGCATAAAGTATATGTAGGCTGCATGATCTCATCATCCACTATACATCGCGGTGAGCTGATAAGCGTCTGTGGACAGCTCATTACTTTCGCGTCTCGCCACTTGGCGCCATGGGGCGGTGGATGGTTGGATGACCGTTTTATTCCCGTTCCCTGGAGCATGTAATGTCGCATCTCACGGTCTCATCCGTTATATACGGGGTAGGGCTAGGGGCTGATGCTCTCGAGCGCAGGACATCCTATCTCAGCTATCAGCTGATGGGATATGGACAAGGAAGCTCGCTTCCATAGGTACTTGCGCTCCAAGAGCCAAAGGACACATGTGTGATGATGTATCCAACCGCGTTACGGAATATTGGTCGCTGGCATTGATGACCGAGCTTGCGATCGCCCGGAATGAGCAAAGTAATAATCATAAGGCGCCGCCAAGAGGCAGTGCATTCAAGAGCATTGCGTACCCAAGAAAGTTGCTCAGATCGGTGCCAAAGATCAGGAGCTTGGAACACCTCAACCTTGCGCACGATTTTATCGCCACTCGACCACTCGGTGCTTACAGAATTGGGAGAGGTAGTTAGTGAAACTTAGTGTAATATACAAAAGTATGCCAGAGAGGAGAAAGTATACCAATCTAAGTCTATATGCCTGTCGCCGACCCAATGTATGCGCCCCTTTTCTCGTCAATATCGTACAGCTGGCGAATGCGCGCTGTTGAGGCTGGAGACCTCTACTCGCTGTCTACACGGCCTCCAAAATCAGCTGCCGTGTCATGATGTCCCCTTCATTGGTATATCCTAAAAAGCAAAAATGCAAATCTAGTCGACCGGCTTGTGAGTTGACATCGTATTATTCTCAGTCGCATCGTCCATCTTTCCACCCCGTGCGCCAACGCTCCTGCCACCGTGAACAGTCAAATTCTGGTTTGCCCAACTTTCGGTTGACGTCGTTGTGGGCACCGCATAGCCATTTGCCAAAATTGTCGCGACTCTCAACCTTCGGTACCTCCCGTCCAATGTATGTTCTAAAATCTTCGGCACAAACCCAGCATGGGTATAACTTGGAGAAGAGCTTGACAAAGCTCAAAAGATCCGACTGTTGTGACATAGATGGCGACTCGGGATACGAGGCCGCTATAGAATGAAGGAGCGTCCATGTTCCGCGGCCCAGGGCTTCCACATCCGGAGGGCAATCTGATGGCGGATTACTTGACTGCGACATATTTGTGGCCAATGTCTTGTTGCTACCCGCTGGGTTGTTTTGGCGGGCATTTTCCTTGGTCATGGCAGCCCATGCAGCAAAGGATGTGCAGCTTCGACAACTGAAGTGATTATCAGACAATCCAGATTCTTATATTTGAAATTCAACGCCTCAAAGGCGGAGGACAAGGTTCACTCACGGCTTGCCGTCTTCGCCCAAGACAATTCCCTTGGGCAGTTTCTTGGGTTGATGGTCTCCGTTCGCAGCTTTCAGTGGCGCCACGGCGGATTCACTCCCGCGTGCATCATCCTCCATGATCAGCTGTCCAGACCTTCCTCCGATTGACGGTCAATGTCGAAGCTCTATAGTGGCTTTATGTCTCTCTCAGAGTATGATGCGATGTTGAGAAGAAGTCAGTTGATGTGAAGATTATTTGTCAGCCGCCAGCCGCCGATGGTGGCTGCAGCTGGGCAATGGAGCCGAATGGAGTCCTTACATCGTCGCGTGGGGGACGAGAACCCCAAGTCGAGTTATTATCGATAAGCCACAGTGCTAACAAATTGCCCACCACTAAGTACCTACTTAGGTAGGTACCTAAGGTTGGTACAAATTGTAGAGTCCTTTGCGAGGTATCCCGCCATTGCTTCCATGTTCTAATGGTGTTACGGGATTCCCTATGGCGATGCAATAGGAGTTCGACTTGCTTGATACTTTACGTGTGCGACTTTGGCTGCAATTTAACAGAAGAAAAAAAAGAAGCCTATACGCCGCGGTTATACAACCAACTCCGAGCATGGCATCACAATCTCTGGACATCGAGTCAGGCGATAGAGCAGCTTCAAAGGTGCCCATATTGCTTCTCAAAACAAGGTCAACACCAAGTGATGCTTATGAGGAAATCTTGACAACTTCAAAACCCAAGAACGAGTCACTTGGCCGAAAGTTTGACCCTCAATTTGTCCCTGTGCTACGGCATCGGTTCGATGAAGGGGGGATGCAGAGAACAAGATCCTTGCTTCTAGCGAACGAGATTGGCGATAGGCCAGGTTGTAGGTATGGAGGAGTGATATTTACGTCTCAGCGAGCTGTGGAAGCGTTTACCAAAGTGGTCAACGACGAGAGAGGTATGATACACCATGGCCTCTACTCCTACTCTGTGCAATGGCCGACCGGCAAGCCCTCTTAACCCCCCATGTGTCACCCACGGTGCTGATACCAAATATGAAAATGTGCAGGAGGACATGGAGAATCGCCGTTTCTGCAAAATACGCCAATATACAGTGTCGGGCCCGCGACTACCCGTGCGTTAAGGGCTATCCAAGTAGAGCCTCCGCTGCAAATATTCGGCGAACACACGGGCAATGGCGAGGCTCTAGCGGCATATATTCAACATCACTATGGACAGTGGTATCGTGATCGCGAAGTCAGGCCTCCCCTTCTATTCCTGGTCGGTGAGCAACGCCGTGATGTCATCCCTAGAGTCTTGATGGACCCCAGTTTACTACAGGGCGAAAGGATCATTGTCGATGAGGAGGTTATATATGGCACTGGCGTTATGAAATCGTTTTCAGAGGAGTTCGAATCCATACTGAATGACACCCGACATGAACCTGAGCGGTGGGTTGTTGTATTCTCCCCCACGGGGTGCGACACCATGCTTCGAGGCTTGGGACTGCTTGATGAGAGTAGTGGGAAAGTCAATTTAGAACATAGGGATGGTAGGACTTTTATTGCAACAATCGGCCCAACAACGAGGGCGCATTTGGTCAATCGCTTCGGGTTTGAGCCAGATGTGTGTGCCGAATCACCCAGCCCGGATGGGATCCTGCATGGTATTACAAAGTTCACAACAAGCCGCACCTGAGACTGGCGCAATCATACTCTTTGTTGTTTTTTGAGACTATTTGAATTCTATAGCTGTCAAAAGACTCTTGCATGTTGTCGGCTAAACCATTTGCAAATCACGCCCTCCTTGTATTCTCCAGGGTATCCGTTTTGTATTACTCTCTCTGGCGCCCACCCCCCGGTTGCACTTTGACTTCCGTCCTCTCCAAACAGTGTGTCTTTCGGGAGAGATAATCGACTGTTGATGACAGTCCGCTGTGCTGTCTAACAGCATATCTGGAAGGCATATCGCACACTTGCGCCATAGACCTTGCAATTGTATAAAAAGTAACTAGCCATCCCACGCGAGCAACGCCGCGGAGGTGTGTTAAAAACCCAAGGTGGACAATTATGCACCAAGGACCCATAGCTCGACACCCCAGACACCAAACTTTTCACCCGCATCGCTAAGCGGCTCGTTGCCGAAAGTCTCGCATTGTGAGCTGTGTCCAATATTAAGGGAGTCGTCGAGCCAAAGTCCGTAGTGCCCACCACCGGAGCCGACGGAGACGAAACCTGTCTCGCAATTTATATAACAATCATTCAGGCCGCTATACGGAAATGCTTTGAATCGTACGGACTCAGACGGGGTGGAAGTCCCGCTCTCCGACGACGGTATTGGCGCGAGTGTCGTGCTTCGAGTAAGGTTCGTTGTATCGGCTGATGGGGGCAAGGGGAGGGAGGCGAGAATCGAGGCTTTCCAGAGAAAGCATTCCCCATTGCCAAAGTACGAAGGAGATGGATGAAGATACTCTGAGAGATATGCTCCGAAGGTCTGCATAGTTTTGCCAGCCACGACATGTTGTAAGCACATGTAAGTCCTGCTAGGAGCATGACGTCGCTAACGACTCTTTTCATGATACGATTGGGAGAGGGAGAGGAAGAAGTAATGACAAGTGCAGACTCACCCCGCCTTCTTGGTCTTTGACCACAAGCACAAAGCCAACTCTGAGGCCCTCATAGTGCCGGCATTTCTGATACAATGTAGACAAACTAGCCCCGTCCTGCTCAAGACTGTAAACTAAATGCCAATCGTCGACAATACGCAGCCTCTCCGGGACCATGGTCCGGATCTCCTCTGCAATAGCACTGGTCAGTAACCGGGCTGAGCTCGGGGTACTGTCGCGATACCCATGTAGGGTCAGCGGCTCCAGCGGAGGAGGGCGAAATGGACTGGCATTAAGGGCACGCCGGCCGCTTGGGGTGAAGACGCCATTTACGCCGTCCTTGTCTTGGTCGTCGTTGGTATCTGCTTCGCTCCCGAGCCTTGTGTCTTCGGTCGAAAAGCGCCGTATCAGCCCCGTCCACATGCTGCCCAGCTACAGACGTGAATGCGGGCGGGGATGGCGGGGAAAGAGAGTGCGGTGTATTGGTGTTGCCAGGATGGCCCGTTGCTCTGATTTCCCCTAGCTCGTAGCCTGGAAGGGGATATCGGTCGGATACATGAAGAATGTAGGTTTGGAGGTGAATCGAGGGCGACATAGTTGCAGAAGGGAGCCACAGTGGAGATGATTACATGCTCGGTATTCAGACTGAATGCGTGTCCTGGGTAAGCTCCAGTGTTTGTGCAGGATAAACACGGTAACCGCTCTGCCTCAAGCTGGGTGCAGTGCGTAGGCATAAGAAACTGTCGGTGCGAATTGCTGCAGGCCAAGACGTGAATCTCTGCCTGATGCAAATATTTCAATCACGAGATGGAAACCAAATATTGAGCAAAGGATGACTGGAGTAGCCATGCATTTTTTTCTAGAAACGGTTTTCGGCGACTGATGCATTATTACATCAACAGCGTTATACTAATGTGGGGCCACGAGTGTAGAGATATTTTGTCGATGGAGGAGTCTGGACCAAGGCTAGAAGCATTAAAATGATCAAATCCTTCTAGTTTACTTAGAGTAACTTGAGAGCCTGAGAAAATGCCTTGATTTCTATGCAGGCCGCCAGTGGACAATGGTTGTCAGATGACTTCCGTGTAGAGATACCTGGATATTGCAGCCTCCCCCGCAGAGAAGTTTGCAGCAGAGTCCAGTCGCAACGGCTGGCAGTGACATTCCGACCCCCCCCCATCTGCCCAGGCCAGGGTGGCCTTACTGCGATGTTCCCGATATACGTACTCCGTACGTATGTAGTACCTGTTTCTGCCAAAATTCCCGACACAACCGACAACAGTCACACAATCGATCTGCCCTGTGGGCTCTTCTTTGCTGCAATCAACGCTAAAATATTGTTCATGGCGTGTTACAGCTCTATTTCTAGCGATTCCGCATTTTGCTCCGTCACATACCAGGCCAGTCCGTGACCTACACAACAGAAGCTGGTGTCTCCACGTTGGATATTTTGTGGGTTTTGAGCTTGGAGAATTGTCTCAAGTTTCCAAGGAAAGGCAACATCAGTTTTTTCTTCTCGTTTTTTGTTTTTAAGAAGAAGAAAAAAGAAAAAAAGGGAAGAATGTATGTATTTTTCTCTTGAAAAAAAGTTGGCTCAATTGTGACAAAGCATTTTTGTTCTGCATATACTAAACTGTTGACAACTAGCTAATGCCCCTTTCACAAGCTGGTCTCCTGCCTGCTCGTCCGGCGTACATGGGAGCATCTATCCGGAACATTCAAGAAAATTGCAGCATAATTGCATCCAAGTCTTGCACTGCCACATGGAAGTCGAGGTGAAATGAGTACTGTTCTGCTACGTTGTTGCTTCAAGTTCACCCACTCCCCTGGCACCTCCGGTCCCCCATCAATGCAGCCTGGTGGGCATTAAGATTTTACCACCGATCGAACCAGTCCTCCTGAAGAAAGCCCGCCCCCAAGCCTGGTCCATGGCTTCGTGTCCGTGTCCATCTCTAACCAAGTTCTCTTACCTCATAATCTCCTGATAAATGAGTTGTTTCAGCTGTTCTTTGCTCAGGGTATCCTTGTGTTTGTCAAAGTCGAAAAATTCTTCAGGAGTCGGAGGTGCAGTTGGCTCGTCCTCGGGGTCGTGATACGGCTCCAGGTAGGGATGCTTTAGAGCTTCCTCAACCGTGATACGCTTGACAGGATTGAAAGCTAGTAGCTTTTCGAGAAGATCGAGTGCCAAGTCGGAAGTTTTTGGAAATAGAGTCCTGAATGGCACCTTCTTCTTGAATGGTAGAGACCGGATATACTCTCTAGCACGTCGCGACTTGATACCATAGTAGTCTTCCATGGTAGGCGTGCCAAGAACATCGAGAATCAGAGTCAACTGGTGATGATCTACAAAATAGCATGACTGTCAGCGTCATGTTTCCGTAGCCATCACTGCCTCGAAGGCTACCTGCTGCCACCGCCTCATACGACAGCCAGAAAAACAAAAAAACAAAGCAAAACGCCCTCCAGGAAGGCGGGGTTCGGGTTGAGATCGTTGAGATCGTTGATTGTTGCCACTTACAGTCTTTACCAGGGAACAAAGGTTTTCCACTGAGCATCTCGGCTAAGATGCAGCCGACAGACCAAACATCAATGGCCTTTGTATATTCCTTGAACGTTAACATGATTTCTGGGGCACGATACCATCGTGTTGCAACATATTCCGTCATGAAACCAGAATTGTCTTCTTGAGATGCAGCCGATCTGGCCAAGCCAAAGTCACAGACTTTCAAGTCGCAATTGGCATTGAGAAGTAGGTTGGATGGTTTCAGATCTCTGTGCAGAACGTTTGCTGAATGCATTGCTTTCAGTGCGCGCAAAGTTTGATAGATGAAATACTGGCAGTGATCGTCTGAGAGATCCTGTGTTCGGATGACTCTGTGCATATCAGTCTCCATCAACTCCTGAAGCATTGCACGTATGATTAGCATGATTACCGAAGTAGAGTAGTTGAACGGCCAACAAGTGGCCGAGACATCGACGACAAACTCACCTGAATGAGATAGACCTCGTTAAATGTATCGTAGCCACGGGGCTTCTGGATATCAAGGATAGAGATGATGTTCTCGTGATTGAAGTAGCGAAGGAGCTTCATTTCGCGCAAAGTTCGGAGACAAAACATGGAATGATCGAATGGAGTGATCTTCTTGATCGCAACCTTCTGCCCTGACGGTTTGTGTATCGCGGAGCTACACATTTACCCTTGTAAGCAAGTTGGCGTATTTGGCTTGCGGCCTTTCAGACAGGTCTCTGAACAGCTCACGGCACACGCACTCACCAAACGACTCCATATGCACCTTCACCTACAACATCTTGAATGTCGTATTGCTCGCTAACATTGAAAGAAATCTTGCGAGAGCCTCCGGCGTTTGGAGGGTTCGAACGGGACATGATGTTCTGATGAGACACGTCTGTTTGGCACTGGCGGGGTAAAAAGCACGATGGCGAAGTACGGGAGGGGATGCCGAGCAGCGGTAACCTTTCAAAATCGCCCAAGGAGCCTGTCTGCCGTCGGGCAGTGTAGTCTTTCCGGCGCTGAGGTGACTTGAAGGTAGAAATAAATAAAATGGTTTCTTCACGGATTGAAAGGAAGTGTGACGAAAGTTGCGACTGGACAAATGCTCAACTCGAAAACGACGGACACACCCTGAAATTTGCGAGGCGGCTGTCAAGGTGTTAAGGCAACCCCCGCTCGGGCCTCGTGTTCTAAAGTTGACGGTTGGCGGGCAAGAGAATGACAAAGAGGTCGCAGAGCGGCGACAATCAATCTGGAAACAGGGCCGACGAGGACAGGAAAATGCTCTGTCTTGGAGACTAGCTTGCAAGGCGATGGCGGTTTGAAATCACAAATAGGCGACGACGCGAGACGACGGGCCCAGGTGAGGTGAGGACGATGGCTAAGGTGCCCGTTGCTAAGATTATCGACGGCAGGTGGGGTTCAATGTTGGTCTGGTGGGGGAAAGGGGGAGGGGGGGTTCCTTCAGGTGTCTCCAGGCGCCTTCAGGTGGTCAGGTTGCCAGTGTCAATCAAGACGAGGCACCAGACGCTTTGTGAGTTTCAAGTCGGGTCAGAGACCAGATAAACAAGGAGCAGGGGCCCAAGGGCTCAAGGGCTCAAGGTCTTTTGAGCTTTCAGAGTCGTTGTCAGTCAGTCAGTCGGCGACACAATGGGGCCATGCAAACGACAGCATCGAATGCTTTCTTTTACAAAAAGGTCAACTGGTCTGGTCGCTTCCAGCAGTGAACCTCTCAGGTGTCTTTGTGGAAGCACCTGGCGGCCTTTTAAAGGCAAAGGAACTGAGGGGTCCGAGTTCCACCATCACTGATGCGAACAGAGTACGGGGTACTAGTACTGGTACTCCGCAGCGAGTGCAAGGTTTACATAGGGAGCACGGAGTACCGAGTGCTTACGGAGTAGTACTTATGGAAATACCTTGGACTCGAAATGACAAGGGGTTTGAGCAGCACTCGTCAATGTTGCAGCCCGCTCGTGAAGTCACTGGTGGTGAACACTGGGCGGGCTCAATGGTCAGCGGTTCCTTAATGGCGGAACAAAGTGCATGGATTGGGTCAAAGGCAGACACACCCGAGCCTAGTCGACCACACAAAGCCATCAAAATTGGTGGCCAGGCCAGGCCCGTCCCGCCGAAGCCAATCGACGGCCCAATAGCTACGCGGCGTGGCTTCAATGTTGCAAAGAGAAACTACATGCGGTTGTATGTCGAGCCATCACATCATCCATCATCCATCGTTCATTCGCCCATCGTCCATTGAGAACGGTGCCAATGCAGAGTGGTCAACTCCAAGACGCACCAACTATCGGGGCCTTGGCGCTGCTCCAGAGGCCTGGCCCCCAGAGGCAAGTAGTACTCCGTAAAGTACTTGACCTATTTATACCTACTAGGCAGGTACTTGTCTTAGTCCGACGTGAGGCATGTACAGAGTCTCCGTGCTGATGCACACCAGACTTAAGATGAGGCCAAAGCCAGCGTCCCAGGCGACCCCACCCAGCGGCTAACAAAGCAGGCCGCCGACGACTGACCAATAAAGTACTTGAAGTACTCAAGTACGGGTAGTAGTAGTCAAGCGGTTGCATGCATGGCACCCTGGTTCTCCCACACCTCAAGTGCTACCATTCACAGCCTGACTGGACGAAACAAACGTCCCATCTACTTAAGTAGTATGTACTATTATTAAGGCATCACCAGACCAGTTAGCCTCTTTATGGAGCACCCGCCAACCAAAAGAGTTGTTACAGCTTGAGAAAAAGGGCCAGCTACGGAGTACTGCATACGCATGATCGATTGTTTCTAACTCGAGCCAACCGTTAACAAGCCAAAAGGGTCTGGTCCAGTCTAGTCCAGCAAACCAGCCACTGGGTGGATCCCTCGGCAGCGCATCTTCAGGATATGCGAGCCCTCTCGAGTTGAGCCATCTTTGTGTTGATATATCATATATCATCTCACCCTTGTTTTGTGACTGTCCCTTTTGATCAACCCCATGTTACCATGTACGGGGCATGTTAGATGGCAACATGTGTGTATGTACGGAGTATACAATAAATACCTTGCTGGCCGATGCCGCCGAGTCTCTGGAATGCCCGGGACCCAAATCTTTCGCTTCGTCCTTGACGAGATCACCAGTACCCAACACAATTCAGATGAATAGGGGTTGGAACGGGTGGCCGATTGGACATTTTTCCATCCTGCGATCCTAAAGAGACTGCTCATCACCTCCAATGACTGCATGTGTGCAAAGGATCGACTGTTTGGCACAGCACATGAATTCCTAGCTGTTAATCGACCTTGGACTGATCACCCCTCCGGCATAACTCGTCTACACCATGGCCAGGATTTGCTAGTGTAAACAGCCAAAGACAGTATTCTCCCGTTTTTGATATCGAAAATATTCCTCAACATCTATTCTGCAATGAACCACCCACGAATTAGGTCAAGGCACGACATGACTCTCTGCAACTCCTCTTTCTTCAAACTCCATTGCCTCGCCATTGCCATATCCCCATCATATCGTCCGTAGCGTTTCATAGCTTCTTCCATCATCAGACTACATGGTGACGCTAACAAACGACATATTGCGCCACATCCTATCACCGGGCCTTTTGTTTGATATTCGCCGAAATATGTAAAAAGGACAATGCTCCTACGATCAAATGTCGAGTCGGCATCTTTATTACTGTACGACCTATTCCTAGTTAGTAAAATGATATCCCTCTGGTGGTGGGACAAAGTGCTGAATGCTCTGCGACAAAGTAACACCCCAACAAATCTAGCGCATACTGACCTTTTCTCTCAGCACACCGAGCCACTGGGCCGCACTGACTCCTTGGTCTGCTCGGTCCTCAACAAGTAATGTTTGTGCCCACAGCTTCAAGCTAGGCTCGCCGTCCTCCCGCACTATATAAAGGTGCGGTACTGTGATGCTTCCGACTCCAAGCGACTTGTGATCTTTGCTCTTCTGGATGACTGCCCTCACTCGCTCATTGAAGTCGTTATCAAGCTCAGGAACCCGGCCTTTACCAACGTGGACCTGGGCGCGTTCCTCTACTCCGAAAACGTCTGCAATTAGCTGGGGGATAGCATCTCGACCAACCCAAAGGAATTGAGTCTGTCCGTCATCGATCAAGTAAAGACCATACGGGACCAGTCGTTCCGATGACAGGTTTATTGCTGGTGGCAAGACGATCTGGCCTGTTTCTTCGTCTGGCATTCCTGCATTGTCAGGCATATCATGCAACGAGTACATTCTTGGGTAAATGTAGCGCATCAGTAGTGGCACCGGCAAAGTCGAGAGGAGACAGAGTGCCGCAGAACGGATGTCTGAGGGAATCTGCGTCGACTTTCGCAGCCCCACGTTCTTGATAAGACCCAGAAACAGAACGGGCAAGCCGCGCAGGTTCGCAGGGAATTGCAAACCACCTCCACCCATGCTACCACCAGCAAGTTCCTTCTTGAATGTCTGCAGGACTTCAGTGAGCTTAGCCTGCAAAGCATCTCTTGCCGCCTCCAGACCGCTGTCCAGAGTCCGCTCTACAGCCTTGTGGCTGAAGTATGCGGTGATAGCACACTGATCAGCGGATGCATATACATCAGACAAGTTCGTGGTAGTCGGAAGAGAAAGGGTCAATACTCGAATGCGACGTTCACCGTTGCATGTGGTGTGAAGAACAGCAGCTTGCAGACACACAAAGTTCTTATTCAAATTTTCGTCAATGGCAACCTCCACAACGTAGCACTGATCGCGTGGGAATGCTGGGAAAGCACAAAGATCAGAGCTTCGGTTGAAAAAGTTGCCATAGAAAGCGTTCATACGCAGGCCTGTAGTGGCACGGACGCGAAGCACCGCTTCAAGACCGATTTCTGATGACAGATAGTCGCTAAATTCTGACGCAAATTTGAGGGCATCTTCAGGACGCGAGGCATGCCAGCCGGGGTAGAACCATGTTTGGCCACCGGTATACCGTGGAAGATTGCTGAGTGAGGCGACATCCTGGTACTGCGACGAGAACAGAAACATGTCGATGGAAACCTGGTTCTTTGAGCATTCGACAGCAAAGCTCTTGTAGAAGCTATTGGCAGTCTGCAGGAGACTACCTTCCCTTGATGTGCCAAGCAACTTTTTGTCTTCCCTCATATCCAGTTTCCCATCACCGATATTGGGCAACGAGGCCGTCAGAATAACGATTTTGCCACCAAGGGAGGAAATGAGCTTGTGCCCTGCCCTGAGGGCTGACCCCATGCAAGAGCCATTGCTATGATTATTCTGGAACATATCTGGCAACTTCTGAAGGAATTTCTCTATGCTCTGTCGACTCTCGGTGAGAGACACAAGGAGATCATGTGGGACAGGGAGAAAAGGCTCCTCCAGGTCGCTGACAACCAGCATATTTGTTTCCCCGTTTTCATCCTCATCTTTCGGAATCGAAAAGTAATGCAAGCTAGTGTCCACTGCGAGGAAACCAAGCCTCGTACGTCTGTCGGCGTTGGGGATCGTGCTAAGGCTATCGAGTATTGTGCGAGCGCTGGTAGCCAGCATGCCATTTGAAACCGCGGCATAACTGACATCAAACACAAAGAGGTACACCAATGGCTGTGGAGGTCGAACCATGTATTCCTGTGGCGCAACAAACTCCACGACGGAGTGATTTAATTCGTGGCGTTGCATTCGGTCTACTGTCTGCTGCGCGGCCGCATCCCAGTCGAATGCCTGAGGAACATCGTTGCTCAAGTTACACATGTTGCATCTCCAGCGATGCCCATGATCTAGGAACGTCACAAAGGGGTTGATATACGTCCTGCAACGGCGACAACGCGCAATGACCTGGTCTTGGACGACCGGAATTTGGTCCTCATCGTCGTGGAGCGCGCCATACGGCTGAATGACGAGAGCAAAAGGAAGTTTGGACTTCTTGAGAAGTGAGTTGGTCGTTGGCACAGCATTCAGGGTTGAGCGAATGTACCGTGGCGAGCAGTTGGCGTCTGGAGAAGGGGTTACGCTCGACTTGATTAAAACCGACGTTTGTTAGATAGTTTGTTCCGACGCACCGATATGATAATGGGAATAGCAGACTTACATTGGCTGGCAAGACAATTGGAGGGGGCGGCAAGTCCAGTTCAGATACTGAGAAGGGATTGTTCATGAGATCGCTAGGATACAGCTGGTTAAGCGGGCCAACTCGAGCGGGTTGCTGTGTGAAGGCCTGACCAGGCTGCTGATACTGTTGAGGCTGGCCACCCAGTTGCATACCGCCCATACCCTGAGTGATTCCGGCAACTCCAGGACCGCTGGGTTGAGGACCGGCACTGGCATAACCTTGATCAGGTGCTTGATAGCCATATGGAACTTGCTGTTGAGGCTGTACAGGGGCTTGCGAGTACTGGTAGCCTGGGCCGGGAGCTTGATGCTGTGCATCCGGCTGTGGATAGTTTCCATATGCCACAGGTTGCTGAGCGGCGGGCATTCCGTATTGCTGGCCGCCGCCCTGAATCTGACCCCCAACCGCAGCATTGGCCCCAGAACCGACTTCAAAGGCCTGGGCGGCGTATCCTCTCTTCTTCTTTTTCGAGGGCGCCGCGGCGGAGGCATCTTGTGGGGCGAAACCGGCTTGAGCAGGTTGCTCAGGTTGCTCGGGCTGGCCAGGATACTGGCCGTAACCGTCGGCGGGAGGAGCGGACATGACGGGAGACGGTATGTGAAGGAGACTCGGCGATAGCCTCAGGTGCTGTTGAAGGGGGCGGACGGGGACGATGAAGGCTTGAGGGAGAAGAAGAGCCTGTGGTGGGCTCTGCAACGACCGCAGGCACAGTCAGAATTGAAGCCAGAGCCGAATTCGCGGTCGAATTCGAATCGAGGTGGGATCGTCCGGAAGGAGGACACGACAATGGAAATGACAGGAAGTGGAGGGTTGAATTGCAGTTGGACGTTGCGATTTATGAGGTCGACGGTCCAGGCAAACGGGCAAGTATGAGCACTTGAGGCGGGCCTTGGCGAGCGCAGGCATTGGTAGCTCAGGGTTGACCTGGGGAGCAAACATGGATATGACTGGCCACAGCACACTTGGAGAGCTGTCCTTTTCAGCACTCGAATTTGAAAGGACAACCCACTGTACATGTGCCCGCCTTGCCCGCCCGAAGCCATGGGTCCAGCAGCTTAGAGCTGGCAAGTAGACGATACTTTTATGGCGGGGTCACTGACATGCAATTAGTTGGCCTAGTTGTTAGCGGCAAAATGGTACTCAATACTTCGCGGACACTGCGTCTCCGTCGCGTTCTATGTACTACTACATGCCTGGTTGGTTGCCTTCGAGTTTCTCAAACTATAAAATGCGCTGAGGCCCGAGTTCAACGGTGCAATAGTTTTTCCGTCCTTGGCTGTTTCTTCCAGTTAAACAAATCACACTAGTTCCAGCGTCGGTTTGAAGTGTTGAATGGACGATGGCGCAACGGAATTACCCAGGGACATCAGTTCTGCCTCCCTAAAGTTGTATGCATGTACGATGCCATGGAGTACAGCAACTTGTGCAGCCCATCATCAGCGTGTGACCCCTGGACCCGCACGGCCGCCGCCTCCAAGTACTCACGGGCCAATCCCTTGACGTGGCTTCAGCGGCGCCATTGACCTGGCCCATCTTGCACAAACCACTGTTGGCGGCACAATTGCGCTTTAAGCATGTCCGATGAGGCTATGTACGACTGCGGCTGCTTCAAGTATGGTTACGAGGGGAGCCCACCCAAGCTGCATCCAACATTGAAGTTAGTTTTGGGGACGTCTCTCAGCCTGCGATCCTGACAAAAACCTAGACCACTGGTAGCAGCAAATTATCTACACGAACCTATCGCTACACCACAGGCTCTCTTCACGTGTGTTACCCAGCATCGATCGGCCTTGCATTTACCTCGCCAGCGGCCTTCCCTTTGCGCAGCTCACCCGTTCGTATCTATCACCTTGGCGCCGTTACTCCGACCAACAATCCGACATCCTACACCCGCTGCGAAAGTTGTCGATTGCGCGCCCTTGACACCGACGCACCTTTATTTCGCCGCAGGTCAACTTTTGTTTCCAACTTTGCTTTCGTCGCCGCCTTGGCCAACCCCGAGTAGGCTGTTGCGACTCGCTTGCTAGTTTTGATATCCTGCTCGGAAGCCTTTATTGGAATCAAGTTGCCCACCCGCCCACAGACACTTGTGACTGACTGGTTTGACTATTTGCAAATCAAAGAGTCTGTCGCCGACCGCCTTCAGCCCGACAAATTCTTTTCCCATCCTTTCCCCTTGGGATATCCAGCCTGCCTTGTCTGTCTGCGTACTCCGTGAGTGAACGCATCATGGCATCGACTATCGGGTGAGTTTCTCCCAAACATACCGCTGCAATCAACAATTATAACTTAGCCATGCCGCCTTTTGCGACTGACGCATTTCCACCTCTATCCCCTTGTATCCTTGTCTAGAGCTACGTCATCTTACCCGTTTGTCAAGTTTCTGACAGTCTTGCTATTGCCACAGAAAGATCATCCCTCTCGTCATTGCAATCCTTCTCGTATCTGCCATCGCGTGGGTTGTGTACCAAGTTTATGAATCAGCAACCAAGTTTCGCGACACGGCGTCGGAGCGAATGGGCAAGAAGAACGTCGTCTTCACCAAAGACGGCGTGCGAGTTGGCGTAAAGCATGTGCAGAATGAGAAATACGTTGATAAGACCCAGAGTTGGGTCGTAAAGGCCTGGAACATGGGCCAGCCGCAGTCACAGCCCAAGGAAGAGTTGTACGTCAATGCCACTTGTTCTTCCCGAGGATTGCGCCCTTGAGGCGCAGGCCAATGTTCTAGTCCATCATATGCTGACTCCATTTTTCTAAATAGGGCAAAGCGAAGGAAATAGACGTCCCCTGTGGTTGGTTTCCTGGAGGTGGTGCAATACCTCCCGCCCGCCAGCACACGTGCCTCTTACCCATGAGCAACACCTAAATGCATTTATAGAAAATTATATGTTTCTTGGCAATTCTGTCGCAGGAACGCTGTTTCGCCTACTGGACGCTATTACTATCGTTGCATCCAACTTTTGTTTGGGGAGTGTTGGTGTTGCAATATGCCTTCCCATATGGTTCAGAGAGAGGCATGGAAGATACGAGGAGCAGGATGTGGCTTCCTAAGCCGTTCTATGGTCAATTTGAGACATGAACAGATACACTTGCCGTTAAGATGATAATCCACGATTAATGGCAACAATTCATGATTTTCTTCTTCTTTTTGGCACGGCAGGACTAAAAGTTTTCTTGTATTATTAGTTGGCTAAAGGACATGGAGGGATAAAAAACACCCCTTTTGTGTGTGTGTGTGTGTGTGTGTGAGCACCTATCATGAGTTCATGATCGTGGACATGCCAATATGGATTAGTAGAATTTTGTATTAATAGTTAAGCGAAAAAAAAATGTCCACGGCCGGGAATGTATTGCAGAGTACGCCCAAAGCACCCAAAGCAACACCCTTAGACGAAGCGAGCAACCAATGATCAGCCATCATGGTTTTTTCCAAACCAAACTTGAATATCCTTGTCATATTGCTCCATCAATGGTTTTGTAAATAACAAGCACTCCAAAGCAAACAACGAGCGGTGGCGGTAGCCACCGGAATGGTAATATAACTATGACACAAAGCTGGCTTGGAAACATCTTTCAATATTGTAGAGAAAAGCGTACACAGGCATAGATTGAAACAGAGTCCATGTCTGACAGCTGGTAATGTGAGATTGGAGATCATCTGGGATATTAGATAGTGGTCGTGGTGACATGTTGGAACTCAAGCCACGTCTTCGTTCTTCGCTCATCAACATTGTTAGAGAACTTCATAGCTTTCGTAAACACACTGGCAGCTTCTTGGTCTAACTTTGCCTTCTCTGCAGTTTCATGTTGTGGTACGAGAGGGCTGGCATAAAAACTCGGTGTCGGGCGGGATGCCTTGGATGCTTGCCGCTCAAAGTCGCCGGGAATTCCGAAGGGTCTTGTAATGAGCCCGTCTCGAAAAATTAGCATTGATGGTATGCGTATGTTGAGCTACATGAGAATGGTCAGCCTTCGTCTTCCAAATGTGTGATGGTACTGGAGCAATGGGCAGCATGATAGGAGAAGCATGCTAGTAATAAGCTTACCTGAGTTAACAGTAAAGCATACCGGACCCCTAACTGAGAGCCAATGTACTGGAGCCGACCTCGGACCCAAGTCCGCTGAGAGTCTGTCAAATAATCCAAGGAGTGAATGAAAGCGAGGGGCCAAGTCATAAAATATCCCGATAAGCCCTTTGACGAATCATCCTCGCCGCAGGCAAAGGTAGAGAGGTTCGCACGTTCCAGGAGATCCCTACGTTTGGAGAACCAACCAAGTTGGTAAGGGACTGAAGAAATGACATCGGTGACAATATCCACGGTCGTTCTCGCGGCATTGGCATACTCTGGAGTGGTTCTGTAGTCGACGGGGGCACAGACCCAGGCTGCACATCGCACAATAATTGAGTTGAGTATGATTCGTCCACATCGCAGCATATTCCAGATCGTAGCAACCCAAAGATCATTATAAACGTCTACTCTTCCTGGGTAGACCTCTGCTTTGGTGTAGTCGCCATTCGGTACATTGTCCTCCCAGGTAGCGGTCTTGCATTGAAAATAATCGGGGAGGTTCTTGCACCAGCTTGCGCAGGCTTGGTCCTGCGCTTGACACCGTCGAATCATGTCGATGACAATTTCCATATTATCGGGAGTCCGAGGCACGGTTGTGAGAAGCCGGTTGGCCTCTCCCCTGAGCTCGCCAACCTTGATGCACAGTCGCTGACACTCAGAGGCATGTCTGTCCCTCACTGCATCCTCAATCCACCAAGACACATCCATACCCGGAGATTTTGATGTGCTCAGACTATGAATAATCTGTAGGCTGTTAGTCTACAGCTTGACATATTCCGAGAAATACAAAGAATTTGAAACTGAGTCGAATACCAAGATGCTTTCTGTGTGTATATGTTTGTGTGTGAGACTCACCATTTGTGTGCGCACAGCAATAAACATATTGAGGCCAACCTTTGTTTGAAGCTGTTTACGGCCTCGAGCCTTGGCCAGCTGTATTGCACCCTCGATATGAGAACCCCAAGCTAGCATTCCCATAGTTTTTGCAGTGATATTTTCGAACAAGCCCAAGAGAAGCACGGCGGCCAGTGTCGCATCCTCCTTGGCAACTTCAGGGTCGCGCAGGGCTGCAAAGGTGGTCGATAGCGCTTTGGTGTATTTCCCCAATGCCTGCTTTTCAAAATGATTTCCATTGCCGACCCCGTTATTAAGGGAGGCCAATGCACAAGCCTCGAAGGCGTACTTATAATGTTGGGGGACTGTGTCAGCGTTTAATAGGGGAACAACAAACTCCATGAAACCAACGAGGTTGCCATGGCGAGGCACTAAAACATAATTGGAAATAAAATGACACGCAGCCTGATCCTCTAGAGGTAGCTGAGGACTTGCGGAAACACGGGGTAAGCGAATAGTGTGCGATGTTGGTGATAACGAGCCACCACTATCGGACGACGAAGACGAGGATGACGGTGACACTGCTTGCTCCGCTTCCCGCCCATGCCTGTGTGCCAGAGCCTTCTTCGTCGCCCTCCTTGCTCTTCGCTCTGTTGCTTGAGTTTCATTCCGAAATACCAAATCAAATTCGTCTTTGTATCCGGGACAAATTCTTCGACTTTTGGCGCATTGATTACAAGTGGGCTTTGTTTCGTCACACTGTCCCAGCAAACTATTAATACAAGGCGCGAGATTGTGTGGCGACGGTGAGACTATACCTTTATACGACGGGTTCTGCACATCTGGCAGCCCCTCGAGGGCTTGCCGCAGTACACCATGATTCTAGAGGCGCTAGCCGGGCGCGCCGATGGAATGACAGGGAGAAATCAACAACAAACCCAGAAGCGACTCTCACTGTGTCCTGCCTTGAGATGGTCGACGCGGAAGGACCTGCCTATGGTGCCAGAAGATAGGTTCTGCCACGAGTGCGACCAAGATCCACGTTCAGTAGTGTCGACGTGACCAACTAGTCTACTCGGTAATGCGGTTCAATGTCTACAGATGCAGACCCGAAGCTGGTGATGAGACGGCAGGACGGTTGTTTTAGACTGTGCAAAAGTGGAGGCTCCCTTCCTTCTTGCGGTAACGGACGTTGGAGGAAGTTTGAAGGCGCCGATGAGAGGGAAGCTGAGGTATGAGAGTTAATGCATGAGGTCCAAATAGGCTGCCGATTCCATATGTCCAGCTGGTATAGACTTCTGGTGGTGTTCACTCAGAATGATGACAGGCCAGAGTGCTTTCAGTACTGTGAGTATTGGGCAATGGAGATATCAACGGTAAAGAGTATCGAGTCGGGATAGAGCAGGCGTCCAACAGAGCGAGGTCAATCGTCGGGGCTGTCTTCTAAGGCACGCAGCAGACAGCTGGGAATGAGGCCAGGGAGACAATGAAACTCTCAGCCAAGTGAAAACCAGGCGAATAATGTGCTGGAATGAGGGCGAAATCGGGAAAGATGGACCTGGAGGTGATGATAATGAAGGAGCAAGTACTCGGCAACCAGCAGCGTTGGAAATTGGCAGGCTGCTCTGGTGAGGTACCCAAGTACCACCTAGGTTAGTCTGGCTGATGGTTCCAGACCAAGGTCGAGGCAGGAGCAAAGTGCGGGAACTGGCAACCTGGGCAAAATGGACCGGCGTTCAATGTTGACATTGAAGGGGTTAAAAATGTCACTGATCCGCTGTGGGATGCCCCAGATGGCCCAGTCAGCGACTCAGCGGTGTCATTAAGGCTCAAGCTGGTCAGCAACGGTTAAGGGTTTCGGGCTCAATGTTACATACTACATGTACATACATACACTTACCAGGCCATGGCCAGCCATTGACATCTGGGTGGGTGATTGAAATGTTCGGCAGGCTGGGCAGCTCAAAGCTACCCACCAGGTCGCCAATTAGTTGAGTGGAGCCGGGGGAGCCGGGGGTGCTTTTGCATGTTGTATGTAGTGGCACCTGCGGCTTGTCGGGATTGCGCAGGCCATCGATCCAACGTTGAGGAGCCACCAGCCTTGGCTACTACATGTAGAATTCTGTATTCGAGTTGTAGTAGTACTCAACACGCAGGTCAACTCTTGCCAGAGCCGCCGTAGCATTCTAGTTGACCGGTTGATGGTGCCGTCACCAGGTGCCTTTTTCTGGAGTTACTTGAAGAGGGTACTTACGGAGTAGTAGATTGACGTAATACTACCAGGGCACTCCCACGCGCTTCACCGTCCAGTCAAGCGTCTGGCAGCCTGCCTGGTCTAGCGCCAAGCTGCAAATCGCAAGCCGCAGGTCGCCAGTAGCCAGGCAAGCTGCGCACTGCGAGATGACGGTGAGAGGCTACCAAATGCCGGCGGACAGCGAACAACTATGTACTTACGTAACTATGTAGATACATACAGTAGACCTACCCAAAGAAGGTAACTATCGAGGTACCTACGTACTTGGGTAGTTATTGGCAGTTCTTGTGCAGCGGTGCAATATGCATGCATAATGCGGTCGATACGGAGTAGAGGATGTTCGGCATGGGTAGCGGAGAGGTGCCGGTAAAGTACTTATTTGACCTATCTGAGTGAATGTTGTCTGGTGGGTAACCGAACGTCCAATGACCTATGTCTGGGTAACTAAGTACTTAACTTGGTTGCCTGCGTACCTACGGAGTACAATATTTGAAATACGCGCCACTCGTGCAAAGCGCTGTACACGCTTGAGTACCTGAAATATATGTACACCCACTGCAAGTACCTACCTACTCGAGCACTGAGTACTCAAGGTATTGGCCAATTGGTAAATAAACAGCCAGTGGGCTGATGGGCTGATGTACGGGGGATATCAAGGGGGAGGTCCACGGCGTTGAGGCACCTGAAGTTTGGTGGCCAGTGGGCATGAGTTCAAGTGTCACTTTGCACCTTGTAGAGAGCACTAGCGCCGTATAACCGGATGGCTTATTGTGCATAGTGCGGTTGGCGCCGCCACGCACAGACGGCCTGAATAATGCGCGACCAGTAATAAACACGATGTGTCGGGTCGACTACGGAGCAGTTTTGTCAAAGTCGCGGGGGGGAAGAATCGAAGAAGCGGGGAGTCAGCTGTTGACGACCTCGTCCACTTTGGGATGCCCTGGATCATGGATCAGTGGTGCCGCCATGACCAGGACCATGACCAGGACCAGGGCTGGACCCGGGCCTTGGAAATGCCTCGATCGTGGTCCACGTGGATTCGCCACGCCCCATTTGCCCATGGCCGACTTGACTTGCCAACGCCCTCATTTTTCAATGTTGCTCAAACAAATGTGCGCCGAGGGCCCCGCGGTAGCACCTTGATTGACGATGCATCTTGCGGAAGCACCAACACGAATTATACGCCAGTCGTATGGAGTTATGTACATATTGGTACAAAGGTCAGACGCGTGACGAGCAAGACGAGGCAGTCAACGACAAATGATGGACTCCGCCCGGCTGCGTATGGCTTTCGCAAAACACACGCAGGAGTATTAGGTCAGATCCGTCGAGCTGGCATTTTTTGACTCCTTTGGTCTCTTTTGCTAGGCTCCATGTGTGGCGGTCGAAGATGATTCGCACCGCACGGAGGCGTGTTTCAGCCCAGTGGCCGTTTAGGATAGACGTGCGCGTACCTAGGTATATACTATATTGTGTACACTACTATATGTACACATACTAATTGAAACAACCAGTGATGATCTCAGTGCTGTCTCTTCCTTGCATGTTCATGCGGCTAATGGTTGGCTGCTGTGGCATCGGAATATGTCTTGACGTTGTTCCCGAACCGGATCACAGCCTGCCATGGTTTCTTGTCAATTTGATCTCCGAGAATCCTGAAACCCTGTCATGAGGAGCTTGCAATGCCCGCCTTGGGCAGATGGTCATCTATTTACCCATTCATTGCAGAGCTTCTTCTGCCCGGTTCGGGTTTTAGCTTGATGCGATCGATGAAGATGAATGGGGGAGGCCCTGGCTTGCGAGCTGGGGGCTGTTAACCGAACTGCACTGTCCAACTTGACATGATAGGGCTGGGGTTTATCCTCCGTCACCAGGGACGGACAATCTAGGCGTGCATGACGTCCTGTGCTGCCTACTTATGTAGTATAAAGTGTGATTCTGTCTCTGTCCCCATGCCGACGAGTGCTCAGGCGCGCCGTCCCGTTTGAGTGGACATTGAATAGTATCTACTTAGGTAGATGGATCAATTGATACAAAGGCCCCAGCTTCATTGAACGTCAGGGCTCTCACACCCCGTTTCCCGCAGAGCATCTCGGAACCAAACTTGCCGCTAGGCGCAGGCGAGACTGCGTCTCAACTCATGAAGCCTTGCGCCAGCGCCTTTCAGACACCAGACCTTCTGAATGTTTTACGTATGATGCACGCTGATCTGTCCAAGGATCAGACAGGTAAGTCCCCGGTTGCCCGCCTGCCAAAACCTGCTGCTCCCTCTTTGCCTCCCTACTTAGACATAGAACTCTTGACAAGGTGCATCCCTTGCGCAGGTGTCAGTCAAAGGCCCTGCTGTTTCTGTGATACCCGATGGATGGATCAATGATACCTTGCCTACCTCTTTGGCAACAAGATCAGCCATGAGTGCGACGTACGTACCTCTCTATAGTTCTAGAAGCTCTACTACTTTTACTAGTATTACATAGATGAATTCTTGAGCGAATTCTCATCTTTTAGGTTATTCGAGTTTTTGGATGAATGAATATCCTTGCTTCGTACTAAAAGTGGCACCTGTGCACACATGCAGTGAAATGTCAAGGACCCTCCATCAAACATCCACATGCATGTTTAGTTCCAACCACTGTCTCATCCCAACCATCTGCCGAGCTCACAAAATCGCGGCACACAAATCGCCAGGACCAACAACATCCGCCCAAAAATAGCCAACACCTACCAGCCCGAAATACGACTTTGGCCAATGTCGTCGAATGTCAAATGTGCCCACACCCTCCCTCACTCTTCACGGTTGACATGTGCGAGCACGACAGACGGAGTAGCATTACTGCATCCGGTAACAAAGTCAAACAACAGAGTGGTTGCTGCTGCTGCGCGGTGAGGCCGAGGCAAAGGATGAACCGTGTACTCCGTACAATATGTAGGTACCTTTGGATTGTCAAAGGTCAAAGGGGGGGAGGGCGTTGCACAAGAGCCCACGCCAGTCACGGTTTTAAATTGGGATATGCCACTAACTGGACATCACTCACACAACCTAGGTACTCCCTACTCCATATAGGCTCACATATAGCCTATAGGTGAGTCAACTAATGGATAAAAAAAAGGTTCGACACCAAGTGTTCCCTCTGGTAAATTGTGCTAGGGGCGGCCGTGTCAGAATCTTCATGGCCCGACGCCACCACCATACGCGATGCCACGCGATCCAGGCGATACCACTCGACCCAGGCGACTTTGCCCATGTCCCCCCTAATACGCCCTGGAACGAGAGCATACACATGTACAACGCAGCAAGGTATACAGAAAGGGCGAAATCAGCCACCATGCCCAGAGGAGCAGACTCGGAGGAAACACGAGCTTTCGAACTCTGCAAGCACCAGAATACGTCAGACTACGTATATACGTACAGAGTACAATAAACTCATCTACTTGTGGTGGATGCAACGTCCACCCACACCTCACCATGTGCTCCTCGGCCGGCAAAAGTGGCGTGTGGGGAAACCGCAGATTGCCTACAGCACATCCGTCTGCACGGAGCATGTTACGTCTGGTGTTGCATCAGTTGATGTAAAAACCACGACCTGATTGCTTGGTTCCTTCACTGCAGGCATGGCCCATGGCCCATGGTATGGGGCTGACGGGCTGACGGGCTCCATGGATGCACAAGCCGCATCTCCTGTCACCGAATCGACGTCAGGTTTCCAGATCTGCAAACCTCCAGGCGTCGGAGCTGCCCACCCCCAACCCAGGCCTCCTCAACCTGCATCTTCAACCACCGGCCAAGGGTTCGACGCGAAAACCAGGCGTCATGCTCCCATGTCCGGCTTTGTAGTTTGCCGGTGCCGCCGTTGCGTCACGACATGGAACCGCAAGGATGAGAGCAAAGCCTCGCCTCCTTGTGAATTATAATAGTAACTACATAGTCCACGCCAAAGCAGCCCGAGCTGCAAGCAATTCATGCATGGAAACTTCTCAAACAAGGTGTCTTATTTTGAAATGACCAACGTTGTTGCTAGTAACTACTACCACGTCTGTCCGACAGGCCCAGGCCGGCTGCTCAGCCACCACGCAACATTGAGCATTGAAGCCCCAGCTGGATAGACGGCTCAAGGTCATGTCACGATCCAGACATCCATCTATTCACAATCCCGAGTTCACCACGAGCACGAGCACGAGCTTGCCAACGTCGACAAATACCATCATTCGCAGACTTGCTGCCGAGGCTCTGGCTCCATTGCCCTCCACCCTGTTGCCAATCCTTTCAATGTTAGCTCCGGGACCCTCCCCCCTCCCTCCTCTTGGCAGTCCGATCCGGCCCCGATGTGCATGACGAGCCATTTGTTTTCGCGGCCAGCATCGTGCCTGTTGTTGTTGTAGTAGTACTAGTATTGACAAAACATGTGCACTTGATCCGCCCATGGGGAAGCTGCGGACCTGCATTTGCTCCAACCGTCGACCCTACCCCACCCATGCAGGGCCGGACCTTGTTGCTCAATTGATGTTCCGTCCCCCGTGCGCCACCGCCGGCCGCCACCACGACGCTTCGACTACCCATCGTCATTGGCCAACCCTCGCTTTTTGCCTTCTCCTCGATCAAAATGCCTCCTGCCGGCTGCCATCTTCTCGGCTTGAGAAACATGATGCCATTGCAGACATACCAACGTCTCTCTTGCTAGATGTCGCGCTGCATTGGTGTACATCCATCACGTTCCACCCTGGCTGTCAACCAAACCTTAGCATCGCAGTCATCGCATTCTATTTTTTTTTCTCACTTCCTTCCTTTCTCCTTTCTCCTTTCCAAGTATCAAATGGAACGTATTATTAAATAGGCTTTACATATCCACCTACAAAGACAAGCATAGAGACAGCACCATTTCGTAAATTTAGTCGTGAAACTAACTCTATTGTAGCTGCATGTAATAGGCCGTCATCATCTCCTCCGTCAACGCCTCTAGACCAACCACCTACGTCCTGCGCTGCCCTACCCTATGCCCATCGCACTTGATCGTCGGTGACTTGCTTGGTATGCGCAGAAAGATAGACACACACACACACACACAGAAAGAGAGAGAGAGAGAGAGAGAGAGAGAGAGAGAGAGACCCACGACAGAAGTCAGCAATACACCACATCCCTGGCAGTTGTATTCCTCCTTTGCCGCATGGAACCCCAACACGGGCCCCTACTGCCAAGTAACGGCCTGTATTGACACTGATGGGCCTGCCTGTGCACATCAGAGCAGCTTAACAACTGCTGCCTGTTGCCACACTTTTTTTTCTGGTCATCTGATGTGGGTTGTTGTGTAGTGCAGACTCGCCAAGAACCAAGTCAACTGTCCTTGTTATCCTCACTTCTAGCCCTCGAACAAGTTGGACACGCCTTCCAGGGCATCCGGTGTTGTTCGTCGAGCACCCACCACACCGTTTCCCCGTGTTACACGGCCATCAGCTTCAGTTGGAGCGTTCATGAATCCCTGTGCCATCTTGCTCCTGTTGCCCCTTTTGTTGCGTGACGAACCACCAAAGCCAGCGGTTTTGGCGAGTTTCCCCATTTCAGATACACTCACTCCCTTGAGGTCTTTCAGGAGCTCCAGAACAATCGCGCGTTGTTGGCGAGGATGAGACGCCGGTTTGGCCATGTACGGTGCAAGTCGATCAAGTTCAGCCGGATTCACATTTGGTAGAGATAAAATAATGTCCTTCGGTGTTGCCGTAATGGGGCTGTAGTAGACCACAATAGTTGCAATCAGGGAGGCGAGCTCCTTCTGCACCTCCACAAAGTAAGGTTCGTGGAACGATGTCAAACAAGCCTTTAGCACGTCTTGCGCGATGTATTCCCTGATCACCGAGGCGATTTCGGCGGGCACTGGCGTGGTGTCCGTATGGCTTGAGCCGGCCTTGCCATCGTGAATATTCCCCGTTGACCCGTATTGTTCTTGACCCTGAACTAACTGGAACTCGGGGACCAGAGAGATGAACAGGCGGAGAACCATTCCACAGCATCGCGTGTCCCTCATTCGGATGCCGTGAGTGCAAAATACCAGCAACGGCTCAACAATTTCCTGTCGCATGAGACAAAATTTCCGGAGTGACGGATAAGGCCTTGAAGGCTCGTCCTCGAGTCCTTCCTTTCGGCTTCGGGACTTCAGAGTGTGTGAATCTAACACTTCATGTTAGCGACCATTTTTCACTGCAAATGTACACAGCATCAATTCCTTCCACATACTTGATTTTGTGGGATCCAGGAAATCAGCCACCATCATGACGGCTGTATACGTAACCTGCCGGAGAATGCTCTCGGCCTTCATTTCTTCCTTGAGTCCTGCCTCGCCATCTACCACGCAAGTTTGCTGCTTTTCCATTCTCTCCCACTCGCCGTTGACCTTGGCATCCATCTGTCTGAAGCAAGCTGCTAAGAGCTGGGGAAGAAATTGCTCCCGGTAGTCCACCGGGCAGTCGTCAACTAGATACCGCACCAAGTTCAGCAAGTTGCTCTGTTGGTGTGTAGATAGCCATATGGAATCCGAAAACAAGGCTTCTGATAGAGGGCCAGAGAGGCCGTTGAAGCCGTAAAACTGCAGGTCAAGTCTGCTCATACAATAGATTATAGCGTACGCCGTTTCTCTGACAAAACGTACCGAGCCCCGGATAGTCGACGCAAGGCCTTCGATTGTATTTTTCTTGTCCATGACCCTCGCGTAGAAGTCATCTTTGCTGCCTTCAGATATTCCGGCTTGCCAAAATCTGTCGCTGAGAACTCGCTCTACCATGCTTCGCATTTCTGTAGGCAACTCTACCCAACTATCAGGATTGTGTGTGGCATGTGCAAATCTATATATTTGTTAGTATATCCGATAGCCGCCCAGACAATCAACCCTGTTTGACATTGACATACTTTAAATATTCAAGTAAATCGGCAAGAATGTTGGAGAAACCCTGTTGCCAAAGAGCGTATGACGCCTGAAAAGCTGGAGAGGACTTATCCAACCGTTCTACGGAAAAGGCAAGGAATGATTTTGTAGGCCGTAAAGGAAGAGTCTTGAGCATCAAGGTTAGCATGAACATCCGAGCGTACTTGACCTAACATGCACCATACCTTCAACCGCTCTTCAAGCTCGTTTTGAAGCAATAGACCCTCTGAATCCAATTCGCAAGAACCCCAATCCTTAAGTTCATGTGCGTGCCTGCTCGCCAGATATTTCTGGGCCTTGTCAAGACCGAGGTACTGGCAGAAGTCTGCATATGATTTGAGCGATGTTCGAATCGGTTCACTCTGCCACTGAGCTTTGACAGGCTCAACGAATTCAGCCAGCTTCTGAATTTTCGTCTGTGTGTCGATTCCACTGGCTCGATGGCTAAGATGGACTGTCAGCTAATACTCCATACCGAGTCAACTTGTGCTGAATGAGTCCTTACATGATGAGGAAGAGAAAACTTCTGTACGCAAGGGATCGCTTTTCATCCAGTGCCCCTGAAGTCATCATATCATTCACTCGGCTTTCAATCTGGTCATAAACACCCTTTTTCGCCAATTAGCCACGAGATTTAGCTTCAATTGCGATATGAAGTTGTCTTACCAAAAGGTGATCAGGCATCTCAGCCGCAAGACGCTGCAGCTCAATCATACTCTCACTTTGCAAATCCTTGATGGCATCATTATATGCACGATATTCAGGTTCGAGTGCGGGCCACGTAAGGAGAATATGCTCGAGAACCTTCAACATGAATCCGGCGTCTTTGTTGAGCGCAGTAGTTGAGAAGAAAACAAGAAGTTGTAACGCCCGCTTGCGAATTATTGGGTCCTTTTTCAAATAAGAGAGTCAACATCTCGGCAAAGTTCGGATGTATTTATTTGGCCCTCTCGACTGATCTCACCTCAAAGCTCATTGCAAGCAACTTATTACACCACACTTCTAAGTTGGACTCCATTTCAGCCACTTGCTGTTCCTGAACATGCATATATTAGCTCAATTTTCTTTTGGTCGCGGAGAGGATGGGATTCCATCTCGTAGAGAAACCTACGTGGTCTCGCCCATGGTATCTCCTCCATTTCACATAACCTTTCAACGTAGCCTCAATGACAGTAAAATGAGAATCGACTTTCAAGGCGGGCGTTGAATGCTTGGTATATGTTTGCTCTGATACAGTTAGTAATGTGATTTCCAAGACCACTTCAGTGGTTTTGACACTGGCCCTTACTGCTAAAAGGAGGCTGCCCATCGTAGAGCTTCTGCAGGATATCCTCAGTACGGCCTAAGATGTAGGACACTGCGTCGACAAGTTTCAATTGAACAATTTGCTCAATAATCTGGGAGCTATACCGACGATAGTTTCCTAAGAACGCGTGCCGCTCAGGGATAGTATCCGTGTCATCTAGTAGAAAAAGGTATGTAGGATCGGTGGAGTTCTCAGGGAGATTCTCATAGCGCACCAATCTGGAAGTGCAAACGTCCAGTAGGGGACCGACGGTTTTAGACACTAGGTCGCTGGGACCAAGATTTCTATGGCCAAGAATTCTAGTCCATGTTACCAGTATTGGTATCGAGACCATCAAACTCGGACTCTGCGTTACTTGAATCAAGAGCCCCAAAAATTCAGAGCTGGCGGCTTCTTGAGGTACCTTTGCAAACTTGCGTTCAAAGTAGTCCCCGAGATAGGATAGCATCTTTAGAGTCGTGTTAGTGGGTGATTGAAGAAAGAACACACATAGTTATGGTGGTTTTCTCGCAATTCGATTCATACCTCTGACAGCTTCTTAAGAATCTGATATCTATCTTCATCAATATCCTCGGGGTCCACAGTAGCCCAGCGATACAGACCTTTGCAAAGATCAACTGAGCTGGGACTGTACATTGGTGCGACGAGGTCGCAAAATTCATCATCCGTGAAGTTGGACCGATAGTATAGAGCATTAAGCGCTTCCAATGAGGCCTGAACGAAGAGTTTAGTGACCATAGCTAATAATCATGGGAGAAGTTGGGTTCTACCTTTTGAACATCAATGTGTGAGGATGCCAAACCGGCAGTCATGACGTTCACGCATTGTGCAGCCGCTATGGCCTTGGGGATAGCCCATGGCATAAGGGACACAAATACGGAGAGAGCCTTGACTGCACAGCTCTTGGCATCAGCGGTATCTTTGGCTTCGGAACTGACGCAATAGTTGAGGAATTGAGAAATACGCTCAAGCCATCCTTCGGGGCCATGGCGCACATCCGGGCCGGGCTGGCGATTAGGGAAAGCCTCAACCAGAACTGACGTTGGTGTGAATATCTCGACGCATGCCTTACTAAGAACACCTTCTCTCATAGTCACCACTGAGTCATCCCCAGTGAAAACCTCATCGGACAAGGTCTCCAGAATAAACAGTACGAGTTCCTTATGAACCGCCGAGTCCTGGATCTGCCAAAGTTGAACAAGTAAAGAATCCATGTCCATCCATTCGGTCCCCCAGCACCGCTTTGCGATTTCGACCCACAGCTGTGCTGTCTTCTTCCTGAGGTAGGACGCATCTTGTTTAGAGACAGACTGGCTCAACTCCAAGATCCAATGTCGCAAGGCCGTAGCTTGCTCCTGGTTGTAGGTGGACCATCGGTAACGTATGGCATGTTCGAGAAGCGAGAGGGCGTAGTGGCGAACGACTGGTGGCTGAGTCTTATCGGCAGCTAATCGATATCCTTGAAAAGGCGCTTCTGGTATGTCTTTGACTTCTTCGAGGAACGATTGAGCTTGCCGGCGGGCATCATTGCCTGAAGAAGCGCTGTGCACGACATCCAGAGCTTGATGAATTCGTCTCAATATCTCAGTGTCCTCGCCATTGCTCGGGTTGCCGCCAGCTGGCAAAGTGCCGCCGCTAGCAGACATAATTTTTGCAGGCAATGGCGAGCGCTTAGACGTCGACGGGATTCGACCTCGAGGCAGGCTTGCTTATACTGACGAGGCGTTCTTCAAGTTTTGGTCGAGTCTAAACCGGGAGAGGAGCGCAAGTTCGACGAGGATTGTGTCCGTAATCGTCGTATCGAGAAACCGGCAACGCAAAATCGAGATGATACTGTTTTTCTCTCTGTTGTTCGTAGCGCCTGGCGTCCGTGGTGGGAAATTCGTTTGTGCACGATATCGAAATCGGCGGGAGGATGCAAAAGCACGTCAAGTAAGCAGGTCAAAGGCGATACCGGCTGCGAGTGACGAGGGAGGGGAAACGTCAAACAGAACGCAAGAAAGCTAAGTAGAGCAACGTTTGCAAGCACAGTGGTCCTTTCAATAAGGAAGATTGACGCCGGTGGCCCGAAAGCATGAATGCAGGCGGCGAAACTAAACAGATGAAAGCCGAAGGTTCAAGGTTTGTTGGTGTCGGTGTCTGACCTTGAGAAGTTGGCAGCGCTTCACCGCTGACAGGGCCCAAGTGCAGGGCGCGTTGATGTTGAGTGGGGACCATGCAGACAGCGGGTCAACTACCTAACATTGAATAGGTGCCCAGATTGACTCTAGATGTCCACCGTCAGCTTTTGAGCATCGACCTGGAAGCTCAGTTGCCCAACCGTGAATACATAGTACGGTGCGCATGGATTGGAGAGCAAATCCCGCCGGAAACATTGGTGCCTTCCAGATCAACAGGATTTTAGCCCCTACAAAGGCGGTAGTCGCCTACTTAAGTACATATCTTGGCAAATCTAGAAATGCCAAGACAAAATTGTTCAACCAAATAAACTACCGTCTTGAACTACGGTAGTTTGGGCCTGAGCCTTCCATGACACCTCGGCATTCCACGAATTGCAACATCGAAACTTTGCGCCTTGTAATACTCTCATGGCACTGCAGCAGCCCCGTTTATAGGTTGTGCGTCCATAGACACAGTAGCCTATCATAGAAACTTGTCGAGAGGCACGTCAAACTACGCTCGTCAGGGTTATATACACAGTCGGATGCGTAGTTCATGCTCTGATGCTCTTCAAACTTTGCAAGTACTGCGCTCCGCCAACATTGGCCATCATCAGTCACGATTTCCACTATTCTGGCCCCGGCATGCATGCAGGACGCCAGAAGGAGGATGTGGACAGAGCCCTTTCCACAAGAGTCTGACTTCAAATCGATCAAATCTAACCGCCATACACCACCGCCAAGGTCCATTTCTGTCAACAGCTGCACCATCTTGGTCCCATGGCTTTCATGCGGATCATGTATAGCAAGCACCCGAAGCATATCATCATAGCTCCCCGTAACAACAACCCGCCAACCAGCTGATGTCCAGGTTGAGAGGGGTAGAATCGCAGTCACGCCGGCATTGTGTGCCCCCTTGATGCCTATCGAGGCGGAAATAGTCTCCATTTTTGCATCATTGTCGTGGGGGGCCAGAGAGCACGATGTGTATCTCAGTATTGAGTCGTCGCCCCCACAATAGACAGTTGTCGGTTGCCCAATATCACCTCTACTATTGTCTGGATTGGAGAAGCAAACTGACCAGGCCTCCAAGGTATTTTGAATGTCCAAGTCCGTCCAACCCTGGATGGACCAGGAGTTGTCAAGGTGCAGCAACCGCGCAAGACCGGTCGAAGTAGTCACCGCGATCGTGTTTTCAACGGAAGGATGCCAGTTGCACTGCAAAAACAAAACATCCTCTCCCAGATCGGCACATCGACTCGTTGCCACATGCTCCAGCGCTGGACCATCACCTGTTTCGAGACGGTATATAGCCAGCGTGCCCGTGCTCGACACAACGGCAAAGACGCTCTGGGGCGTTCTACGGGTTGGGTGAAAGCGAAGATCTAAGACTGCGGAAGGTTGTGGCTCCGTTTGAATCTTGATCCTGGTTGCGTGGTTAGGGCCTCATCTCGGTTAAGAGTAGATAGAGTATGCACTGGTATTAGGCAAAAGTCGGCATTGAAGACTCACAAATCGCTCCCGTCCAGGTGGAAAAGCATTAAACTACCATTTCGACTCTGGGGTCTCTTGAATGTGCTTTCCTCCGGCAAATCTTGTTGCTTCTCTATTGGATCTTGGCTCTGTAAATTATAGGTCCCAACCACGAAACAAGACTGGTCGACTGGGCAAAATTGCAAACAGCTCGGTGGCAATTCAAGCCGCATACTCTTGGTAGATGATATAGCCCTGAGGTTATCCATGGCTGGCCGCTTTTAGTAGTAGCCGTTCAAACAAGTGTTGTGCCCTTTACCGTCAAATTCAATGTCTGATAAGTTGACAGACCCTTTGAGGGTTGAGCAAGTCAAAATCATCTCGGCAGTTCGACGGGCACGGCTGGTGGGGCAGAGACACAATGCTCACACCATGGATCGGACCGCACATGCATTAGCAGAGAGAGAGGCCCCCCTGCAACGCAAGCCGCCTTGCAAAATGACCAAGATCAGCCGTTGGGTTCTCCAAAACTACGGAGTACCAACGCCAGGAGTTGTTTAGTTTAGACTCCCCAGATGTCGCGACCAGTTCGAAATGTAACCACATGTGCCGAGCCCCGTCCAAACACCCAGTCCCGTTCTAAAGTGAAGCTACGAAGTGCTATACAGCGAATGGTTCATACACAACCCCTTGTATTTTTTTAAAGAAAAAATTCCCCTCAGCTTGGCAACGTTCGGTGGAGGTAAGCACTGGCGTGAAGCCTCGAACTACTGCGGCAATTGTACAAACCCTTTTGTCTGTGAACGTCATCTGCTGCCACATAAACTGGCACCCCGCGGGAATGGATTCGGACGACTCAGAATTCTATGGTACAGACTTTCCGAAACAATACCGCATTGACAACTAGTTAATAAATGGATTTCTAGGGAGCCCAGACGAGAGGCGGCAGCTCCAAACCCGCGTTGACAGATTCGACGCCCATGCCTGGGCCGAGCAACACAGCGTCTGGGGATTCGGTTCTCCTTGCAGAAGCCCAGCGGTCGCGGCCAAGTCTACAAAGCTACACAACCCTTACGCTGGAATTAGCTACGCGTGGCAGCTCTCTGAAACACTGGATGATTTCTTGTCGAGGCTACCTCCTGAATCGACTGACGGGAGTGAGGACTTGCCCTGGATTTTCATATGCAACCCATACGTTTCGCGAAAGGAGAAGCACGAGGAAAATGGCGGATACATGAAAGGGAACGAGTGCGAAGCTCCGACGGAGAAGGACAGCCACGTCGGCCTCGTGGTTGAAGGCGGAATGGAGAGATTGGAGCTTCTTGCAGATTTCAGGCAAAAGTTGGAGCTGTCAGGCAGATCGACCACATTTTTGAAGCAAGAGCTATTACAAGAACAGAATCAGGCTGTGGTCGATATTCTCCGTCTAGCCCAAGCGGGCAAGGTTCGAAGCGGCAAGGTATGTACGCCATTGTCAAGAGGGAGAACGTGGCGTGACGCATCCAAATTTCCCTGCCCTGTGCTAACACTAGTATTGTATTCGGTCCATTCTCCCAGTGGATGCTCTTTTGCTCGCCTTCCGAGGTCAACGAAATTTGGGGCTTGGTTGCCAAAGCTACGGCACAAAACGAGCTCGGTATAGCAGCCAAGGTAAACCCTAGGTCGCAATTCGATGATTTTCGCAAAGACAGGGTCATCTGCATATATACGGCCGATTTCCAAGACAAATCCGACGTCGGGCGTGTCTTGCAACAGTTGAAGAGGCTCAAGCTTGTTGGGCCAGGGCTACCAACCATGTACTACAAGCCCGGTGAGTCAACATCGCGGGGTAACTGCAAGACGATGCCACCGCCGCATCATGCTGACGACGAGTCAGATATATTTACCTACATTGGTATTTCGCATGGAAACCCTTGGGGACTCGCTGCTTCGATCTACAGTTCGAAATCATTTCAGTAATGGATTTTCGGGTTGCCTGGCCCAACCAAAAATTCCAAGTACCTTGGGAATATAAATTTGCAGCACTCACAAGGGTGGGTAAAAGATGAGGGTAGAACCAGGTTTCACGGCATCTAGACTTCGAATATGACGATCAATTTGTTCGCTGGGCTGTTAGAATGATAATTTTATTTCCATTGTATCCTGAGTTAACGCCATAAACGCCATATACTCCATTTAATGCTAAAGCCGCCTTTGCTTCTTCCAAGTCAACAAGTATAATGATGCAATCATGCGCTGGCTTCTTTCATGTATGCTCGAGAGCCCCAAATGTCATTTGAATCCCCAGATGTACGTGTCAAGACACTTCCCCGATGAGATAGTCCTGGGTGACGTCGAAGTCAACGCTCCTTAGCGGAAGAACGAGTCGATATGCGCTATTGCCATTCAGATAGTAACGGTGCAACTTTTTGGACCGCAAGAACCCCAGCCGTTCGTAGAGTCGCATGGCTGGAGTATTTGATTCTTCAGTCTCCAGAACAATCTCATCGGCATTGCGTTTGGTCATGGCGTCGATAGCTTGTTGCACGAGTGCGGTTGCGATGCCGTGGCCGCGAAAGGACGACTCGACTGCCAGCATAGCGATATACCCGCGCCGAGTTGGTGGAGAGTGAGACGAGTGAACTTCGAGTTTACAAATGATCACACCGACAAGGGATGAGTCGGATGGATTTATGGCCTGGAGTCAACTGAAATTAGCGGACTGAGCGTGTTGCCAGACAACGGACATGTTGGACTTGTGCGCCGAGGCTCCGTACTACTGACCATGAAGCAAAGATGGGCCCACTGACAAAGAAAATATCTGTAGACATAGATGCTGTAAGGCTCGCTCAAGTCTTTAGAGATGAGTGATCGTATGGCTGGCAAATATTCAGACTCAAGACTGTGCTGATACTGGATGAAGCGCAACTGCGAGGACGATTCCTCTTTTCGTGGGAGGGCCATGATGAAACGAGCTTCTGCCGCCAAGACCTGGAGTACGGATTGAAACAGACCTGGTTGTCCTCAGGTGGTGTATATATAGTGCTCCACGACGAGTGACGAGAGTATGCCCGGCCGGTTAACGCTATGTAGGGCAGGTTGTTGGGCTAGCTGTCAGGACGAGCTGCAAACAGTCTCCGATGTTGCCTCCGACTGTGCCTCCAACTGAATCACACCAGTTGCCAACAACCCAAAAGCCAGTCAGGATGGGCTCTTCTTGTATTGGGCGTTGGGCGTCCAACAGCTGCCAGGGCCCGGTCTGGTAAGGCTGACAAGCAGACTCTGACAAGGAGGTCAAGTGTCTGGACGGCGCGACGAAGACGGACTCCAGTTAATGACGGGTTAGGCAACAGGCAGCTCTTGAGCATAGATCATTGATGGATTGCATGGATCGAGCGGGCCGGTGCGGCTCTTGAGCGGCGTGTCCAAACGTCGACTGGTGGTCTGGTGGCACCGCCGTGGCATCAATTGGCGGGGCTTTCAATGTTCAATGTTGGCGATCACATGTGAATCCCCTAGTCAGCGGGGTTTGTACGCGTAAAGTATTGACGCAACGGCCTGAGCTGGCAACGTGCGGACAGAGTGCTTTGTACTCTAGTACTTCAGCCAACAGAACCAGTACAAATGACCAGACTGAACTACCTTATGTTCGCAGAGAACAAGAAGAAAGTTCTGAGTAAAGGATCGGGAGGGCATAAATAGCTGCATGCCCTGGCCACAATGCAGTATTTTCCCTGTTTTTATCTGCATGTGCCCTGATCTTTACCGAATTTATTTTTCTGGGCGTGGTCTCATCAATTGATGTCACCTATGAAGTTCTAGTCGTCCGGGGTCCATGTCACAGCCCTTGTCCTCCTCTGGTCTTGTCTGCCGGGCTAAACCAAAACAAAATGCTACACATGCACATAATAGTCAGTGCCGATCCTTCTCGTATGTACAGTTCGCTCTCGTCCCTGTTTACTCTTCTGCTCAACACCACTTGAAGGGTTCCTCGATACATGAAAATTGTCCAATTGCAGAGAAACCATCGACAGCTGCCGGTACGACGCAGAACGGTTATTAGCGCAATTTCCTCACTACTCCCCGGGTAGCCTGCTCGCGACCAGACGGAGTCTGGAAACTTGAATTCAACGGCCAAGAAAACAAAAACACCCGACACGACAAGGAGAGCGGATAAAAACTTGCCGCATTCTGCCACATGGCCACCACGCTGCGTCGCCGCGCACCACGCGAGACACAACCAGTTGACGACGGTTCGCCAACCCGCGAAGATAGTCCAGCCATCGAGCCGACGGCGCATATCCATGTGGTGGAAAAGGCACCTAGGGCGACGCGAAAGAGGCGGAATACCTTTATATTCTTACTGGGCGGAATATGCGGCTTGCTAGCTGCAGGCTTTTTTGCCAAAACCAATGATCTTATAGACTTCCCTGAAATCGGCGAGCTGAGCATGGACAGCTTCCTCGATGTCCTTCCGGCTGGCCTAATTAAGGATATGCGCGACTTGGTGCAAGGCGAGCGAGAAGTCACAGATGCGTACGACTCTTTTTCAGTCGGCCTCAAGGCACGATCCGAGGGCCTACACGCTCACCATCCCGTGATCATGGTTCCAGGAGTCATTTCCACTGGCTTGGAATCCTGGGGAACTGCCAACACATCACGTCAATACTTCAGGAAACGCTTGTGGGGCAGTTGGACAATGATGAGGGCCCTCGTGCTCGACAAGGAGTTGTGGAAGAAGCATATCATGCTTGATAAGAAAACTGGCCTCGATCCGCCGGGCGTGAAATTACGGGCCGCGCAGGGCTTCGATGCCACAGACTTCTTCATTACGGGATACTGGATCTGGAATAAAATCTTCGAAAATTTGGCCACCATTGGTTATGACCCGACAAACTCTTTCACAGCTGCCTACGATTGGCGGTTGTCCTACCAGAATCTTGAGGTGAGAGACCGGTACTTTTCCCGCCTCAAGTCACACATTGAGTCTGCCGTGGAATATGATGGCGAGAAGGTGGTCCTAGCCTCTCACAGTATGGGCAGCCAGGTCGTTTACTACTTCTTTCACTGGGTTCAGTCAGAACAAGGTGGTCGCGGAGGAGAAGACTGGGTGGATCGTCACATCGGGTCTTGGATCAATATCAGCGGATGCATGCTTGGTGCAGTGAAAGACCTTACCGCGGTATTATCCGGTGAAATGAGGGATACCGCACAACTGAACGCCTTTGCCATATATGGGCTGGAGAAATTTTTGAGTAAAGAAGAGCGGGCGGAGATTTTTCGCGCCATGCCCGGTCTCTCTTCCATGCTGCCGCTCGGCGGCAACGCAGTTTGGGGTGATTTGAATTGGGCACCGGACGATCGACCGAACCAGAACTTTTCATATGGTTCTGTTCTCAATTTCAAGGTCGGGGCCAATTGGACCGCTCCGGACAAAAACATGACTGTTGACGGCTCTATGAAATACCTCTTTGAAACTACAGAGGACTGGTATCAGAAACATGTTAAAAACAGCTACTCTCACGGTGTTGCGCACACCGCAGCTGAAGTGGAAGCTAATGAGAAGGACCCGAAGAAATGGATCAATCCACTTGAGACTCGTCTGCCAAACGCCCCCAATCTGAAGATATATTGCTTCTATGGTGTAGGCAAGCCAACCGAACGCGCATACTACTATCGAGCCCCAGATCAGCCAGCAAGCACAAGGCTCAAAATTACAATTGACACGGCGCTCACTGAAGGTGAAGTTGATCATGGTGTGGTGATGGGCGAAGGTGATGGCACAGTCAATCTTCTTAGCACAGGATACATGTGTAATCGCGGGTGGCATATGAAAAGGTATAACCCTGGCAATTCAAGGATCACGGTGGTAGAAATGCCTCACGAACCGGAGCGATTTAATCCCAGAGGCGGCCCGAAAACTGCTGATCACGTAGACATCCTGGGCCGCCAAAACCTGAACGAACTGATACTTAGGATCGCAGCGGGTAAAGGCGATACCATCACTGATTATGTTGTCAGCAACATCAGCGAATATGCTGACAAGGTCAAGATCTATGAAGAGGGCGAGCAAAAGGCCGCAGCGAAATCATAGTATATGTGTCTCATTCTATACACGAAGTAGGAGTTTTGCTTGTTTGCTCTGTGTAGAGGAAGTTGATGGGCTGGCGTCATGGTTGGTTGCCAATTGCGTTCCCGAAAAGGCCTGTTGGAAATGTTGGGCATGTTTCAATGTACGGAGTACTATACCCTCGATCTTGATGAAAAGATTTGAAGAATTATTGTAGACCAAGGCCTACCAAACATGTTCGTTCGTAGGATACTTGATCTGGAGGGGTTACAGGCCACGTTTATGACCTGCAATGTAAAGTCCATATGTCTGGAATGGGTGACGGCTAGTAGAAATAAGGTCTGGTGTTGCGCAAATGTGGCTTGCTGTGCCCATCGCATGGATGGCTTACCCCACCACTAATGTTCTCCAAAAGCGTGGCATCTCTGCCAAAACCACCCCCCTTTCCACCACAACCTTGCGACTCAAGCCCCTTGGATGAAGATAACCGGGTGGCAGGGAGACGATTTACTTGATTTAAGGACATTGCTGCCGTGGACCGGCTAGGAGAGGCCCGATGCTGCCGGTGTCCCTCTTTCACCCGGCACCCAGTCAGTCATGGAGGACAGTGACAACATCGTCACTGCAGTCAGCTCCGAAGATGAGCATCGACTTTGGACGGGTAAGGCACATTTGGGGCGCATCATACACCGCTTCCATTTCACCGCAGCTTACATGTTTTCTCCAGAGATGAGCGAATGCCTTGCCGCCGATTGCACGAGCCACGAATCCATCGACGACACCCTTCGCGAGTGGCTGGAAATCACTGCCCGGTTGCGATATTGCACCGTGGATTCGCACGACGATTTTTTAGCATGCGCTCACATGTTACTAGAGAGCGACATCTTCAGGAACAATAAAGACTACGTGCGGACTCAGATTATTCACAGTCTACTGCAGGAAGACGAGACCGCGCCGTTGCACGCCATCACCAGCTTCCTGTTTCTTGACGGTTGCAGCGATGAGGCGACGTTCCCGCGGATGATTGAGGAATCGTGCTTCCCCCGGCTTTTAGAGCTTATAACTGCACAGCAAGAGGACGCAGATCCTCGATTGCACCGCCTCCTGCTCCAGCTAATGTACGAAATGTCACGAGTGGAGCGGCTGAACTTTGAAGATTTGACGCTGGTTGATGATTCCTGTGTCCATTACCTTTTCCAACTGATTGAGGGTGTCTCCGATGATGTACGGGATCCTTACCACTACCCTACCATTCGAGTTCTGGTGAGTAAGCAAACTGTGCTGATTTCATATCAACGCGTCGTCAGGACTGACCTGCCCTAGCTTGTTTTGAATGAACAATACATGCTGGCTTCGACCGATTCTGTAACAGAAGGGTCAAGTACGATATCGAACCCATTAACAAATCGCATCGTCAAGTGTCTGAGTCTTCACGGACCCCTGTACAGAACCTTTGGCGAAAATGTCATCCTACTTTTGAACCGGGAAACCGAAACTTCGCTTCAATTACTGATTTTAAAGTTATTGTATCTGCTGTTTACAACAAAAGCCACATACGAATACTTCTATACCAACGACTTGCGAGTTTTGCTGGATGTCATAATTCGGAATTTAATGGATCTACCGGACGAGAAGATATCCTTGCGCCATACATACTTGCGCGTCATGTACCCGCTCTTGGCTCATACACAACTCAATCAGCCACCTCACTACAAAAGAGATGAGGTCCTCCGTGTTCTGAGAATACTTCGTGGGTCCCCGAACGCGCATTTTGCCCCCGCAGACGAGACGACTCTACGATTGGTAGCTCGAGTGACAAAGGTTACATGGATCGAAGAGAAGGAAGAAGAGAAGGAAGGTCCGGGGCAAGCCGAAGTAGCCCGCAAATTCCTTGGAATCAGCCTGTCACCGTCGCAATATGCCAGTAGCATCAGTGTGGGCGATGTGGCGGGGGTAATGGAACGACCTGGGGTCCAAACTCCAAGTCGAAAAGCATCGACGGCATCAGATACGCACGGCAAGACCGATACGGAAGGCAATGGCGCGGAACTGTCTGCAAGGGCAAAGAAGCCACTTCCCATCGTCCCAAAACATCGACATGGCATCCCATTTACTCAGACAGCCAAAGTTTGTGGAAGTGTGAACGGCGAAGGCAAAAAGATTCCTCCCAAAGCACCACCGCCCCGGCGTTGGGGTCGAAGGAAGAGTTTGACGGAGCAATCACCCGTAGAACCCATCGGCGAAGCTAACCCAGACTGAGGACCGCGAGGGCAACGGGGCATGGCAAAGTGTTGTTGAATATGCATTATTGCTTGGTCCCAAGTTATCATTCCGGGTTTATCGAAGTAGCTTGTGTTTACGACACGGCGCTCCTTGGTTTGGAATACAGGTCTAACTGTTCGTGCATGTGGCGAGCCGACAGAAGGGAATATATGGTGCGCCTACATAGCTATATGTTGGGACAGCAAGAGTAGTGGTTATCAAGATCTTTTAGCGTTTATGGCGTCGCGGAGTTACGGGTGCACGAGTAACATTCATCCAGCAACATAAATCAAACGTTGCAAGTAATCAGCTTCTTGTGTCCGCACCAACTAATCTGTAGGGTACATACACAGATGGAGCCTACAGAGGGCGGATGGTAAGCGGTTCAATCCACACGAGATTAATCATCTAAATTGAGTACTCGGCGGGGTGTGTACAGACGGGTTGAGAGTTGTTCAGTGAGAAAGAGGAAAAACCAAAAAATGACGAGCATTCATCCAGGAACATGGATGCCGACTTGTGAAGAAATTCTAATGAGGCACCGACGATTCCTTGCAAAGAAGGTTGCGGACGCGTCATTTGGATGCTATACCATGTATGTACCTCGTGAGAAATGAGAAACGGGAATTGAAGCGTGAAACAGCCGGTAGTGCTGCATGGTGGCTGAGCAGCCGATGCAGGCACTCCATAATCTAATCTACTCCATACAGGGCAAGGAAACGTACTCCGTACCAGACTTGAGATATGCTCACATGTCCTTGTGCCCTGGTGACTTGGTCTGACTTGAGGAAACAAAGGTTGTTAGGGTCTTTTCGACGAGGATCAGCCGTCTTGAAACGGATATTGGCTTTTTTAGTTCTCCTTTTTCATGTCAACTCTTTTTTTGTGCTGCTGGAACTCATACGTAATCTGGACACTGAAGTAGTTAGGTACCACTACGTACTCCGTACTAACTGCGACATCGTGCAGATGGTCTCAATTGACGCTCGGGTAGGCTTCAGCTTGGGAAGCTCTGCTCTGACGTCATATTCTGACCCCCCCCCAGTGTCTTCTTGGCAGCAACGGAGTTATCTCCACCACCATCATCGTCACCACAGTGGCACCAGTGGCTGAAGGCCTGCCTTGTACATGTTAGACAGCACAGCACAAACATGGTTTTCCACCACGTCTTCCAATAGCGGCCACTTGCCGCACCATCTGGCCATAGCTGTGCTTGGCACGCTCCAATGATTCGTAGGTTCAGTGGGCGCCCGAATATTTGTCATTCGAGTACGAGTATCAAGACGCAAGTTTATTAGTCCTTGGCCTGGCTTGAGCTATCGCAGATGTAGTCAGTAATCATCAAGCGGGCGATGGGCAAAAAAGCTGACTTGCCCAGACTGTTTGCGGGTAAATGGAGTGCCTGCGACACTGCCTAGCCAATGTTCCTTTTCCATTGCTGTTGTAGTCCTTTGCTAATTTGAAAAAAAAAAGAGTGAAAAGCTTCCCGCATCTTAGACTGTCACTGCTGTATCTCAAGTAAAGATTCTAGCACGGCCATCGTGATATATTTTCAGGTGGTATCACGACGGTATAATCACTTGTTGGCCGTGCAGATTCACGGGAATGGGCGGACTTGGAATATCTGAGATGCACCCCCATTTACGTACACAGATGGATCATGGAAGACAGATTCCACGATATCCCCCGGGGGGGGGGGGGGCCTTCAGCATCACTGCAGTGATAGAATAATGACGACCTAGGACAGTGCTGCCAGGCAAAACACAAACAGAAATGTAGCTACTTCTTGGCTCCATGTCGGCCCAAATGTCATCTCGCCCTTGTTTCCCATTGCTTCCATGACATCAATGGACGAACAGCCGTGGCTGACGGAGCGTGCTAGCTTCGGGCCAAGTCTCATTGGGAGTCAAGCTATTGCGTCAACGTCGCCGTGTCCGGGAGCCCGCCTTGCCCGCCCAGCCCTTAGTGCTACCAGGACGTGCTTGAGTGGGTGATGAGTGGTGGTAGGTAGTGGGGAGTCGTTGACCGAGTCCACGTCTGGATCTGGATCCTCAATGTCGAGCCGGATCAATTGATATTTGTTGCATCTACGGAGTACAGTGGGTGTAGAAGACAGTTGGGGAAAGCCATTCACGGTAATAACCGCTGGTGTGCAGATGAACTGGCGGTGCCACTTGCAGCTCGCCGTCGACCGATTTGCACCACCAAGGTCGCGTCTGGTAGATTCAGATTGGGGCGTCGAGTCCAGATGTCGACGGTCCGTCTGGTATCCTGGGTAAAGTTACCGAGTTCTTTGGGTCAAGTGGTTTTCCCAGTCTGTGGCGCCTGGCCATTCCTCCCTCCTGCCTTCCCAAACTCCAAGCTCCCACATGTGCCAGCTCCCAAGCTCCCAAGCTCCCCCCACACACCTCCACCCCCCTCCCTCGTCCTACCGTTCCCGTCTGTTTGCGCTCGGATCTGTGACCAGGTCGCTGCCTCATCCTCACTGCCTCACCAAACCTTGAAGGGTCTGCGGCCTGCCGGTCTCCCGTCGGCCGTCTACCAAACTTTCAAGGTTTTGCTTGCTCCTCTGGCCCTGCGGCCTTTATAGCTCCACCTCCGCCATGGATCGTCTGGTGTCGTCTTCTCTCCCACAGCAGACGTCCGATGCCAACCTGAACCGAAGCGCCTCCCTCCCACACAGCCAGTCCCAGAGTCACCCGCGACAACGGCAACAGCGGGAGCAAGAGCAACGACAGGAATACAATCACCGACGCAGCACTTCTCAGGCTCCCATACTGGAGCACCAGCACGCGCCAGGCAGCAAGACTGCATCTCCTGCTCCCCTGGCCGGCGTGGGCAGGTTCACCGAGGAGTGGGACGCCAGCCAGCGCGGCAGCTCCATCATCGACGAGAGCAACCGACCCGGTTTCGCCGCCATGCAGCGCTCCAATTCCGTGCACAGCTTCGCTGCTGGCGATGATCAGCAGCTTCCCGTGCGAAACAACACACTTCGCAAGAAGTCGTCCATGAGACGAACCAGCAGCCTCAGACGCAGTAGCAGTCGCCGAAGTAGCAGACCCGGCAGTGTTAGGAGTTTGGCCTTGCATTCGGCCTCGGACCGTGATGATGCTCACAGCGCTTTTTACTGCCCTATCCCTACCTCCGGCACTCCGACAGATGTCCTTGCCAGCAGATTCCAGAGTATGTCAAGTGACCTTGCATTCCCCATGTGTGCGACGTCATCTCGTCATCCGTGACTATGGCTCTATCTAGCTCTAGCTCTAGCTCTTGCCGCAGACGCGAACTTGCGATAACTCTGCTAATGCCAGCGTACTTCTAGCCTGGAGAAAGGTTCTCAAAGACTTGATAGCCTACTTCCGCGAGATCCAGTCGCACTACGAGCAAAGGTCCAAGGCCCTTGTCAAGCTTGCCAATGTTGCAAACAATATCTCGACCCCCCCGCAGTTTCTTCGATCTGCCGGGATTGACGATGCCCTGCAGTTTCTCCGTAACTACAACACAGCTGCCATTCAAGAAGCTAATAAGTCCAAGGAAATCGAGGAGGATGTAATCTTAGCTCTGACAGGGTTGAGGAGCGATCTTCAGCAGAAAATCAAGGAAATCAAGCACTTATCTGGCGACTTCAAAAACTCAGTGGATCGCGAGATGGAGACCACGTCCAAAGCCGTTCGTGCTCTTGCCGAAGTTCTCGACAAGACGGAAATAGACGCCTCGTCTACAACGGGGAAGCAAGATCCCTATCTGATGCGCCTCGCAGTTGACCGACAAGTCGAGCGCCAAATAGACGAAGAGAACTACCTTCACCAGGCAAGCAAACATTCCCCCAGCCGACTTCTTCCCACCGACTGGGAGCAAAATATCTTCAATCACACCTTTCTTACCATTCTCGTAGGCATATTTGAACCTTGAAGGCTCTGGCCGTGAGCTGGAGTCAATTGTTGTTGGGGAAATCCAAAAGGCGTATAACGCTTACGCAGGTATCCTCAAGCGCGAAGCCGACAATGCCTATGCAGTGGTAGATGAACTGCGCGAAGGTCCCATCAACATGCCCAAGGACCAAGAATGGATTCATTTCGTCACACACGATGACCACATCGTTGACCCTACCGTACCCATGCGATCTTCTGATCAGATCCATTACCCGGGCCAGGATCATGTCTCAGCACAGGAGATTCGAGCTGGGCTTCTGGAGCGCAAGAGCAAATATCTGAAGAGCTACACAGCCGGATGGTAAGTTATTATCACCCCGGTATTTTTCCGCACTTCTTCATTTTGGTGCCTGCTGTTTATTCTGCGATTCATTACTGCTTTCAAAGTTTAATCAGCACGTACCACGGGTCGACTAACAATTTCCCAGGTATGTCCTTTCTACAACACACCTCCATGAGTTCAAGTCGGCGGACAAAGCACAAGCTCCGGTCATGTCACTGTACTTGCCCGAGCAGAAGCTCGGCTCCCATTCGACCGAGGGTGGCTCATCCAACAAATTTATCCTCAAGGGGCGACAAACTGGCACGATGCACCGCGGGCACACCTGGGTTTTCAGAGCCGAAAGTCATGATACTATGATGGCATGGTACGAGGACATTAAGGCATTGACTGAAAAGACCCCCGAAGAACGATCCCAGTTTGTTCGCACTCACTCTCGAAGCTTAAGCCGATCATCCCGTCGATCCGTTAGCAGTGATGGCATCGTGGACGAAGACGATGAAGAGCCTTTCTCTGCGAATCAAGTGGACGTCAACCCAGAGCCACGAGAGGACATGGTTTCCCGACGGCCTCAACCAGGTGGGCGGTTTCCATCAGATCTTCAAATCAACGCACAGCGTGGCTTACAGGCGCCACAATCGCCATCTAGTGTAAGCTCCGGTCACCAGGATCACTCTCCGGATGCCCAAGCCTATGCGGCTGCGGGGGCTCTACCGGCGGCTGCGCTTGTAGCCGGACGTGAGGGTCAGCATCTGCACCATGGCCAAGAAAATCACATGGGCTATGGAGGCACCGAGCAAACTCCAATGGAAGATATGCCATCCCAAGCTGCCATAGCCAGTCAACAGGCGCATCATGATGGCGTTAATCCATACACATGCGAACCAGTTCCCCATCCGTCAAACCAAGACGGGGGGTATTTTGCCGGCGCCTTCGTGGGTTCACAAGGACATCAAGATCACGACCTTGACGGGAAAGCCACCAACGTTGTCCCTGAAGCCTCTGAGCTTTCAAATGCACCCCGGCAAAATGTAGATACCGAGCCTGTCAATTCTGGTGAACGCGAAGTGGCTTCTAACACGACCGAAAACGACAGTCAAAGCCATGCAAATGCTAATGCTACGGCCGACAAAATAAGTCCCCTTGTATTGGCAGCCAGTAATATCCCTAGATCCGAAACTCAACGAGAGTTAGCCCTCCAGGTGGTTCCCGAAGCCAGTGCCACCGAACATACCACCCCGGCCGAAACTTCTTTGGGAGGGACAAGCAGACCGAAGAGAGAAACTGACGACAGAACGGAAAGCGCTGCCACTATCTCAAACTTGCAAATCCCCGGGAAATACCCGAAGGGCAGCGGTATTGTCTCGCCTTAAGTGTTCCATCTTTTTGAAGGCTTTTCCTTTATTTCTGCTTCTTAAAAGCGATTGATGGGGCTCCTTTTCATGTTATTTCCTTGATCGATGCTGTTCCCACATCGTTCTGCTGTACATGTCGTGGTGTTTTTATCGGGTGTCTTTTGTCTTCTTCCTACTACGATTTGTTAGGCTATGTTTCTTGGATTATGAAAGCGCCTCTACACATACAGTTTTCTTGTTAACTTGCTGTACGGTGCTGCCTGAATGGGATAGTTTTCCTCTGCCGCGTGTGTACCTGTATACTTAGCAATATTTAGTAGACAGAAATTGAACACGCTTTTTTGGTATTTCACCCCCAAACACGCATTCGTGTCATGGAGAGCCGGCACATACCAACTGGCGGGCACAAAGAGGAACTTTGTAATGGCCACGGCACGCACATTATACCAGGTTGCAGTGATTCACGCCCATGACTTGACAGCCGTCTGTCGCAGTAGGAAGCTTCCCTAGGCATTATGCTGCCACCATATTACGTTTCTCGCCTAAGGCTAGAGCCAGCCAGTTATCTTCTCGAGAAACATGTATTCGACTGCCCTACTTTGTAGTTTTGTGTTATTCTCACTGGGCAGCCGTTGCGTGGCTATAAAAAGTCCACGCCCCGATGCACATGTTACCACGAGGTCCCTGTGTGACAATGATGAAGCCGGGTGGTCACTTTCCTACCGCAACACCCATCAATCGGAGTCTGGCCACGAGGGCCGGATCCGCAACTTCAACAACGTTGTCGGGGATCTGCTGTAGCATCTGCACGGTTCATGTAACGGCTCATGTAACGGATCGTGATGATCGTCATGTGCAAAAGCTCATTGACCTCACAAGTTTCTGTGTACCTGAGGCTTCCCGTATATCCGTTATTGGGTATCATGCATCTCATTTTTATTTCTTCAAGCATGGGTTTTCCATCTGAAGCTACGGGTATTGTAAGAATTGCTACCCAGTCCTCGTATGTCATTCCGGTATCAATAATCCCATTTCCGTGTACCTCGTTACTCTTCTCAACTTCCTAGATTCCTCTAAGCGCTAAAACCGCTTTACGCTCTACCCACTGCAAGTCAGTGCCGACTGTAAGTCATAATTTTCCTGGCCCGCGTCTTCGATCACAGCGATGTATGTACGGGTGGCTCCAATCCACAGCGCACCGCATGAACCATTTGCCCACCCCCTTCCTCTCACTAAACGGCTCATTGTCGTCCAATCAGCGCCGCCGCTGAATGCCAAACAAAACGAATGGGGGGCAAGACGACGTCTCCTACGGCTTGGGTATGCGGATGGTCTTGCTCGTCATCAGACATCCATGCAACATGAACAGAAGTACTGCGGGATGGAACTCTAGCGCCGAGTCTTTTAACCATGCCCCAAAAGGCACGTCGTCGAGGACCTGGCCACAATATACCCAATATGCCATGAGGCCATCGAGAAAAAGAGACGTCGGGATCGGTGTACCCTCGAAGAACTTGCTCTTGCCCGTAGCGTCCTTGGGAAGCACTGAAACAGTAACGTTGAAGCGAGCAAGACGCGTTAGGCCACATAGGACGAAGAAGGCGAGCCCGACGGTGTCGAGAGTAGATCGAAAGCCGATAGTAAACGCCACCATGGCCGGCGCGACCCCAAACGAAATCTATATGAACGAGGGTGTTAGCAAGCCATGTGCATCGATTGCAACGGAATCCTGCATCGCGTTGCAAACAAAACGGCAAAGTGAAATCGCACCAAATCGGCTAGAGAATCCAGCTCTTGACCCATGAGACTGCTCTTATTTCTCCACCGTGCCACCCTCCCATCGAGAAAATCGAAAAACAGGCCAAAGGGCAAAAAGGCCAACGCCAGCCAAACATTGTCAAAAGAATCCGGATCGCCCAGACAGTATCGAAGAGACGAGAAAATGGACATGACTCCGCAGAAGCCTATAGAAGGGTGCGAACGAGCAGTTAGCACGCCGGCCATCCCAAGAGACGCAAGACTTGTCGCGTGTAGATCTGCAGCTTGAAGAGAGAAAGGAGAAAAATACCATTCATTAAAGTGATGAGGTCGGCGAGATGCATGGCCCGCACGAGGGAGAAGTGTCCAACGTCTGCAGATAGTAGCGTCTTTTGCTTGTCGATAGCTTCGCAAGCAAGCAAGCAAACCACGTAGTTAGTTTCGAAATAGGCTTAGATTTCGGTGAACGCTAAGATAGCCGTCAATGGCAACATACCAGGCTGATTATGATTGAAACTAGTCTTCCCCATGGCGCCGTTCGCGCTTGAGGAAGCAACGCTACTTCTCTTCGACATTTTATTTCCCGTAGCACTGAGGGTTAGAGGCGCAGTTGGGAACCTTTCAACCTCAGAAACTGGCGTCGAGGAAGGAGACCAGGGGCATTCAAAAGCCTTTGGCGTCGAGGTTGGAGAGTAAAATGTCTTGAAAAAAATTCGACAGGGGAAAATGGAAGAAGAGAAAGCGTTGAGAAATCCCTTTGGAAAGCTAAAGGGAAGGAAAAGAGAAGACCCAAAGACGTCAGGATCTGGCAACGAGGTTCAGAATGACGGATGACGCCTCGATTGGAGGCTTGTGGCCGTGACCTTGTTTCTTGGGGGGCTGGGCGGGAAAACCAGGCAAGAGGGTACTTAAGTAGGTAGCACTGCATCCGGCGGGTGACTTGGGGTGACGGAGACTGACTGGCTCTGTGGCGGTGTTGATCGATTGATTGGCTACCAGTTCCAACTTTGAGCTCAAGGTTAGGTACGTACCAGTCAGAGCTTGGGTTTGCATGTGGTCAGGGAGCCCAGCCAACAGCTACCGTACTTTATGTACTTATGCAAGGTTACTTAGTACATACTTACTTAAGTACACTACCGGTACCTAGCAGTTACATGTTGGGACTGACCAGTCTTAATTGATGAACCACTGGAGTTCAATTATTAGTCATCAGATAGCCGTTTAGTCTCATTATTCTAAAACTCCTACAATCAACTCCTATTCTTGATGCGAGTACGTCTTCGATTCCAATTACCTATTACTTCACTAACCAGCTATGATGAGTACTCCATACATCATTGTGATTCCCTTCACACGCTCAGCCAAGTCCGGTCAACAAAACAGGAAAACCATGCCGCCGTGCTACACTATATAGCCTTGGTCATAATCAATGCTGGTTTCAGAGGGAAATACAAAAACAACCAGAACAAAACTAGATGCCCCTCCTAACGCCGTGTTGCGGTGTCGACCCGAATATAATATACCACTTCTTTGTGCTGAACATTAAGACTGTAGCCTGCGCCGCTAAATGACCCCAGACGACAAAGGCGGAAGAAGCATCACACATCGTGTTCCCCATGCATCGCTCAACCCCGTCCCGAATCCATAGACATCTATTAGTGCTGGCAAATTCACCATGACCAAATAACTGAATTTGAAGCAGTCGCTTCGTCATCTCACCCGGCGAAAAAAAAAAAAAAAGGGGGGGGGGGGCTTCAACGTGTCGGAAACAGAACCAAGAAGGAACCCTGAACTCCTTCGAACCGCTTCATCGTTTTATCAAAACCGATAAGCCATCAACCCATGACCCGCATGAGCCCGATATGCCGCAAATGCTGTATCCGCGCGGTGGAATGATGTTATGGCTACAGGGAAAGCTTTCGTTAGTGCCTGCAAATTATCACATCCACAACCTCGCAATTCCCACACTTACGCGGAGCCTCCATGAGCGTTGCCAAAAATGGGCGATTTTCTACCCAGGCTTGTCAATATTTGTACACCATCGATCCAAAACCCTGCTCGGACCAGAAGTCCGCTTAAGTACTCGCCACGACGAATATCTGCGCCAGGTCAGCAAATTGACAGTCCTCGAGCCACTGGACCATTATCTTACCAAATTCAAAGGTGTCGCCTCCCTCCTTTCCACCCCTATTGCCAAATAGTTGTGAGGTGTTGTCATCGTATACAAATTCCAGGCCATTCAGTGCCGACCCGTGGTAAACAGTTACTCGAGACATGATTCTATCTTGTTGGGTTGCACTAGTAAAGACGAACTCTTGTGCTTCACTGCCTTCCATTTTGGACTCGCCCAACTTCTGGCTTCGAGAGGCGGTCCTGCCATTTCCCAATTTCACCAGAGAACTTTTCGAGGTGAACTCCTTGAAATCAGTAATAGTTAAAGAACCTCCTCCGTGAGACTTGATCGATATCGATATGCGCCCCTTCCGTTTGGCTTCGGGCAAGCGAGCTCGCAAGTCCTGCTCACTCAGTGCAAGTTGCCGTTGTACCGGCCCGGTTTCCGTCGTATATTCAAGCCATGCATGGCAAACATCGTCTCCCTCACCTAGGATCTCCACAAATGAAACACCCGTCGCCGCCATTGCCAGAACAGTGCCCCCTTCGATTGCGAAAGCTTGGACACTGTCGTCCGAATTCAAGGGAGCATCATTGGGAAGTCTGAAGGCTGGATGGGCCCGGAATCGCAAACAGTCGAGGCGGTGCCACCCACACTCGTCCGCTTGGTGCACCAATCCGCCCTTTGATTTCGTCCTGGTAGAGAATGCCTCTCTTGGAACGAACGAGCGGTTCAAGACAACATAATCTCTTAGCATGATACCGGACTCCTGGTGTGGACAGCCAAACAAATGCCCAGTCTCATGCAAGTGAGCGCCAACACCAATGTTTACGGCCTCCCAAGAGCTGCCCGCTTCATTGCAATCATTCGCGACGTATTTCGTGTCTGTAGGAGTGCAATCTGTAAAAGCGGGCACAACTTCTTCGAAACTGGACGGGTAACTCTGCAGACAGTGTGAGCCAAAAATTGCAAGCTGCAGGTCTCCCGCATTACCGCCCAGAGCAGCGTGGCCTCGAATGACTTTCTCCTGGACATCCCAATGCGCGTCGAGGAAAAGCACCGACACGTAATTCTTTTGACCTGGAAGGGGCTTGAAGTATTCTTTAACGGCGTCAGCAGCCATGCCAAACAAGGCGTTCTTGTCAGTCGCTTTTTCGAACTGCTGGGCTCTGTTCAAGTCGAGAATCTCAGCCACAGTTTTGTCCGAACGAATAATGTGAATCCGAGCCTCAGATCGCATGGTCCCGTTTTCTCTATCACGATAATTGGCGGTCCCCAAAGTCCATTCCTCTTCGTACCGGAATACTCGACGCCCGAGCTTGTGCCTCCACATTTGCTCCGCAGTGAAGGCCTGCCAGAGATATGCCGCCATCCGAAACTTTCGTACGGCCGTTTCCAACCCATTACCCTCCTTTTCTGCCCGAGCTGGCGTTGCATCATATGTTTGCGGCGAATCCTTTGCGACAATAATCGCAAGCTGTAGTGGCGGGGCGTTCATTGGGGGTATCATATGGAGAGTTAAATACGAGGCATGAATAGGATTAGACGACGAGCTATTGGCAAGTTTAGGGCTGGAGAAGTCGAGTCGAAATTTGTTTGGTCCGGGTTGCAAGTATACCAGAGCCTTGAAGTGAGATTCGCATACTGGCCAGCTAATGGCAGGAAAGCTGTCATCGTATCGGCTAATAACCACATTACCATCCATCGAGTACTGTCCAGGCTCGCCAATGGTACCATGCAGCAATAGCACTTTTTGATACACCTGGGGATGAGTGGTCAGCACGAGTTTAAATCCAAAGTACAAAGAGTTGGTTGGGTGCAAGGTATTGCCAAAGTATTGCCAGTTTATACATGACCCAACTTGATTACCAACTCAATTGTACATTATATTGGCCAGAGACAAAGAAAAAACGCACCCATGAGTTTTCCGAGACACTATGTATTCGCGGGGCATATTGAGACAAGGGCACACTGCCTCGACTATTGCTTGGTGGAGCTCCAAGGCCAGACATGCCTGACACGCTGTGCCTGCTGGTGTTGCTCCCAGGAGATATCATTGGTCGCGTTGATTGAGACATCTGCACCTGGTTTTGCTGCGAGGTGTTGGTTTTCTTAATTTGAAGATCAAGGGCAGGGTCGGACTGGTGTGCGATAGACGGAGGAGTTACAGAACCACTTGATGGTGATGTGCCTTGGCTGGTGGCGCCATCGCTAGAGGCATCGGTAGAGTTGTCGGTTCGAAAGCTTGCTCTGGATCGGCGGCGCAATTCTTTGAGAAATGTAGGAGCCATGGTTGTTCACGGTTCGGAAAGGAGGGGTGTCTCTTGGCCAGGAATGGTCTGTGACTGACACTGCCAGTTGTCTTGTCTTTGTCTTTCAATGAGACTCGTTATTCACGGACGTGGTTCCAGAGGTGGTGATGGCTTGTGGAGGGTTGGACCAAGCGTGCGAGTGAGGGCGGGAGGGACAATCGATTCAAGTGGTCCGAGAAACGGGTGGGACAGCTCTGGAAGAAGCAACGAAAGAGTATTGAGCTCTGTACAAAGTGCAATGGCAGCGATGGAGAGAGTTGTTGGTTGCCGATGGGCGATAGTCAGCTGCGAACCGTCGAACCGTCGAAGGGTGCGAGTCACACAGAGCCTCCCATGTGCTATAATTCGGGTCAATCTCGTCGGTGTTCAGCGGGAAAGTCGGATCGTCGCAAATTGGTCAAGTTGCATGCCGCTCCGTCGATAGCTTCCAAGTTGCGAGGGAGAATAATGGCAGCTAGCGAAGGAAAGGGCTTCTCCCAGGAAGAACGAGCGGCAAGTGGCTGACGGGAGAGGACTGGGAAAGGGAAACAATTCAACCGTAAAAGAAGCCAGGAGTGGAAACATTGAACATTGAAAGGAGACGAGCTAAGCGCAGCAGCAGACATGTGCAGGTCAAACGCCAGTCAGCAGCACAGCCTTACGCAGACGGATATACTCCGTACATACAGCCTGACCAGGTGGACTGAACAGCTCGTAAAAAAGATGGCCTCTTGCCTCTCTACGGAGTAGCTAGCTAAAGTTCTGAGGCGTCTGGTTGGGTCACGTCAAGCTGGATGAACATGGTCAGGGCTGTTGCTGGGTGGGAATGTACTCCGTACTAGGATGAAGGCGGGGCACGGGGCACTGGGGTGACGTAGTCGGTACTCGAACGACTCTTGTAGATGTCGGGCCGTTCGTACGCCAGTCGACACTACGAGGCGGCCAAAAATACATACTGCAGGGGCCCTGGTCCAACCGAAGAGGATTCTTTTATTAGTGCGGAGCAAGATGGAGGTGGTAATCAGTTCGGTGGTTCCCAGGCGGCGTTGGCGTTGCAGGTGCGCATGCATCAGCACAGTGGCAAGTGGCACCGTAGCACCGTAGCACCATCGAGATTGCTAGTACATGTCTGGTTTAATCGTCCCAGACCAGCCAGGCGCATGTCTGCGCGACGTCCATGACCAGCCCTCTCTGCTGCACCGCATCAGCATTGTGAATTGATGTTCTGGAGCATCGTGCCCAATATCTCCTGTGATTGAAGTGGTGTCAGACGGAGCCCAAAGTGTGGATCACCTTGGTTGCGCGCCGAGTGGTACTTAATAAGGCTTCAATGGGCTTGATGAGGCTCGACTGCTTCCGCTTCCGCATGCAAATGCCAGATGCTGCAATTGTTCCGCCGCCTCATCTCTGCTTTACGGAGTTGACGAACCGGACCAGACCCACCAGATTGGTCACCGCCCTGTTCACAGCGACTTGCCTGACACGGTGCTATCAACGGTTTGATACGAGTTGATGCCACGCTCCGACACGAGCAGGCCGACGGCGGCAAACGAGAAGGCCTGGATCGCTCAGTCTTGAAGAATGATAGACGAGGCAAGGTGCTAATGATGTGACTGGTATTTGGCATTCAGGCGGGCATCACCAGACGGAATACGGCGGTATACAGCAGGTATTGCTGCCCAAGTGCTTCCACGACGCCGGCGAAATCAGCGGTGGCGATGGCGGCATATTCTACCATTGCATGACTTGGATGTCAAACATCAAACATTCCAGGTGGTCGGTCCTAGGACACCGGCAGGGATCAATGTCTGCTCCACGTCGTCGAGATCTGCCATATGACGTCTTATATTAACCTTGCTAGCTGCAGCCTGCAATGTCCTTCTCAAACTTGTTTCCTTCCCTGGCTCAAATTATGATTCGGCAGCCATGCATCACATAACACCGCGTACTAGTAGTACGGAGTACTAGGTACTATGGAGCACTACTGCGGCGCACCGGACTAGACAGAGCCTCCATGGCATTGAAAGGTTGACCAACTGGTGGTCGGTGGGCCAGTCAGCAGTCGACCAGCCAACACGACCAGACTTCGAATTTGATGCTCAACGCAATGTCAGTTGCAAACTTCCAGTGTGATGTCGGCCAGGCGCTTGAGTGGCCAGGTACCATCCAGTCAAGTTGGGGAGACCCGTGGCTCCCTCCCTCCCGCCCTCCTTGCCCCCTCCACCTGTTTCCAGCTAGACAAGGAATCATGCTGAATGGTGCATGTGCCGATTGTCGCAACCGGCCAAAGCCCTCTTCAAAGTTCAACCAAGTGTTGTTCCCCAGCTTCTGAGGTTGGCTGTTTGCAGCCTGGCTAGCTACTTTACATAGTACCTACCTAACTTACCTAGGTCAAACATTTGAAATGTCAATGCATGTACATACTGCCGAGTTTCCGTCAATACCTTGATGCGCCGAGCGGGAAAGGACTAGGACTGGAGCGCACTAATAGCATTGAGTTCAAGCGCAACGTGCTCCAAGTAGTACTGGGCTACTACTGAGTAGTATACTTAAGTATGCTAGACACATACTACTAGCAAATCAGACCATGCACATTCATTATTATGTACAAGTATTCAGGTATTATACAGGCACAATCTTGCGCAGATCCCGCCACATTCAACATGAAGAGCGGCAGCGCAGAGAATGGAATCAAAACGCACCATCAGCACCACAATCGCAGCAGACTTGCAAACCCACGTTGAAATCCACCCGTCAGCTTGTACTACTATTATTAATCCTATTCTCCATTGGCAATCATCGTCCAACTTATTAAGTGGCTAGTCCACTGAGCAACAGGTAAGTCGATTCGAAAAATATAGTGGCATCTGCTGGTGGATCGGATTGGAATGCAAGCAATCAGAAGGCAGCTGTTTCTCATGACTCCCACACTTGCCTTCTCCTAAAGTTGCTGGACAACCTGACTCGGCATTCGGAACAGGCCTACCATTGGCTTGTGTCACGGGCAGCACAGACCGGGTGATAATTATTAGAGAAGCCACCTTTGGTTTCGGTTTCTTTTTTCGTTCGGCCCTATCTGGTTGTACATATCGTTGCCCTACCTCTGATTGCCGTTATGTGGGCATCTATCCAATTGTGTGATATTTCGCAGACCTCCCACTATTGTATTGTATATACACGTGGTCACCTGTCCGAGGGAGACAGACCTGGACGCATGGACAGGGAGGTTTTTGCTTCCCCAGCCGGTATCTACACAGATAACTGCCATAGACTCGGTATCGATATCACGGTGTCTTCCGTCACTGGTACTAATAGCATAGTGACACCCAGACAGAGACTCCAGGCTCGTCGGATCCACCTCGTCTCCCACCAGACTCTCGTGGTGTCTGCATTTCTCCCGGGAAACGAGCAAACATTATTACCCCTCTGCGTGAAGAAAACAGGGGCTGGCGGTCGACGGAGAACGGGGGCAATGACAAAAAAAAATGAAAAAGGGTCAAAAATCACGGCATAATTAAGAGAACGGGGAAGAAAAGGGTTGGCCAAATTCCTGCAACCAGTCGTTTCAATTTAGGTACTTAAAGTAGTTACTATGCACACCTGGTTTGATTGACACAAGTCTGCAAATAGCCTTTAGGACAAAGGAGCACTTGAGGCTAATTGGCCTGGTTTGAATGCCCCTGCCTTGGCCGCCCTTCACAGCCTTCACAGCTGTAGCGCTTATGCCTCGTTTGGGTCTTAGCCGCTGAGATTTGGTTCCGTCTCACCCCAGGTGCCGCTTTGTCGCCCAGGCTCTGCAGCGTCCTAGCACTTGACTTGAGGGCTCCAAGGCTCCAGGGCTCTCAGGCATACCATGTATGGTGTATGGGGCACGGCGTGCTCCGTAGGCGCTCAAGTCGGGTGCTGCCAGGCATTCCAGTCTCTTCCTCACTCCCGCCTCCCTCCCTTCAACATCTGAAGTGAACACGGCACCATCGTAATCCCAACTTTGCCGTGACACCGTCAATCCGGGCCCCGGATACAGTTGCAAAGACGAAGCCCATGGTTGAACAAGCAGTGACGTTTCTCCTACTCTTGTCTTCGTTTCCTCTTCCAACGTACAGACCATGTCCTCTCCGTGGAAAAAACAGCCGGAAGATGTGGTCGACAGCGTTCTAAAGCGGGCAGAAGTCAGCAAGGTGAGTCGAGGCGACAACCGTCCAACACAAATCCGCCACGTACCTGTTCCCTTTTCTCGGCCACTGCTTGGCTCCATGTTAGTCTCAAACTCAGAGGCGTGCATGGCTGACACCCGTTTAGATTGCACGCAGACTGCAGAACCGCTTGGCTTTGGCCCAGTTCAAGACTAAGCATGGTTGGGAAGACTTGACGCTCGACTCCATCGAACCCAAATTGGAGGAGGAAATGCGAAGACGACGCCTTTGCGACGGAGACGTCTTATCCGACTCGTCATCCAGCGCATCCGATCTACCTTACCCGACAAAAGCTCTGATGAGCTCGCCGCTCAAGGCACCTTTATTCTCCGATGCCATCGGGTCGAGCAACGGGAGCTCGGGTCACCGAAAGCGTACATACTTTGCATCGTTTGACCATACGGCCTCAAGCCCAAGCAAGCGCTTTCGCGCATCGCCGACAGCACACAAGTCCTTTTCAGGACACTCCACGTGGAAGGACAGTCATGAGTTGGCGCAGTCGTCACCTATCAAGCCTCGGCGCCAACAGCACTTTACCACGTCAGGTGGGCCAGATGTGTCATTTTTCCAGCAACGCAGAATGACAGATGCCTTAACATCGCCAAACTTTGCAGCGCCTTCGGACGACGACGACGACCTGCTACCTGCGCACTCGTTCACCGTCAATAACGTCCGGTCGTCTCCGCCACGTACTCCGCCCTTGCAAACCCGAGGCCTTGCAAGCAAGCGGAGTAAAGAAACCTTGGATGCTGGCAATGGTGGCAAGACGGGAGAAGAAGGTGCAGACCTTTTGCTGTATCTTGCAGCGTCGCCATCTCCAGCGGTCAAGTCGAACCGAGGCCGCATGGAACGTCTGTCAACCCCTCCACCCAAGAACAGCAAGTTGGACCTGCCATCATCCATGATGACAACACCGGGCGGAGGCAACTTGTTTCCCAATACTCCTGGCCAGGGATTTGACTTTGCAGACTTTGTCAACATCACTCCTAGCCCGGCACAGAAACCATGGAGAACACCTGGTCCCATGTCTGCTCGCACACCCCTCAGTGTGACCAGGCGAAGGCTAACTTTTGAGGAGCCTCTGGCCTAAGTCCATTGATAATGTTAGCTTTTGCTCTTACATATGGAGAGAGGCGGCGCTAACCTTCTGACCCTCTCCCACATTTACTATCGCATTTATTTCCTTGTGTATATGATACCATGATTACAGTACTTGTTAGACTGTGGCAACTACGGATTCTACCTAACTATAAAGCATTGCGGGAACCCAAAGTTCATCACCAGAATGAGGCGATTCGGGAGTTCAGATGTCTCATGTTGTTCTTTGTTTTGTATCTCGATGTATTATTGCATGCTGTGAGCTAGCAGATTCATTCTCTGGGTTTGGCTCCTGCGCTTTGTCTCTGGACAGCGCAAAGTATGTCTATCTATCCCGCTGTGAGGATAATTGAGGAGGGAATACTGGATAGGTTTGGACTTGGTGTGTATGGAAGCGGTGGTCGGACGTTCTGGTTTATTTTTTGTCTGCTTGATTTTGTCTATTTTGCGTTGCTTCTCATGCGCAAGTTAGATTTTTATCTGAGGGAAGGGAGGGCAAAACGTCAAGCTACCAAGCACAGGTTAGCTGGATGGCGAAGGAAGTCTAGAATCCTAATTGACTACCTATATATGTTTTTGACATGTGAAAATTTTACCGCCATTGTCGATGCATGGCTGCCCCGGCATCTATTATCGTGAGTCAACCGTGTAGCTTCGTATCTCGCAGGTGAACCTCAGCCAGCCACTCGACACTTGAAGTTGGTTTCCAGCGCGGTCAACGCGCCACGTCAGACACTTAACGCGTCTTTTTAACGGGGCAGCGCGACATAGTCGCGTGAAGGCCGCGAAGGTCAATATCAGCCTTATCCAATCAGAAGCAAGATGACCCATTTCGTCCCTGACCATGATGTCAACCCAAAAGTCTGTTGGACCCCAGTCGCCATTGGCCCGGAATAAAAAGGCCGGCTTGATCGAATCGTTGCAACGATGCCTGTCCCAAAGTTACGTGCATATTAAGTCACGACGAGGAACTGCTGTAACTGGCTGCACTCTGAGAACCATACCCTTATTTCTGTTCAATTTTTCCACTGTTGACCAGTGCGTTGCCCCGAGAGACTTTGCTAACTTTGCGTTTGTTCTGTTCTGTATAAATGTTTATGTACAGGGTAAGTGCACACAAACATCTTCCAGTTGACGTTTTACAGAGAACTCCTCCGTGCTCCGTGCGACAGAGTCTAGCGTCTGCTGTTGCTCCTGATCATTGGCTTTATTGCTGCTCGGGTTAGTAATGCGCCCATGCAAAAATTTAGCCTCTTAGTGTTGATATGCAATCGTATTCTAAACTGTTGTGATTGCCCAATTGACGAGATCCCCCCTCACCCGTGTCTCTGTTGCAATTTAAGCTTTGAAAAGGTCAGGGAGCCAGTGTGGCCCTTCATTGGCCCTTCATTCTCAATTATTCCCTTCACTGCCGAGTTGGCCGCACTGGTGGCTCACGGCCGGTGCCATTGGCTGGGGTACACCAGATCACTTAACCGAGATATAAAATTTGGTCCTTCTGTGAGCGATGACGATAGCCACATGCCGTTTGGTCACGGTACGAATATTCTTCGGCAATGTAGGGGTTATGATAGCACAGCCCGCCAGAAGCAGTTCCCAAATATACTATACTGTCAATGTATGTATTTGTTTATACAGTCTTTTCATCTATTACTGAACCTAGTCTTATACACGTTGGTCTCGGCTTGGGGGTTTTCGCATTTGGTACGCCACTGCCGCCCATACCAATCGCATAGCGGCAATCCTCTGATCAACGTCGAAGAAGTCGTACCAAGCACTTTTCCAGGCTTGGACTTTGCCCCAGCTGCGTTTTGATAAATCCGGCTCGGGTGAACCGTCCAGAACCTCGAGCAATCGAGTAGGGACGCGGACCCTCAGAATGGACACATGGTGAAAAAGAGAGCTTATCACAAAAATGTCATCATAGACGGAACCTTCAACTCTGCCAATGGCCTCGTATTTGGCTTTCCGGTCCCACGAAGACGCCGGAGGGCGAACCATACGGTAATTGTCATAGACGGGCATGGTTCTACGAGCCCTCTTCATGGCCGGTCCGTTCCGGCGGCCGTTCAAGTCCTTGCCCTGCTGGCGGTCGTCCACGGGGGGGACGTCCTGCTCGACTTCACGCCCAATGGGCCCCCCTAGGCCGCCGCCCCATCGCCTTTGAGTCGTCCACCACTGATCGTGTCCAAAGCGGACTTCCTCCCTCCCCTCACGGTGTCGATGTTGAGCCGTGATCAGGGCGGCCAGCACCTCCCGTGCCAGGTCCGATGACTGCGCCGTTTCGGCATCTGGTCCGGTGAAATTCACTGTTGGGCGTGCACTTACTGCGGCAACTGGGCCGTAGACGACACCCGCTCGGGCAGTCTCCCGTGTCATGGGGCTCTGGAACACGAAGTGGCAATTTGATGGCGTGTATGACTTGCGTTGCTTCCGTCCAGCAGGCGAGTTGAGGTGGAGTCTTGGTTCTAGCCTTGCTCTGGAAACGTTGCAACCAAAGTCATAAGAAACCAGCTTTATGAAGGCGTTGAGGAGATTTTGTCTGTATTCTGGGGGCATGGAATGGCCAGAGGAGGTCCGGCCCATTGTAGGGGCATGTGGTGGTTCAGCATGTGTTTGGGTATCACATTCGATACAGCCAGATGTGTCACTTGCCGTGGTCAACTCCGGAGACGGCGGCAGCTCAGGAGGCCGGGATGGATCGTCCCAGAAGGAAGTGAAGAGTTCCAGGCAACGGAAGAATTCGTAAGTGTTGCCTAACCTTGCCTGCTGCTTGCCCTTTGGAGGTGAAATCCTCCTCACGGTGCGGAAGGCGTCGTCATTAGTATTGGAGAGTTCTCGCCGGCGCTCAAGGTATACCTGGCATCCCGGGGACAGATTCCCGTTTCTCAATGGAAACCGATCTTTGCCGTCTTGATTACGGGCTTCCTCAGCGGTGAAGCGGTCCCACTGACGGAAATCTGGTAGGCAGCACGTGTCAGGTATAAGGTCAGATTCGTCGGCATCTAGTTTCAGATCGAGCCCTATGGCCAAGAGACCAGCTGGCCCCAGAACAAGCGAATCTCGGCCAGTCTGTTCCAGCAAAGCTGGCAATGATTGACTATCGCCGCCAATTATCACATCATCTTGTGCAAATGGCTGATATCTTGGTAGATTGATGGGTGTCGGACTGGATATGTCCCCCGAATCTACCCTTGGGGTCAGGCTTGCTATGAGCTGGGTCAGACAAATTGTAATTGATGGCAAGCCAACGTCAGACAAGGGAAGCAGAAGCACACAAGCGAATGGGCTTGAGGATCTGTTTGGAAAACCAGACTGTATGCTTCAAGCTAACTACACAAAGTTGGTTTGTGGCTAGCAAAATCATGGGCCCACGACAGAGATGTGTCTTTCGGTTTTAGGAGGAATGTGTATGAAACTTGAAACAGATTTTACGACATGAACGGCTTTAGAGGAAGAGAGAGCTCACCCCGTGAGCGATCAAACTTACGAGAAACAGGAAAGGGTCCAAACATGACGACACCACTAGAAGGTGGCCTAGAAGCCCTAGATGATTGGTTCTGTTTGTCGGTAGCGTCGCTATCAATAGCAAGAGAGGAGGAAGGCTTTGTCCATGTGTCAAAAATTGCCCCGGTCAGCAGCGTTATCACCGGAGGGCCACCCCAGAAAACCTTCCTTCCCGTCACGCCAACAGGAACCAAGATGTCAGCCAAGACCAAGCCTAGGGCGTGGATGTGGTTCAATATGTCCGGTGCAATATTTGATGGCCAGGAGTTGGTTATGGAGGCAGAGACTATGCGCAATCCGGCCACCGAGAAACCCAACGGCTGCGGCGGACAGGCAATTGATGGACCGATATCGAAACCACAACGCACGGACAACTGACAAGCTACCGAAACAGACACGGCTATGATGTCGAACGCCGATAGGGACGAAATGACAGAGAAGGCCGGAGCCGAAGCGATGGTGAAGATTCTGGGTGGTGAATGCCGACTCAGGCCCAATACTGGTCCGTGGAATCTGGAGCGTGCGTACGAGGACGATTGGGTCAAGGTACTCGAGGTTGAGGACGACAATACACCCGCAGCGGGAATTTTGGAGCTGAGTCTGGGCGCCAGGTTTGAGCACACTCGCAGGAGGACAGGAGAACAGGGATCCCGACAGCATTGACCATGAAGAGAGAGAGCGTTGAGTGGCGAGCATGAAGCGTCGATCGAGGTCCGGTGTGTGTGCCTGTCAATGACACTCCAAGCTCCACCGCCCACGAAGTATCAAACGGGGGGTGGGAGTGGGTCTCCCGAATTGGAAACACACAGGCCAGGTTGACGATTTATCTACCTACTTAAGTAGGCATGTATTTGCATGTAATATGTACGGCACAATGATAGAGAGGAGGGGGGATAAATTGACGTGCAGTAATTCATTGATAGTAAGCCGACAAGTCAGACACGACAAGTCACTCACAACGCTTACATGTAAGGTCTGGATTCTGGATATAGACACGTGCGGCCGGTATTTGACATGCCAGCACGGTGGGGAGTGGCAAAGCCAAGTCTTGTTCCCCGTCTCACGCAGGCGAGTCGCTCAAACGACACAACGACACGTCTTCATGCTCCACGTCGATAATGCGTGTGCGCCTTAAATACATCAGACAGCTTCATCAAAATGCTCCCATTGCTGATGCTGATGCTGCAAAACGACAGGTTAAATAGGGAACAGAGTAAAAAAAGAAACCCCCCCCACACACAGGATTATTTGTAGGCACTGCTTAAAAGTACATCTATCCATGTAATGTTTCGAAACGATTTCCATCTTCCCCCCTCCTCCTGCTCGCCAGACCCCCCGCTCAACTCGGCCAAATTCAAAGTGTCACCAAAGAGCAGAATCGAGCATCACTATCGGGTAGCTCTCCCATGCCCGCTGATCCATTTCAAGAGCAAAGGGCAAAACATGTGCCGCCGAAACAATGTCGAACTTTAATCCTGACGGAAGCGCCGTCGTCCCGGACACGACGCAGGACACGACGCAGGAAACATGCCGACAAAAGGACTGAATCCTGCTCCGTACCGGCAATGGCGCAGCAATCATTCATGGATCCTCGTTTTAAATCGCCGAGATGGTGTTGGGCAGGTGCTTGGTCACCCTCAACGGGCCCGCTTGCGTATGGTTCTGACGATGCTCGTGCTTCAGAAGTGTCGCAGACCCAGGGTTGCCACAACCCCTGTTCCATCGTCCCCGACTGAGGATTGTTAACGACTCTTTGCATTCATCATCCAAAACGTATCAATGCAAGGTTTGCGTAAGACTGTGGTCCAGTCTATGCCAGTTGAGGCCTCATGTCGTTTCTGGATTGCTTCGTGCACATGGCCATGATGTCCATCCGCAACCCCTCACCTCCCCTCGCCTCCCCCCCAACTCCCGACTTCCCGAATCTTCTAATGCCTGGGTTTTTCTTTTTGGATAAACCCTGCTGACAAAATTCGATTCGTTTCCAAACATTCAACTTAGTTCTACTCTTCCAAATCCGCATCCCAACTCATAGGGCTGTCCTTTTATCATGTCGTGTCATGGATCTTGACCCAGATCTCCCTCAACACAGTCGAGCCGATTGATATCAGAGCACAAACACCTTGATTCGAGTGCTGGATGAGGTCTCGTGGCTGTCTTGGTCACGGGTTACACATAATACACAGGAGTGTCGAGGCTCATCGACACCTCTACATCTCGACCCTGGCTCCAACAAACACCATCTTCGAGTATGTCGACGACTGCTTCTGGCTCCAACACCGACCTCACCATGTCTAGGCCTCCCCCGGGTGCTCATACCACTGCAACTAGGGGGCCCAGATGTAGTCCCTTGACAGGCCGAGCTCTCATGGGGGTCAACTACAATACCTCTACAGAATGTATTACCTCGCGGCCAGCCGCAATATTGGAAGATGGCCCAGACTCGTTTACAGTAGTCATACCACCAACAGAGAATCGGAACTCGCCTGATCTTGCCCGTTCCAGCTTTGTCATCGAAGATGTTGAAGGATCCTCACCGCAAACCACAAATTCTTCTCAATTTTCCGCCAGTTCTACCAGGAGCCCAGCGAATCCAACGACATCACTCCTCACGTCATCAACCTCACCGTCGAAATCATCTGCCTCATCGAGTGTAGCGTCGTTGACCCCAACCTCAACATTAAGCTCTTGCAACTCAACTTCAAGCGTGCTGTCTACATCAATTTCAAGCACTGTAGCTCGTCCTCCCCAGCAAGACGACCCAGGGAACCCCCCCAGAGATCCTCCTCCTCCTACGGAATTCCAACCTGGCACGGGAAACTCTCCACCAGATAACCCTCCGCTAAGCGAGACTACTTCTCCAAGCAGTACTACTCCAAGCAGTACTTCTCCAAGCAGCACTTCTCCAAGCAACGCTCCTCCTCGAAATGACAACCCTCCAAACAACCCTCCTCCAGGCGACACTCCTCCAAATAATCCTCCCCCAGGCGACACTACTCCTCCAAGCAACACTCCAAGCAACACTCCTTCAAGCAACACTCCTCCAAGCAACCCTCCTCCAAGCAACCCTCCTCCAGGCGACACTACTCCTCCAAGCAACACTCCTCCAAGCAACACTCCTTCAAGCAACACTCCTCCAAGCAACCCTCCTCCAAGCAACCCTCCTCCAGGCGACACTCCTCCTAATAACCCTCCCCCAGGCGACACTACTTCTCCAGGAAACGCCTCTCCAAGCAACACTTTTCCTAATAACACTCCCCCTAACAACCCTTCTTCAGCATCCAAACCTACAGACAGGAACACGCCGCAAGATAGTTCTTCGCAAATGCAGAAATCTACCAATGATAGTACACAGGCCCCCAAAGCTTCAACCCCCGAACCTCAGGTTGAGGCTAAGCCGACGAGCGTCGAAACATCATCTACTGAAAACCGCCAATCTTCAAGCAATGGAGTCTCGAATACACCTGTGGCATCTGTGGCACCTCCACCAAGCAGCAATGTAAATAGCCCAACATCTCAAACAGCGAAACCAGCCACTTCTGGCAAAGGAAAAGCCGAAACTTCGGGGTCTGTCAACAATCCTGGAGCAAAGCCTTCCGATCCTGGTGTTGTTGCCCCGGCCATCCCCATCCCTACGACCTTGGAAACGACTGCAAATAACTTATCGCCTACTGCTGAAAAAGAAGCCCAGGATACTAGTGCCTCCCCTATCTCCACCAAATCATTTCCAGGCAATCTGCCTGATACCACATCCACTAGTAGACCTCAAGGGGGTAAAGGCCCCGTTGATCCCGGGGTCTCACCCGCTTCGAGTTCTCACGGCAAAATACACATGTCGACAGGCGCAATTGTGGGAATATCAGTCGGCAGCATTGCGTTTATAGCTTTAATAGCCCTTTCAATTTGGTTTTGCAGAAGAAGGTCAAAGAAGCAGCGGGTAGAGTCGATGCTGAATCCGCCCCTTACCAGGTCTGATAGAGGACCGAAGACCAGGGAAATGGCTGCGCTTGGCGCAACCAAGAGTTGCCTATTTCAGTGGCTACCGGGGACTGGGAAAGATCTCACCGGTGACGACAATCCTGAATCCTCGACAATTGCAAGGGCAATACCAAATATGTCTGAGAGGACGGCGATGCCGGGGATGCTTGGCGGAGAGGCGATCAGCAATTATCCGCCTGCTCAACCGGGATATAATGGGCATTTTCGTGGGAAATATAGCATCAACGGAGCAAATTGGCCCGAGTTGGGCGTCAATCAAGGCCAAGTTGATCCCCTAAATCCCTTCTCTGACGGGAATGCTGTGGAACTGTCTGGCCAACCACCGTCATTACCTCCTTTAGCACTTTTCTTTGATATGCCAGGGGAATATGAATCAAGACCTATGCCTAGCACCGGTCCTGCCAAGTCACGCCAGTCTCGTGGGAGATCTCTTGATCTCAGTGTCGGAGCATCACAATACCCAGCAGCACAGCCTTTGGAGTCGAGGCCACACTCGGTTCACCGAGAATCCGTACAAAGCATAGATTCGTTCACAACCAGGCGGAACAAATTCCGTTCAGATCCTTTTGACTTGGAGGAAATCGAAAGTCGCCTCTTGTCAGGCCAAAGCCAAGTTCCAGAGATGCCGCGACGAACAGTCACCAGTTCGAAATATAGTTCTGGCGCTGGCAGTGCTTCCTCATCGCGGTATACCAGTGGAATCAGCGTGAGCGATTGGAGCTTGATGAATGCCACCAGGACCACTGGGCCGTCGGCACCTGCACCGGCCAATAAGCTCGTCAGTTGGGACAATCTATCGTCGGTAGACGACTTTCGACCAGGAAATAGAAGACAGCCGTCTAAAGACAAGAAAAAATCGGCGGTTGTGTTCGGCCAGGCTTTGTAGTTGGGGTGGGTGTATTGCAGAAGGGAGCATGGTTAGCGGAGGAAAAAGGCGTTTCAGTGAGCGGAATATGGCATTTTATTGGAGTGATACCACAAGCAAACGGATACCGTAGCCGGAAAATATGACGAGATATGAGCATTATCAAGAAACCCCCCCGAGAAACGTGAAGCAAAACGTATGATATTCTTCATAAAGAAGCCAGCAATAGGTTGCTTAGGCCTGTTTATCTAAACCTGACAAGTTGGTTCGCAGAATCTCACCTCTTGCCCCGGCCCACGCCCTTCTATTTCCATTCTCAAACAGCCGGAACTGGTGCGGGCTGGGAGTACCGTCCATCAGGATTCTCGAAAGCTGCCGGTCCTTGAGCCAGAGAGTCCATCCCTTGAGCCCGTAGCCCAAGTGAGGGAAGACATCCGAACCCGCGGCCTCGTCGGCCCAAGCCATCCACTTGGCTCCATCCACCCAGCCGGGGATTACGGTGCCCTCGGAGGCCAGAGACACGAGCCACCTGTGCTGCTGGTTCACCTGCGCCGTCATCTCCTGCACAGTCGGCAACTGGTGCTCGCCGGCCCAGACGCGCGCAAGAGCCATGGAGGCCAGGTCGTACAGCTGAAACGCCGGAGACGGGAAAGCGATGGCTCCCATAAAGGCCAGATGCTGAGGCAGCTGCAGCGAGAACATGTTCCGGTACAGCCTAGCCAACGCGCGAGAGTTGGATCCCGGCGACGCTGTCCAGGCCTCGGGCTGTTCCAATGTGGGATCGTATCGGCCAGCTAAACTGTAATCCGCCTTGTATCCCGTACAAAACACAATGGCGTCGGCTTCAAGTTGGCTTCCACTGTCGAGCTGGACAGTCTTGGGACCCGTCACCCTGTTCAAGCCCTTGACTAGTGTGATGTTTCCCTCTAGTATGTGCGGTATCACAGTATCCGAGACGACGGGCGGCGTGCGAGTTGGCAGCGGAGCGGTGCCCAAGTCCCAGTCCTGCGGAAGTTCTGGAAAACCCTTGTGTGTCGTGGCTGTGAGAAACTTTCTCATAATCGTACTGGACACGGCCGAGGGGAGGAGCTGCAGAGTCTCGAAAATGATGCCCTTTCTGTGATTGAAGGCGTGGTCCATCGGTTTGCCTTCTATGAAACGAGGGAGCTAATGGTATTTTATTTAGTTTGCCCGATTCTTTTTTTTTTGGTTCTCGCGAATATCCGCGTTTTTGGGGACAACATACTACGAACGCATCGTGTCGGCGGGATATGTAGACATGTTTCGCGTGGCCGACAAGGGTTGTCGCCGTGTCCACGGCGGAATTTGAAAGGCCTACGATCAGTACCGTTTTGTCCTTCAACGAGCTCGGCCTATGACATTCACATGAGAAAATACGAGTCAGGCCCTGTTTCCTGTTGGGGTCCAAGCAGCAGTGGCGGCGGAGATATCTGACCTCTTGTACCCGGCGCTGTGAATAACTTCGCCCTCGAACACGTCTAGCCCGTCAATTTTAGGCATCAACGGCAGCTTGTTGATTCCGGTAGCAAGAACAATCTTGTCAAATACCTGAGACGTGGTCTCGCCCTTTTTGACCATTCGAACAGTCCACTGCTCGCTCTTTTCGTCAAAGTCCACATGAACAATTTCCGTCTGGAGTCGGATATGACTCTGGAGCGAAAAGTGCGAGGCATAGTCGTAGAGATATTTCTGAATGTGGCGAGCTTCTGGAAATACTGGGGTGTCTGGAATTGTGAATTGGTTAGCTAATCGACTCGGCCGAGTCTGATATTTGTATATGCCTATATATAGTCGTGTTATTTACCTTTGGAGAAGGGAAAGTCTGTGAAGCATCCCTGGAAGTTGTTCGTTCAGCAAAAGCGAATTGTTCTGCAACATGCGTCAAGGTGGTAAAAAGCAGTTGGGGTAGACTAACGCGCTGCTTCGAAATATTTGACACGGTGCCTGTCGAGAAGTCAGACCCATGAGCACCAGCATGTTCTCAAGGAATTGGGGGAAACGAAAAAAAGAGAGAAAAAATATTATCGCCTCGTGACGTACTCTCGAGAACTGTGGTCTGGTCGTCATCTCTATAGTTCCAAAGGCCGCCCACAACATCCGCCTTGTCAAACCCCGTCGCTTTAAAACCCTTCTCAAGCAAGTTCTTGAGCGTTACCAGACCCAACGGCCCTGTTACCACGTTGTTTTAGCACCTTGTCGCAATTTCAGGAGTGATGCAGGCCGCCTACCGAGACCAATAACAGCCACTGTAGCGGGCGCCATCGCCATAATTGTAAAAGAAGGGTGAATCTCAGAGGCAGGATAGAAATCAATACAACACAAGGGAAAAAGGGTGTCGCAGGGGTTCAACATATATGTGCGTAGTCCTATTATTATACAGCCTGTTTGGTCCGTTCGGAAGCCGGATGCGATGACCAGGGACCCTAGAATTCATCACTTCAGCCGATTAGATTGATAACTGATGGTTCCCATATTATACGCGAAGCGGCTGAGCCTTGGCTAGGACATGCACGCAGTAAGAACGGGGCAATATTGAAGACATAGCATGGTCTATTCGTCCGATCCGCATCAGCTATTTCCCCGTTGCTCACCAAGTTCCAATACGGATGCCTCGTTTTGGACGCCAATGCCACCGTGGTGGTAGTATCAAGGCGAGCTGGCAGGGTTAGGATATTGTGACTCACGCCCGTCAGTCCATTAGATGCAACACGAGGCTGAAATGAAACAGACCATCCGGGTTCACTACGACCCTCAATAGGGCGGCGTCGCAGAGACTATTAGGGCCACCCAAATATTTTCGCCTGGTTCGGCGTGTGTTCCAACCCCTGCGTATTTCCGTTTTAGCTCTATGAATTTATAGCCGCGGTGTATATGACATATCCTCAGGAAGCAAGTCCTCGTGATCCTTCATAGCAAACCCTCGGTATCCGACCTCAATATTGCATCAATATGCCAGTGTAGCAAATCTCGCGTTGCCAAAGCGTCTTCTAGACTGTCGTGGCCGCGACCCTTGACCTGAATGGTTCTGTTAAGTCGTTTCAGCGTAAGGGCTTTCAGCGACAACCCGCCCTCCTGTAAGTTTGTGGCAGCAGTGTTATCTTTATCTTCAACAGCAGAGCTAGGGTTTGCAGATTCTCCCATCTCGGTATTTTCGGATTCTTCCCACTCCCTGCGCCGAGACAAGTCTTCCTCCAAGCGACGCTTTCCTGTTTCCAGTATCAAGGTGTCGACGATTCGATGGTGAATCCAGCGTAGTGACGTGAGGTCTTGATGTCCGGCATGGCCAATGACAACAGTATCAGGTCCGACAAACTTGTATAAAGCTTGCCTTGCTGAATCTCGACCGAGAATGCACTTCCGGCGGCGACGAGAGTCGTCCATGGTATGCCTTGTTACGCCTGAGAAACGGGTGTTATAATGTGCCATCTTTACACTCGGGTAGACAAGACTGTCTATGAGCACAGCACCAGTGAAAAAGTCCACCACGGATAGACGAATTAGCTCCGATTCCCCGGAACTGGCCGTTCCCATTTCACAATCCAACACCACAGCAGCCACGTGAGTTGGGAGAGGCGCAGTTTTCGTTTCGTAAAATTGCCAATTCTTCTCGAGTTCACCTACATTATAATGACGAGGGGAATGCTCATGCTGCCCGGCGCATGGTTTTGAGAATAGCGGCCCGTTGCAACAGGTCCATTTCTGGAATGCTCTGTCAGCCATCTTTCACATGAGGACACAGGGGTGAACTACACAGGTCGTTATTCAGAGGATAAAGTAAAAAATGCTTACCCTGTTTGCTACGTGGCCTGGGTGATAGCTGCAGATGAAAGATGTGTTTCCAGAACTACCATCTTGCGTACGCTCGGTCCCCTTGGCCGCTTTATCCAACGCTTGCTTGGTATGAGGGTTGATTTGACTTTCCGTGACGACTGCGCCTGAGGCACGATTCGAACTGTGCAGCTCAAGATGATTTGGCCTGCTCACAGCAGCATCAGATGCAGAAGGAAGCTTTGGTTCAGCAGGCTGATTTCGTTGCCGCCTGTTTTTCAGCACTTGAGAGGAATCAGAGTGTTAATAGCGTAGTCTTGACCAGTTTTTTTTGGCCATGTTCCATCTCACCTTTGCAGCACTTCTCGCATCGTTCCTTTCGTTGCAGGTCCGTGGAGCTCAACCTGGAAAAAATATATCCAGCCTTTTTCAGCTGGCCATGGGGCTGCACATAGTGGTGCAGCAGCTGCAAATAGTCTGGCGTTGGCTGGACAGGCCCGTATGACCTTTCAGTCGCCATGACTTGCGCACAAAGTTGGGAATAGCACCATGGGATGAGAGGTTTAAAGGTGTTTGAAGGTGCAACTGTGGGATTTTGACACGCACAAACGATGCTTGGGAGTCGAGGTACCTAGGTACCAAGGTACCTGTACTTAGGTGAAACGGTCTGTTGGCAGCTGGCGGCCCTTAACTCGCAGCTGTGAAAGACGGTGCTTAAGTGCCAGGAGGGCGAGACTAATAATAAGAGTACTTGTGTACAAGGTAGTAGTCAACTTGATCGATTTTGGTTGCTGGCAACATTGACATGAGTGAGGCCGAACTGCAGCCTTACCGGTTCACTTGAGCAGCTGTGGCTGCGGGCGGATCGTGTTCAATGATTGGGCCCGAATGTTGGTGAAACGGCACCTGGGGCGTTGGGCAGTCTTGACAGAGTGGTCGCAACATGCAACCGAGTCTGAAGCTATGGACGAATCTCCTGAGATGCGGATTGGTAGGAAAATTGTATGGCAGAGGAGTCTCCACGAGCCAGTCCGCCGCTAAAGAGATAGGAAAGAAGAGAGTGTCGAGCAACGACGACAAAAAGGAAAGGGCCAACACGTTACGCAACAAATCGCTTTGAAGCATGCATAGAGCTTATTTACAGCGGACACAAAATCGCAAATGGAAATATCGTACCAAGCATCACTGTCGAAGCAATGGCTGCACAATAATGCAACCAGAGCTGCTCGCTCCAGCAAGCTTTGAAGATGCTTGCGTTCAAGTCAAGAACGCAAGACTGGCCATCAACGAATGGGCTATGAAGCGGCAAAGTCGGCGGTATGCTCCTTTCCCCGCCTTTCCCTTTCTTCTTTCTTGGCCGGAAAATGAAAGGAAACCGCACGTAAAAGAGGTGACGTAGGAGTACTCCGTACCAATTCACACATTCTGGTAGGCAGTTTCCTTCATGGCCGCGCAAACAGTCAATACTTTGTTGTGCGACGGCTCTCTTCCGATGCCGCCTGCGCACTTTGATTGGCCCAGCCACGCTCTCCGTTCAGCTGTCGGCCTCGCCGCTAAAGGCCCTGGCGCGCCACACAGGCGCGCAAGTGGGCATCGGGGTATCGATTGATCGGATTCTTTTCTGCCATTGGGCCGAGCATTAAAGAAGCCTCGGTATATCTCGAGCGAAAATGGCATGGGGGATGCTTTGACGTACGATACGGAGCACCCCTTACCCATAGTAATACTTGTTCTGTACATACAATCTGTTGAGTGAACCGATGGGCACATAATGTCTGTACGCTCGTCCTTGTCGAGCTGTTGTGAATCAACAACCACCTATGTACTTACCTAGGCAGACAGGTAGGCAGGGGCCTGGGATCAAAGGCACAAGCATCAAGCATCAAGCATCAAGCAAATCTACACAGGCGCGGGAGCGAACATGATGTCCTGGGTGTTTAAGGCTGCGACGAGAGCGGCCAATGGTTACTTTTCAGTGCCAGATGAAACAATATTGGTTGCTTCCTGGGTACTTGCTTGCCGAATACTACGTTTGCCGAATACTTGTATGCTCAGATTTACTGGTAGCATGGAGAAGATGGGACGCGACCATCAGGCTGCAACGATGGAGGGGAGGTTATGAAGCGGGATGACAACATGTTGTCTAATCTACTACATAGCTATTGCACTCTGCAGGTGTGTAGGTGTGCACGGGCCTGCCTGGGTATGGAGGAGTTCTACTCCGTACTCCGTAGTTGTAACCCCATATGCAGATGGAGATTTTTCTTCTTCTAGTGCTGCCACATGGCTGTTCGCCAGGGGTTGAGCAAAGCCTATGGATGCTGACGTGCAGCCACGAACCGGATTGGACCAAAGAGAAAAATAAAATACAATAAGAAATGAAAAAAAATCCACGGTGCATGTCATACACCTGTAGGTGAGATGGGCATTGTTGAACGGTAGCAACGGCAGGAAGATGACGTGAATCATCAGGAGGATGGAGAAAAACATGATCATCAATGACGGCATTCGCATCAGCACACCAGAGAGCGCCGCGGTTGACTAGCGCGCAAGAGCCGCCATCGGCTGTGCTGCGCCCCGGAGAAGGATCAATTGATGCCAACTGGTGCGCTGAAGTGAGCATTCCCCTGGTGGTCCCTGGTTTACTTGGCGGGCTGGTGGAGCACGGCGCATGCACATGTGGCACCTGCACCGCCACAGCCGACATGGACAGGTGGTGCAGCGCTGCCAGAGGTGCTTAAAATATTCCAGACGTCAACCAGACTGGTCCAGATATCGGCGTGTCCGGCCCTGGCATCCCCTGCCGGCCTGAAAACCCGTCGACGGGAGCGCTGGAACATTGAAAAGAGCATGGAACACACATGCAACCAGCCTAGCGGCGCCACAGAAGCGGGAAGCCTCCAACCTCAGCGACCGGCCTTCAGTAATGTTTGGAGCCCCGGAGCGGACCAGCACTGACTAGACATGGACAGCCATCAATGTGAGACTGGGTTAGGCCGAGTTGGAATCATCATCATCACTCTCTCGAAGCTGCACTAGTAGATCGGACCAACTTGCAGCATCGTACATACATGATTAGCTTCCGGCTTTGGAACCACACTTGGTCTAGCACTCTTTGTTGCCTCAGCCGTGCCATCGAGGCGCAATTGCAGACGGCAGCAGCACCACGGCGAAAACCGTCGCTTGATGGGCGTGCACGACACTACAAGCTAAGCGATGAATGACGCCGCTTGCCTGTGAACAGATCCCTCATCGTCATCGTCATCGGTCGTCAGCGTGATCAGGCGATACATGCCTCTCGTATGTATGCCCGATTAAAGTCAATTCGTCTGGCATATGTTGCGTCGGCAGCAAACCCACTGGGCTGTACAGGAACATGGCACCCAGGATTTGGTTGATAACGGTAATAAGCACGAGGTGCAATATTCAATGTTGAAGCTGGTAGTGGCTCAATCTGCGTGCAGGAGGCGGCTCCAGGTCGCCCAGGTCCGAATGCCAAGTTAAGTACGTAAAGTACATACGCCGTACCTAGCAAGATGAGACCTCGACCAGACATGCAGCAATTTCCAAGTACTAACTATTAACTACATAGTAGTTGCATCTCGGGTTGCATTTGAAATGCTCAACCGGACATCTCCAAGACCCTACAGCACGCCCCAAGGGTCCAGGGTCGCCAGTTGGGTTGAATCGCATTGAACCACCTTGGACACGCCTAGTTCATGCAAATTCATGCAATCCATGCTCGACTTGCTCCGGCGTCAGCGCCCTCGTTTAGCACGTGTCCGATATACAGTGGGTGTAGTAGTGCTTGACAGTACTCCGTACACTTGCTGAGAAGTAGACATGGACGTAATGATCCCTGTTCGACTGGACGTTTGACGTGAGCCCCAGCACCAGCACCAACCAGGCGTAATAACAAGAACGATGACTATCGCAACATTAAACACTCCAAGATACAAGTATTCGCACGTACAATGTGCGTTGACGCTCTGCCCACTTGGCAGTTTTAAAGGCACCACATGCAGCTTTAAAAGGCTGGCAGCAATCTAATCAAACTTGACCAGACTAGACTTGAGACACTGGACTGGTACCACTGGTCAACGGCCGTTAAAGCCTCAAGCTGTGCTGTGCTGCATTGGTACACCCAGATGCCCACTGTAGTTAGTACACATGTGCACATGTCCCGGTGCTGCTGGGGCTCCTCTCCTCTCCACAGTGCTAGTACACTGACCAGCCCCGCTGACCGGCCTGGTCTTAACGTAGGTCCTGCTGGGGTTTTTGGGGTCTTGGGCCGTCCAGGTCTGCATCCCGGGTGCATGTGCGGCTTTGGCGAAATGCATGCACGCAAGCAAAATGTCAACTGGTCCGTCGTCCAGCCCGATGCTGCTCTGGCACTGGGCCGTCGTCATAATCCGAGCTTTTTTGCTGTCCATGTGTGGGAGAAGAAAAAAAAATACCCAACCTGGCTCCCCTCCACGGTCGTTCGTTCGTTCGTTCGTTCGTCCCGTCAAGTACTTGGTCAATACTATATCTCGGTGCCCATCGCCCGTCGCCCGCCGCCCGTCGCCAGCTGGCCACGCCGAACGACATGCGTTGACGCCTGCTAGCCCTTAAGCCACAGCACCGGACCGGTTGACATTATTATTGACTTGTTGACCACGCTTGACCCGTTGACACCACCGCTCGGCACACACCACCAACCACCTCGTCCTCCTCGCCCTCTGCGTTCTGCACACTCGTGCTCACCACGCCCAAGTCTGACGCTGACCGTTGCCCGTTTACGTTTCCATCTCCGTCTCTATCACCCATCCTCTATTAAGCCAAGCACAGCCAGCCCGTCCTGGGGTGCTGCGGCCTCGCATCCGCCCTTGGACCAGCGCATCCGTCATCGCCGGCTTTCCTCAACCAGCTTCTTCAGCCTTGCGCGTCTCTCGCAAACATTGAACCCGGCTCTGCTTACTTTGCTCCCTCGGGCTGCTGTTTACCTTGGCCCTCGCCAATACCTACTCGCACCCCCTCGTCGTGCAACATTAAAAGCTCAACTGGTCCCTGTGCTCGGTGTCCTGCGCCGCTGACCGCCCATTCACGCGTCTCATATTGATCCCTACCCCAGGAAACAGCTGCCGCTCCGGCCTACAAATCATATCCACGGCACCGAGCTTGGGTTTTGGGTCGTGATCAAGACCGCTGCCCGTCCAACCCGTTCACGCCGGGCCTTTTTCCTCATCCTCCTGCATTGCATTTCTCGTCGTCCGACATTGCAGCGTCAGTAACATTTGTTGTCTGCCTGGTGTGTTGGTTTTTGGAGCCCGCAACTCTCGTCTCTCGAGCAACTTTATAAGCGGCGTGCTCGTCAATCCCCGACCTCCGACCTTTGATCTCCCGGCCAGACGCTAAGCGCGAACCTCGACCTCATCAGCTACCGTCCCCGCGCAGGCAACACCTTCAACTGCTCACAGCCCGAGTCGCCACTGAGACGTCATCAAAAAGCGCAGGCTCGAGTCCAAATTCCGTGTATCCAGCATCGCAAAGCAACTCGTGAGCTTGAAATGTCCGCATATCCGGGCTACGGCGGTGGGGGCGGCTACGGCCCCCCGCAATCCTCTCAGTATCAGGGCAACTACTACAGGTAATTACACGAGCTCAGTCGTCAATTGTCGACTCTCGGCATCATCGCTCTTACAACGATCCGGTGCTGACACGGGTAATTGACTTTGGCAGGCCGCAACAGGGCTACGGCGGATACCCTCCTCAGGGCCAGCCATCTCCCCAGCCTCAACCGGGCTACGGCTATCATCAACCGCATCCTGCCCAACCACAGTACGCATATCAGGTATGCTCAAGTCAATGCCAAATAGAACTTCTGTCTTCTGTGAACGTGCGTGGCTCACATCGCGCATTATATAGCATCATGGCCCTCCGCCGCCCCAGCAGTATGCAGGCCACTATAGCCCTGCACCACCACAACCACAGCCTGGTTACGCTTCTAGACCCGGACAAAGCCCTGGTATGTGCCGTGCCTCCCGGGCCTCTCCCACCATGATATAGAGGCAAGTTTTTCTCACAGAGACGTCAGGCATACCTCCGCCGCAGCATGGTGCCTACAGCCCTCGGATGAGCGGACCCCCAGTTCCTCCGTCCGGTTTACAACATTTTGGCGCAGGCGCGCCTCAGGGCTATGCGTTTCAGTATTCCAACTGTACCGGCCGCAGGAAGGCCCTTTTGATTGGCATTAATTACTTCGGCCAGCGTGGCCAGTTGCGAGGTTGCATCAACGACGTTCGCAACATGACGGCCTACTTGGCGGAACATTTTGGCTATAGACGAGAAGACATGGTGATTTTGACAGACGATCAACAGAATCCTATGAGCCAACCCACAAAGCAAAACATTCTCCGTGCAATGCACTGGCTAGTCAAGGATGCCCGTCCGAACGATGCGCTATTTTTTCACTATTCTGGTAAGACCGTTCACTCCTGCGCAATCTACCCACGAGCTGGCCGAGCAGTGGTAGTTTGAGACGTTTCGGCGTTGGGGGACTGACGCTGTTCAATAGGCCACGGCGGTCAGACAAAGGACTTGGATGGTGACGAGGCGGACGGCTATGACGAAGTCATTTACCCTGTTGACTTTCGACAAACCGGTCACATTACGGATGACGAAATGCACCGCATCATGGTTCGGCCGTTGCAAGCCGGTGTGAGACTAACAGCGATTTTCGATTCGTGCCATTCTGGAACCGCTCTTGACTTGCCGTACATCTACTCAACCCAGGGCATTCTCAAGGAACCAAATCTCGCCAAGGAAGCTGGTCAAGGCCTACTTGGTGTCATATCCTCATACAGCCAAGGCGATTTGGGAGGAGTTGCAAGTAACATCATGAGCTTTTTCAAGAAGGCCACCAGCGGAGAAGATGCATATGCTCGTACCCTCGCCACCAAAACTTCTCCTGCTGATGTCATCATGCTGTCCGGTAGTAAAGATGACCAGACATCGTGCGTCCCCCTGTTTCTTTTTGCATTCCTGCCCCGTTTCCTTTTGATGGGATAAGTATGCAGTTAGCTGCATCCCGCCCAAGTCCGCCACCACACGAAGCGATGCGCGGGGACTAGTCCAAGTCTTTTCGACTTGCCTCCTACCATACTATCAGTCTTTTGAGATCATCACGGAGATGGAAGCTAAACTAACGCGTCATATAGTGCCGATGCCACTATCGCATCCCAAGCCACGGGAGCCATGTCTTGGGCTTTCATGACGACCCTCAAGAAAAACCCCCAACAGAGCTACGTGCAACTTCTCAATAGCATCAGAGACGAACTGGCCACTAAATACACGCAAAAGCCGCAGCTGTCTTGCAGCCACCCGCTGAGTACATATCACCGAATCCAAGCCCCTTCGGCCTGAGGAAGGCATACCTAACCTAATGAATTAGATACGAATCTCCTTTTCGTCATGTAAATAATGATATCGCGATATAGTGTGGCTACGTTGCGTAGTATCCTGTACGAGGAATAATGGGATATTGGGAATTCTTGAAAGACAATTTTTTCTTTTCCTGCTTGCTGCAAAATTATGATTCTCATGCTGGTATTGGGAATGGGACAGGTGCATCAGTGGTCGATATCCTGGGGTTCAAGAAGAATAGTCTTCTTAGGACGATATTATGCATTTTATTTTATTATTTTCTTGTTTTGTTTTGTTGGTGGGTTGGATATTTCACTCTAATTTTCATTCGTCTGGCATTTAAAAAAAAAGAAGGGTTTGGGTGTGGTAGTGGACGGGGTTGGCTCATACTATTCTGGCATTTTGTTCAGCCATGCCATGGAACATTTATAAATTCAGTAGCTGTGCTATTGTTGAGTTTGACACACAATTTTTTTTTTTTTCAAGTTGGCAAGGAAAAAGACAGTTTTCTGTGCAATTCACTCTTCCTGCCTTCAAGTCGCAAGTCGCATTGTGAAGATGAATCTCATAGGTCTGCAGTATACAGTGACGTTATAGAGACCTTGAACTACATACAGACTTGGTGTACGCAACTAGCTTCTCCATGAATACATCCCAACGCCATTTCCTACATGCCCGGTATTTGTAAACCTAAACCATACTTATCCAGAAAACGTCCTTTTGTCGTCATGCGCATCATTGCAATCTAATCACGTTTGCAATAAGAAGGGGCAAAAAAACAAAAATAATAAGAGGGAGACAGAACCAAGTGAAGCGCGCGTGCCTGCTAATGAAACCAGCCAATGATGAAGAAAAGAAAACGTCCCTCGTTTATGCATCCATTCGCACAACTTTAAACAGTCTAGATCTCTTGACGCGTCGCTGGTCATCCCTAGCCGCGACCAACTTGAGACGAACCTGCTCTTGTTGCGACCAGTTGCGGGAGGCGATGCGCATGCGGGCAATGAAGCGAGCCATTGTGAGGAATGGCCGAATCGATGTCGGCTTCACCTTGCCGAAAGCAAGGCCGTTGGGGGCGGCGGGTAGGGCTAGAGGCTTCTTGCTATGCAGGAGGTTGGTGCGGATATGCTCGAGTTCACGCAGCTGTGCCTTGTTGCTGTACGGCAAAAAGGTAATATTGTTAGTAAACTGGACAAGTAGCGCAAGAATCAAAGATGAACCATGGGGAACAAAAGAAAAGGAAGCGGGGGAGGACCAACCAAGCGTTGGCAACATCAAGCTGCAGCTGGATAAACTTTTTGGCATATGCAGCGTCTGATCTGAGCGAGGCCTCTCGCTCCCAACGAGCTTGCATCCATTCCATTTGCATTACCATGCCCTTGAGTTCCTTCCTGTGCCGCTCTTCAGCTCCCTCGGCAGCTCGAACAAGTGTTTCAAACGCGTGGTTGTCGCCATCCAGGGTCCCATCATGTCGTTTCGCGACAGCACGTCCATCTTCCTGCCCTGATATAGGACCGTTCGTAACCTGTAGTAGCTGGATATCCCGTTGCAGCTTCTCAGCGCTCATGCGGAACGCTGCTCGCTCGCTACGTGCTCGTTCCAATTTGCGTCTGAGCGATACTTCAGCAGCAGCAAGGCCATCAATAAGCTCTTGTTGTTGCCTAACATCGTGCTCTAGATTTTCAATCTCAGCCTGACTCCTTTTGAGGTGTTTGCCCTGCTTGTTATTTTCTGAATGTGAGGCAATGGCCGCGTCTCGTTCTCGTTCCGCCTTGTCTAGCTTGTGTCTTATGCGGCGCATGGCTTTTTCATTTTGTGCTGCCGCTTCTTCAGCTTGTTGGTTTGCTTCTTCAAGAACTTCTTCGAGGACGAGCTTTTGATCTTCTAGATCGCTCATCTGCTTCTGCAATTCCCCAATTGCTTGAGATGCCATTCGCTCCGATTCAGCAGCCTGTGATTTTAATTCATCCAGAGTCCGCTGAGAATTGGCTGCCGAACTAGACGGTGAAGCCGCCATTTGGGAAACCTTGCTTTCATGTAGCTGCCGCTCCAGCTCCGCAATTTGCACATTGAGGCCCCTAATTGTGTCACGATGAACCGCCTCTTTTTGCAGGAAATCAAGTTCCTTTTGACGCGATGCGGACAAGTCTCTTCTCAAGATCGATATATTGCCAACATCGTCGCCATCGTCGGCTGCTTGTAATTTGACCAGCTGATCCTCGTAATCTTTAACCCGCTGCTCCAACTCTCGTATTGTACGCCGAGCAGAAACAGTTTCCTGATCGTTGAATGGAGTTGCTGTCGAGGATTTTGTCTTGGTCTGGAGCTGTTGAACTTCTTGTTTGAGACGGTCTTCAAGCGTGGCGACTTTTACAATTTCGTGCTCGAGAGCCTTTTCGGCTTCTTTGCGCCCTTCGCTAAGGGCTTTGTTCTCGTCCTTCAGGAGACGGACTTCGCTAACAAGCTTCATTTTGGCAGCCCTCAGATCGAGACGTTCTTGATCTACTTGCAGGGTATCGTTTTCCTGAGCGCCATTTTGATGCAGTTGTCTTTGAAGCTCATCCCGTTGTGCCCTTGTTTCCGCAAGCGATGATTGAACAGAGCCAAGCTCCGCCTTGAGTCTGGTAACCTGGTCTTGGAGATACTGTGAATCCCGTACAAATGCATCGCGGCGACCGGGTGTCAACTGATTGTTGCTCTTCGATCGTAACACCTCCACCTCATTTTCTAATGCGACAATCTTGTTCACTTGCCCCTGATAGTCAATCTGGGTTTGTCGGAGCGCGTCCCTGACAGTTGAAAGCTCATTTCGCAAATTGGTGAGCAATGTTTGTCGTGTTTCTAGAGCATCCTGAAGGTCGTCAATTTGACGAGCCATCACGGCCTCCTCGCTTTTATGCCGTTCCATTTCACTTTCCATGGCTTTCTGCAAGGTGGACTCTTTGTTCGACAAATTTCCTTCTGCTTCGCGAAGACGCTCGATAGTTCTTTGAAGACCTGCAGCCTTCTCCTCGGCTCTCTCCCTCTCAGACACCAGAGCTTGCTTCTCGTTCTCCCATTTTTCACTATCATTGTCGTAAAGATTGTCACGCTCGCGAACCTCGGCCTGCAAGTCTGAAACGGCGTCATTCAATCGTTCTAATTCATCCTGATATTGTTGCCGCAAGTCTTTTTCGATCTCCACCGCATACTCCCTCTCATCTGACACGTTTTTCTGTAGCTCCTCGACCTCCTTTTCCAGCTGTTGCACGTTACGCTGAAGGGCATCGGACTCGACTTTCAGTGTTTCGTGCCGCACCTGTAAAAGATCCTTCTCATCTGCAACAGCAAGTAGCTCTGCTTCGAGACCCCGAACTTTGGCTGAATCGTCGTGCTGTCCCCGCCTGATTTCTTGTTGCTCATTTCTGAGTTCATCCACCTCAGCTCGGAGCTGCTCATTTTCCTCATTTGCACCAGCCAGCTCCTTTTCTAGGTCTGCGTATTCCTTCCCAGATTTATCGAGCTCTTCTTGCAAGCGGGATACCTTCTCTTCAACTTGCCTTGAGAGGCCCTTGGTCATCACAGACTTATTAGCCATTTCTTCTTGGAGCTCCTCGAGATCACTTTCGGCCCGATCTTTTTGAGACATCGCCTGATCTGCCTTCTCCTTGAAGTCTTCGACTTGTTCTTCTAGTCGACGAATAGTAAGCTCAAGGTCTTGAATAGTCTCTCTGGCTTCTTCCAATTCCTCATTCTGGTTCTCTGCACCTTCCATCTCACTCATTCTCCTCTGGGCTTCCCTTTGCTTGTCTTCGGCAGCATCAAGTCTATCTCTAAGATCATCCAGCTCATCGTCTCTTTCCGTTATCAGGCGGTCCTTTTCTCGTAAGTCTGCTTCTAGGTCTTCAATGTTGTCGCGGAGTTTTTCCAGCTGGTCTTCGTCATTATGACTCTGGTCCACTTGCTGTTGCAGTGCATCAATGTCGGACTTTCTTTCCTCCAGGGCCTTGCGCAGCTGTTCGAGTTCCAGGCGCTGGCCATCGTCATTTTGCTTTCGCCTTCCTTTTTCTTGAAGCTCTTGCATTTGTTGTCGATAGGATTCAAGGTCCCGCTCGGCTGCTGTGACGTGCTTCTTATATCGGTGAAGCTCTCGTTGCATTGTTACTTTGTCAACTTTCAACTCTGTGTTTTCCTTTAGGGCTGCTTCGCTGAAGCCGGGACCGGCCTTTCGCAATGCTTCTTCGAGGAAGTGAATTTTCAGCTTTAGGCCGAAGTTTTCCTTCTCAATCCTATCAATGACGTTTTCTTGTTCGCGCAGCGATAACTGGTTGCCATCCTGTAATGGCCCCTTATCCCCGCCTCTCCGAGGCTGCATAGCCAAGGGGGTGGAAGCAACACTACTACCTTCGAGCTGGGGAAGGGTGTTGTCTAGAAAGGATTGGCTTCGAGAGCCCAGATAGACGGAGCTGTCCATTCGTGGTATGGGAGTCATGTCGTCTTCGTCTATCCTATCCAGTGCTGGCGCATTCAATGCAGTAGTCCCATTCTCCTTGCCATTTTTACGAGCATTCCGTCTTGCGGAGAACTTGAGCATGGGAGTAAACTCAACCTCTCCAAGATTTTGGGGTAGATTTCTGCGATCTGCCAGCGGCCCTCTTTGGCGTGGAGTTCGCAGACTGACTCCATTCGAGCGTCCGTTGCGAAGCTGCTGGAAGAAGTCGCCATCCTTTCCTGGGGAGTGAAACGAGGCTTCTTGGGAGATATCGGCAAAATCGGGCTGCCTACTAAGGTATGTAGCGTCACCGACGTTCGTTCGAGGCGTGTCGAGCGCGCCGCCAAACCCTGGCTGGGCCATGGTTGCGGGCGATGAGAGTATAGTTAGGCGACTCGCAGAGATGACGGCGTTCTTATGTCGAGATTGCTTTCATTGGGGATTCAATAGCGTATAGCATTGGCGGCGGAAGTGGCGATGATGGGAGCGAATGATTGCGGGACGTTTTGCTTTGGCCGAGATCGTCAGGTAAATTCTGGCTGTCACCTGCCACCAGAGAGGAGGGGAGAAAAACCAGTTCTAGATGGAAGCGAGCAGTGAGTGTGCGCAAGGATTATTGGGTGACGTATCCGTTGCGAAATAGACAAACCAAGAGCTCTATCCGGCCTCAAATAAAGGATTAGAGAAAAAAGCGAGGCCTCGAGCCTGACACTTTCCAGCATGACATTCAACAGGACATTCAACAGGCGTCGTGCTGGCGGTACTGCGCATTCAATATTTTGTATGTATGGTAGTCAGTCGCATGAGATGCTGGCACCGCGTTGGGTCTTTGTTTACTTGTTGCCCTGTTTAGGCTTAGCGCAGAACACCAGGGTGCGAGTGCTGCCCACAAACTGGGGTGTTGCAAGGTCAATTGCCAGGTACCTAGGTACATGAGATCTTACTGTGTGCAAAGGGCTGCGTAGCCAATCAAATACTGTGATCTTTTCGCAGCCAATGGCACGGCTCGAGCCAGATCAAGATCCCATTGCACCAACTCACTTTTGCACCGGTATATGCGTCTCAAATCACATCTCAAGTGCTGGGTTGAGGCCAAGCCGCAGATGAGAAAGTACAGGTAGCTTCACCTCACAGTGTCCCGTGGGCTGACATCGGAGCTACTGACGCCAACTGGTCTATCCAACTGGGAGCCCAGGAGGGCCTCGAAGTCGCACAAGTCGTACCAGACGACAGGTCGCAGACGTCGCAAAAGTCACCAAAGTCTCGGCGGAGAAGTTGCAGGCTCGAGGCCGTTGTTTTACCCCGCCACTCTAGCGGCGAGGGTACAGAGTCAGGAGGTGAGAGCTGAGAGCTGAGAGCTGAGAGTTGAGGGTCGAGACTCGAGACTCGAGACTCGAGAGGCGAGAGGCAAGAGGCGAGACTGTGGAGGTCGGAGGGCATAGTGCGGCCGTTGCTTTACACACGTTTCTACGGCTCGCCGCGTTTACTGCCGGGTCCCTCGTCGAAATATTCAAAGGGGGAGACGGAGAGCTTGTTTCTCATCACGAAAACAGGTGTTTCTGTCTGCTGCCTGCTCCCGCTGGTGTTGGTGCTGGTGCGACGTGCTTGCCCATAGTGCTGCCACCAGACCAGACAAACATCCAGTGTCGGGACCTTGGCCCGGCTGTCCGCTACCAACATTGAAAGTACCAGACCAGCCAGACCCGGTACAGAGCGCAGACTGCAGAGTGCAGCAGAACATTTGAAGGTACACAGAGCTCAAGTTGTCTGGTCCTGGCGCGACTCCTGCCGACTCCCACTGCTGCCTCCTTGCTGCCCCCCTCAGCACCGTCATCCATCCACATGGGCTGCCATGTCGTTGGACCAAGTCCCAGACGAAATCATCCAACACCTGCTTCACCATGTCTCGCCCGAGGATACTTTGCAATGCTTCCAGTTGCTCTGCCACCGCTCCCATAGATTAGCAAACGAGGGCCTGCTATGGAGATATCATTGCCGGAGCACCTTTAGATACTGGCACTTCGATCACGGCTTTGGCCAGAAGCTGCACGCCGCCGTGGCAAGTGTCGACTGGAAGCGCTTGTTTCTGCTGAGGACGCGCAGGAATCGGACTGTCTCCCAGCTTCTCGACGCCATCCTGAGGACCAAGGTTGGCCGTTTAAGGAAGATCGAGCGCATCTGCCGCCTGGGGTACGATGCCAAGGATTTTCTCCTGGTGCAATGCCACGCACCCGAGTCCGCTCCGGACGTTCTAGCGAGAAGGTGATTAGCCAGTTCTACCCTCCCTCTCACACACAAACACAGAGACAATGACTGATTGGGATGATTAAAACCTTTGACTACTAGATATTTTAGCAACGCCATACTCGACAGCATTCACCGGAGCATCGCCATCGAAGAATGGCACAGGCTTGGTCTGGACCGCGACTCTCCCCCTGCACACGTCGCCGCCCAGAGACTTGAGCGAGCCCTCGGCGCCTTCGACATGTTCGTGTTACATGATCAGCCCGGTGACCTCGATGACGTACGTCCTCGTTCCAAATTCTTTTCACCCCAATCGGCGCTGGTTTTTGACATTGCCTAGATTTCTCAAATGTTGGACCATTTGGTCATCCAGTTTCGAGCTAGCTGTGCTAATCTTGCCGAGCTCACAACCCGAGAGACAGCTTTGGCGTTGAATGGGTGGATGCGTGCCAAAAATCTAACCGGCCTACAGAACCCGGAAAGAAATTATCGAAATCTTCGAAATTGCCTGATAGGCCAGGCTTTGCGACATGAAGAGCATGAGTCCATTCCACTAATATCCAGCGCCCTCTTTTGTTGTCTTGCCGGGCGGCTGGGGCTCAATGCTCAATGTTGCGCCTTCCCCAGCCATGTCCACGCCATTGTTTTCGCCCAGTCCGGACAAACCTTGGACGGCCATGTCGTCGATAGCTGCCATGAGCAGCTCGAGAGGATGTATCTTGACCCATATGGGCTCGACAGCGAAGTCCCTGCGTCCGATCTACAGAACCTCCTAGCTCACTATGGATGGCAAACCAGCACAGATGCCTTTTTAGCTCCTGTTCCTCCCATATCAATGGTTCTAAGAACTGCTCAAAATATCAAGGCTACTTTTGCTAGGATTTTGGAACTACAAGAAGACGCTCATCCAGAATTGAGTCAGCTTCTGCGTGGCAACAACGCAATGAACGTGGATGCTTCTCTATACTCAGCCATGTGGGCGTCCCTCATGCTGACGCCTCCCAATACTTTCGAATGGTACGATAGATTAGCAAGCTTTCTTCGTCGGTTTGCCGGATCATGGCCTGAAGATGCATGGCTAGTGGAAAAATACCTTGCGCCCATGTACAACAGCTTTACGCCACTTCGTGATGGCTTTGCTCATCATGTTAATCGCGGCTTGGGGGATCCGTGGGATCACTGGCGTCTCGTGCGAGACGAAGACGACGTAATTCCGTCTGTTTCCCGGAGAGACTCCGACGCTAACCAGTCAGTCCCGTTCAAGATCGGTCAGGTTTTTCAACATAGACGTTACGGTTGGATAGGCGTCATCACCGGCTGGTCTGACCAAGGCACGAGGCCTTTGCCTGTGGCGATATCTCGAGACACTGATGTTGAGGGAGGCGCTGGCGATCCAAGCGGGCAGCCACGCTTCCCTATTCGGCCGCCGAATCAGTTCTATTTCATATGCTTGTAAGACCCAGATTAACTTCCCTTCTCCAGGCCCCAGCTCCGCTGCTCTTTGCTTTTCGTATTCGCTGACACTCAACCTGTCGCGGTAGTCCGAGCACTGGCTCTGAGCCACATGTAGTAGCTGCAGATAATATTGAGCTCATACACGATTCTACGAACATTGATGACGACATGTTTCCCATGGCTGGCAAATTTTTCAGGCGTTTTGATCCAGAATCGTGCAGATTCGTTTCCAATATCAAGGAACAATATCCAGATGACTAATGACTTCAGTTCAGTATGAATTTGGAACGGTCGTGTTACAGCGGGATGGAATTTTGGTGAGCATTTCAAGGAGTAGGTTACCTTGGGCGGGCAAAATTATTCCATATGGGCCGGGTAAAAAAAAAAAAAAAGTGGATAGTTTGGCCGACATCAGTGTGTCGATTTGCTCTTGTCTTCTTTCTTTATATAACCTGTCTTAGTATGGGTGTTGCAGGCGGCAGCCAACGCTGACTCTATTTAGGGAGGCGCATTGGTTCTCTATTTAATTTTTTTTCTCGGCACACGCTGCTCAAAATCGAGATATCCCATGCAGCCCACCTTAAGCCATCATATACACCAACATGTTGTATAATTCATGGACTCTTGAAATTCCCTGCCAATGCATAACATAAATATTCACTAGGTCATTTTGATGATGTCCTCCAGCACCCCCTTTTCTGCTAGCTTCTGTACCCAAGAGTGTAATGCACTGCCGTAATCCCGTCTGCGGCCGGTGACCCGACGCTCATCCTCGTCCATGACGATTAGCTCGGCGCGAAATTCACGCACGGCGGCTCTTGCTTCTGCGCAAAATCTCTGGTAGAGCTGGTAAACATCTGGGGCCTCCCAGTCGGAGCGGGCCGCCGCAGCTAATAGTTGGGGTGGTATCTCAGCATTCTGAATATCCGAATGGGTCAGGTTAAACTCGGCGAGTTGAGCTTGGTCATCCATGTCCAGGACCGGCTCCTCCCCCGATATTAACTTGCTGAAGGCCTCGCTGTCCGTCATACGGGATCTTATATAATCCAATGCCGCCAGCATAGTGGCAATGGTTCGGCTGTGTTGTAGTAACGGGCCGCGGCAGACGGCCAACAGATTGAATGAGAGCTGGCTGTCCTCGTTCTGAAGCATTCTGGCCTCTATCTGCGGCCTGGCAATGGCGGTCCAATCTTGGGATTCTAGAGGTCCTATGGGCATGGCGTGTTGACAGTTAGACCAAGTTCGTGGCCATGGCATCGAGATGAATCGTCTCACCGAGTTTCAGAGGATTGCTCCTCAAACCATCCAACTCCCACACGAATCCGCCAGAAGGAACATAGGCAATGAAGTGATATCCGTACTCCTCCAGGGACGTCTTGTTGCTTTTTCTTTTCTGTTTGCCTGCTTTTCTAGACATTGTCTTCTTCATGGAATCACTAACGTCGTTCTCCAGACACAAGTCCGCATTGAGTTGATCCATGCGCCTCGTGAAGGAGTTGTGGATCTTGCGAATGAATTTATTGGAGCTGATGCTGTGTCCACGAAGAGCGGTGCAGAGGTCCTTTGTGGATTCTTTGAAGCTCTGCAGCCTCTCGCCAAGATCCAGGTTGTCGGCGTTCATGACAATGTTTAGCAGTGCAACAGTGGCGCATGCATTATTGGTGGTCTGCACTTGGCTGTTAGTAGTTGATTTGGTGAAACCCGAGTGAGAGAGGGGGAAGGGGTGGAATCTTGCCTGGTTTGCAAACCATATCTCGCTTTCTGTGTTTGTGGGTTGCTCATCTTCTTCATAACCAGGACCGTATTGGAACAGAAATATCAAACCAAAGACGGGTTTTCTGTCAGTATGTCAGGTTATCGCTGCTGAGTCTTGAAAGAGGGTATTCACCCACGGCAGGGCGTCCAACGAGGCTTGATCAATTGTAAATAGCTCTTGGGTTTTGACATGTTTGACACCCAAGTCTCGAAGAATGATGTTGAAGAATGCCTGTAGAGGTAGAGATGAGCTCGGCGGTCGTTGGGTGATTTTGCAAACACGCACCGGTTCAGATTCCAGCTCGATCCACCCCTCCCATTCTTCAATCTCTTGTGATGTGAGAGGACTACATGCCTTCTCCAGAAGCTGGTGATGAGGCACGTCAGGAGCATCTATGTTTTCTAGTGCTTTGCGTTTTGGGGTTCGCCTCGGTCTGTCCATTATACCTTGCTCATGTGGAGTAGAGAAAAGATGTGTGTGTGTCTTTATTGGGCAGGACAGGGGAAGATGCATGCACATTTATAAGACAGAGGAGAAGGTAAAATATTCAGGAAACTGGGGGTTGAAGAACTGCCCTTGGATAGGCAAGTTATTGCAGACTGTGTACATTGTCGAAGCCGTCATGTCGAGATGCGAGCCAGGCAGGATGCAATTTATTAATTGCAGGCCAAAGGCGGGACCCCACCAAATGAATACCTGCCCTGCCTAGTAGCAGGTACTTTGTCAATACTTGGGCACGCAAGTACCCAGTAGGTATTTCAGTAGGTGCTCGACCTCGGCTGAGGAGAGTAAAATGCCTTGGGAACAATAGTTCACCCATGATTGGTTGGCTCGACGACGAGCTTTCATGTTCAATGAGCGCGTTCTTCAGAGTTCCAGGCATGAATAACAAACCGGCGACGTCAGTACCAATTGAACTGGGACCAAGATTCCACTACAGAGTGATCCACTCTCGCTCTCGCTCGCCGTGTCTACAGGGTAGCCCGAGCTATCGACTTGGTTGCCTGGCACCAAGACTAGTACTAAATTAGTCCTTGTATCTCGACACCAACACAAAAAAGTTGGTCACACGTCTGGAAGCTTTGCTGCCGCATCGTCAACTCGTGCTCCATCGCGCCTCACCTGCACCTACGACGCGTTGCACGCATTGCCACGCTCTGCACACACCGTCCGTCACCTCGCCTGCGTTTGGTCTTCGATGCTTTCCTGCTCTCCTCGCGGTTGATACGGAATGCCATGAGCGCGACTCCTCGCTTGCGGTCTGGGTTTCCAGCAACCCCAGCTACCGCTCCACGACGACAAAACCCCCAAGAGACGCCTTCCACAGTCGGCACTGTTTCGTCCAATGGCAATTCTGCCAAATCGCCTACGCTCCCTCTCGCCCCCGAAAACAACACTGCGCGTCGAGTTGCGAGCGACCCTCTTATTCCTCTAACCTTCCTTGATGCTCCCCAGCAGCGTCTATATGCCCTCGCTGTATACGTGCTGCTGTGGGCCTGGAAGCTCTATGACTGGCTTCAGGTCATAGAAGACGGCGACTCGTCTTGGTGGTTGTTTATCAAGTGGATTTTTATCGACTTTGCTTTCCTCTTTGGGTTGCCTGAGCTCAGGATACCATGGCTTGAGCTCTCGCAATTTATAGTCACCACCCTCTTTGCTGGGCATGTCGTCTTCAATTACATGTTGATGTTCAATATTCCCGTGAGTCTACTGACTTCCACACCAAGTTGGGACCATACACCCACCTCATGCCCAATCAATGAACTAACCTTCGGCACAGCTACCATGGCAGGCCTGGCTCCTCGGCTTTGCCAAGGTCTTGTACGATCGCGAAATCTCCATTTCCGAGCACAACGTAAAGATCTCGAGCATTTTGAACAATCACTCGTTAATAATGGGCAAACAAATCATCAACATTCTCCCCGAAGGCTCTGCCGTGTTAAACCCGGACATGCTACCTTACTGTCTGAATCGAAAGGACAAGATTGGCGCCTCACTACCAATCTATTTTAATGCCACCGTGCCCGCCGAGATTGAACTGATTCGTATCGATCTTGATACCAACAAGGAGGAAACAATCAAGATCCCCACTCGCGAAGTCAACAAGGTTGCAAGAGCCATCCGTGATCACAATGCTGACCCGACTGCCGACGGGTTCAGCTGGCTGTATGTCGTCAAGAAACCCGGTGTTTATCGGCTGGGCAAAGTCTTGGACCAGTACAAACTCGAAGTTCAGCGCGCCGCCAAGGAAACTTATGTTGTTCCCTGCCCACAGGCCAAGATTCGAGCCTCCGAGTCCTCCCAGCGATGTATTCGCGACCTGTCTGACCTGTCTCTTGAAGTTATGGGCACCCCGCCACTCAAGATCAAATATAGTCGTTCTGTCAACGGCATAAACCACGATTTCCGATTCCAAAGCCTGCAGCCGGACGGCTTTGCGTCACCTCTCATCACTGGCGCAAACGCGGCCGCCGTCTCTGCTGCTGATGACTTTTCGTGGGCACGCCCTGCCACAGTCACCGTCGGCCTCAACGAGTCCCTCACCAACCCCGGAGAATGGGAGTATTCAGTTGACGAAGTCCACGACGCATTTGGAAATGAGGTCAAGTACGCCAAGGAGGGCGAGGACGTTGATGTCGCCAACTCAAAGGGCCTCACTCAGAAGTTCACCGTGAGAGAGCGGCCGAAAATTCGCATGGATGGTTGTGACCTTCGAAAGCCAATCAAGGTAGCTAAAGGACGAGCTGCATCCCTGCCTATTTCATTCAGTCTCTCTGGCTCCATCAAAGACACATCACACGAAATCAGCTGGGAATTTTCGCCCATTGACACCCTGACCAACAGCGGGGATCACGGCAGCGAAGCTACAATATTCCGCCATTCAGCAAAGAATTCCAGAGACCGCCCCTTCGTATCTGAAGCTGGACTGTACACGCTCAAGTCGGTGACTAGTGGCTCGTGTGAAGGTGAAGTAGACGAGCCATCATCTTGTTTGCTGCTCAACCCCCTGGAACCCCATCTATCTATTCGTTCCGAAGACATACCTGATAAGTGCGCCGGCAACTCCATTGGTCTTCGTGTTGACATTGACCTTGTGGGCACTCCTCCGTTTGATATCCACTACGATATCATCTCAGACGGCCCTCCCGAACACAAGACCTTGCGTGTTCCCGGCTTGCGCTCACAGCTTGAGCTTATCCCTAAGAAGGCTGGCCGACACAGGTATGTGTTCACGTCGATAAGTGACGCGGTGTACATTGGCCTGCCCCTATCGGGTCAAGACACAATCCTTGAGCAGGTTGTCAAGCCAGCTGCGTCAGCCAGGATTGTCCACCCACGCGACACCATAAATGCTTGCCTAGATTCCGAAGTCGAGGTCGATGTTGCTCTTAATGGCGACGCCCCTTTCAACCTTGAATGGGAAATTGTCCACGATGGCAAACGCAAAACAGAGCGTGCAAGCAATCTAGAAGACAACATGTTCAAGATCAAGACGCCGGTACTTGCGAAAGGCGGAGATTATATTCTCGCTCTTAGCAGTGTGCAGGACGAACGTGGGTGCCGCACCTTCCTGCAAGAACAAATTAAAATTACAGTCCGACGTCAACGGCCACGTGGCGGGTTCGGCTTGATAGAGCAGAAGAGTTCTATCTTGGCTGTTGAAGATACATCCCTGCAACTGCCGTTACGACTTCAGGGTGAATCCCCTTGGACAATCCGATATCGAAATTTGAATGAATCTGGGAGCGAGCTTTTCAAAACTGCCATTGCCCCGAACGACCACCTAGTTGTCAAGTCTCGAGGTGTATACAAAATCCTCGAGGTACATGATAGCCAGTGCCGAGGCACTGTAGACAAGACCGCATCTACATTCCAGGTGGACTGGTTTCCTCGACCGGAGATTTCACTTATTCAAACCGAAAGCATCACAAGCGCCAAGGACGCATTCATCAAGCAGGATGTATGCGAGGGTGATATTGATGGATTCGAAGTCAAGCTCCAAGGTAAGTGGACAAACCTACGTATTCAATCGCTCAGCCAGCGCTTGCTAATGAAGCTCAGGATCACCCCCGTATCATGTGTCGTACGAACTGGAGCACAGATCTCAGCAGGGCTCCCATTCTAAAAGCCCGAGGAATTTTGACGCCGCATTATCCAAGGCGTCGATATCCATGGACACTAGCAAGGCTGGTGACTACGCGTACAAGTTTGTTGGACTAGCAGATAATCTTTATAACAGTGACAAGAAGCTGCGGCCACTTGTGGTACAGCAGCGCGTTAACGCCAGGCCGACGGCGGTTTTCTCCAAACCTGGTCAATCCTTCAAATACTGCGTGGAGGAACAGGAACACGAAGACAAAATCCCCATCGCATTGACTGGCGTCTCTCCATTCTCCGTTGAAGTGGAAATTAAGCATCAGTCCGGATCGGCGACGGATACTTACCGAATTGCCTCCATCAATTCTAACTCATACTCGATGCCTATCCCACGAGAGCACTTACGCCTTGGAGCGCAGCAACTCCGCATAAGGCGCGTCCGAGATGCGAAAGGATGCCAGCAAAAGTACGATGTTAATGGACCATCGATTCAAGTGCAGCTCTTTGATGCCCCTTCCATCTATCCGCTAGAGTCTCGCGAAGACTTTTGTGTCGGTGAAAGAATCGCGTACACACTCTCAGGAACGCCGCCGTTCGATATCACATACGACTTTAATGGCCGATGGAATGCTAAATCACAGACTACCAACTTCCGCCGTGTGGCAGAGAAACCTGGCGAATTCATCATTACTAGCATTTCGGATAAGGCTAGCGAATGCCGTGCAGCAGTCAATATGCACAAGAAGATCCATCCTCTCCCTAGCGTCCAGATCAGTCGTGGAAAGCAATCTCGCGTTGATATTCATGAGGGCAATGAAGTCGACATTTTGTTCGAGTTTTGGGGGACACCTCCCTTTGAGTTCACGTACACAAGAAGTACCAATGCCAAAAAGGGACATAAAAGTGTTGTCTTGGATAGAAGACATGATATCTCGTACGAGCACAGCAAGGTTATCAAAGCCAGCCAAGAGGGCACGTACGAAGTGGTGGCGATCAAAGACAAGTACTGCTCGTTCTCGACGGAGGAGGTTTCTGAGAAGCAGGACGGGTGATGAGACACGACATGTGTGAAATGTCAACGAAGCAAAAGATGCTATAATGGGTGGATTAGGGAGATAGTGGAAGAATTATTGTACATATGCATCTATACCACGGAAACGGCGTTATCTTATTTATTTATCTTGAATACGGAGGACACTGAGTCGACATCAGGTACATCAAATAGCAATGTGTAAGCAAATAGACAAGATTCATATGCTAGTGGCTGAGTCGGCATATGACTGTTCTCTTTATCCTATTAATCTTTCTTCCGCAGTTTGTATGCTGATCTATTTACAAATGACGCTCGCGCGCTCATAGCCCCCGCCAGATGCTGCCCGTGATCATCAACGGTACTTGGATAAATACACAAATTGTTGGACTTGGTAGCCTGGGAGGAATTTGCTTCCAATTATTCCTCGTCGTCTCCAACTTCTATTCTCTTTATCATTTCTCCGCCCGCCCTTGCTAACTCCAGCAAGATGGCCTGTCGGTTCACCTCGACCATATCAGCTGCCGCATCATCGCCATCATCTACAGCTACTCTTCGGAAGTTGTATGGCAGTCCAACTCTGAACTTTTCTTTCTTTTGCAACTTTGGGTTCCAAATAGCCGCCAGAACAGACTCATTTGGCCCGCCTGGGAAGAACACAAGCGTGTCGTCATAAACGCGCTGCCACTCCTGGGCCAAGACGGCGGCGGGGTGTGTTCTTATAGGTAGCGGCATCTTGCCGGTGCTCGCATCGAGGTTCTTATACATCGAGTGCTTCCTTGCGCCGGATTCGGTAGCCGCATCGTGCAAGATGTTCTTGATGGCCTTGGTGGAGAGGTGTACCAGTACATCGTAGTCTTGCAGCGACGTTTCGAAGAGGCTTTCGGGCTTGAGGCTGGCTCCCTGGTCGCGAACGAGTTTGCAGGCAGCCTTGGCCAAGCGAGTCATTCGGAAGGCGATGAGCTTCGATGGGCCACGGCGCGTGTATCCGAGTCCCGAGTGATCGCTGGAAGTAGCAACAAACATGGCGGAATTGTTCATGTGAGGATCTCGTTTCCTCCAGGAATCGAGCTCCCGGTGCATGGCCGACCGTTCTGCTGCAGAGACTGTCTCCGCGGAATCTACAATTAATGGCTCATCTCGCCAATCCCACCTCGCCAAGAAGAAAAGAGTGCGCAAGAATCCCGTCATGGGCGATGAAGGCATCACCCAGGGGTATGGCTGAAGAAAGACGTGCAGAACAAAAAGTTCAATAAGCTCATCAGAAAAGTGGCCGCAGAGCTTGTGGCTGGCAAACCAGTGTTTGACGAGGCGAATTGACTGTGATAACGGCTGCAGACGAGTGCAAAAGGTTGCAATGATTTGAGTATGCAGCGGCAGTGTAGCAGAATACCACTTGAGTGTATCGAGAGCTTGTGATGCCTCCTCACGGACATGAGGATCAAGTACCATATTTTGGACTTGGCGCTGCAGTAGCGTCTCTTCGAGGTCACAATATATTCTCAGGCGGAAAGCTGCGCCGTTGTTATATACGATATCTAAATATGCGAGGTTTTCGATGCCAACGTCCCCGTTTTCGCGACCCAGATATGTGACGATTTTGTCGTTAGCTGCTGTTAATCGGCGGTCAAAATCGAGAAGAAATTCAATCTTCGCCTCCTGGATGGCAGTGAGGTTTTCTGGCCATTTGCTGGATGCCTCAAAGTACAGGTTAACGTCCAGTAGCTGAATGGTATTCATGTGAAAGCCAAGCATGGGCAGCTCCAGGGACGAGTAGCGAGCGGACGGTGACACTGCTGATAATTGGCGTATCTGCAGCGGAAGGTCGTCCAAATTACGAATGTCGCTTTCAAACGTCGTAAATGCTCGCCGGGCCGAGTCGAAGGCTTCTTTGTCGAGATGAGACAAGCCAATGAGGGAGGAAAACCTGTCTCCATAGGCAACAATATCTTCATTTGCGATATTGAAATGCCGCTTCAAAGAGTAGCTAGTCAATTCTTCGCAAATTTGAGAAGGGAGCTTGCCATTCCATTCGACGCATTCAAGGATACTCCCATCTTTGAAGCGACGCAGCTCCGCCTTTTCACCCCAAAATTGTCTGAACGCGGCAGCCTCCTTTTCTTCCTCTGCAGGTGGACCGTACTCCATTTGTCGCGCCATATGAGCGGGATCAAAAATCACACCAACAAGAAGCTTTGTAGCCAGTTTCGCAGGTTGGTCAGAAAGTGACCATGGCTTTATTGATGGTAGCTGTATATGAACAAGTTGGGCACGGTTTCCAAAGGCTTTTTTGAGGACTTGGTGCACCTCTGATCCGAGTTTCCAGGCAATGCTGCTACGATCAGAGGAGTCGGCGTACTTGGAAATATGAGAGTTGTTGATCTCGAATTGCGCGTCGAAAACCTGCAGTGTAATGTCCGTCTTCATGATGAATGTGGGCTCGAATTTTTCAGCACCCTCGTCGGCTAACAAGTCTGAAGTGGACTTTGCATATAGCTGTAGAAGACTAGCGGAGGACGATGTCATCTTGGACAAAATGTTTAGCTCTCGTACGGGGTCGAACATGACAGGGCCGGGTTCTCTGATTAATTTGGCATCGACTTTAGCCGTGTTGAAGGCAAACGGTTTCTTATTAAAGTCTGTTGTCGACAGAAATTGAATACCAGCCTTGAATAGTTCGGTGCTACTCAGGGAGCCCGAAAGAGCAGGCTGTCCATTTCTTCCTCCCATCTGCAACAAAAGGGCTATCAAAATAGCCCATTCAAAATGACCGAAGCCGCCTTGAGAAATAGCGCCGCCAAAGCCTCGTTGTTGGAGCCATATCCTGCCCAAGATACACGCGTCTGGAAAGGCCGGGCATTCGTTCTTTGCGAAAGTCAGTACTCTAAGGTACTGTATAAAGGTCCTCTCGGCGTTGAGAGTGGAGTTATAAAATGGGGAAGACGTGTTGTTTCCCTTCCTTTTCTTCTCCTCATTCTCCTGCGTCTCTCCCAGTCGCGTACAGTTCGCCGACGGTGTAAGTTTTGACCAAGGAAAAAGGTTGTCGGGAGCGCATGGAATGAGCCGGATGCAATAGCCGTGTCTGTTGCTATCCTTCTTGTTCGACTTGGATATCGTCTTCTCAGTTCCGTCCATCGCATCTCCATCGGCCGACGGCTTGAGAACCAACACTGGGAGAAGAGGATTTTCATGTAAGTATTGGAAGCTCAGTGCCATGGTATCACGCATCTCATTGCGAACATGTGCGGCGATGTAGGCAATGAAGTAGGCTCTCCGGTAGAAATATCGCATGCTAAGATAGTCTTTGTCTTGGAACAATGAAACAGGCATTTCGACAACCATATCAATACCCAGGGCGGATTGGGTCTTGACCATAGTCCTAGAGACGTAGCTGCCAACGACGTTGCACTGAGAGGGTTTCGCGTATGAAAGTTTATAGGGTGTGTCCTTTCTTGGCTTGGGATCTGGGTAGGGCACGGTAATTCGGTGTTGCTTTTCGAACTTTGCTGTCGCCTCGGCAATCTTGTGCATGGAGTTGATTAGCGTCTAAGCCAGCAAAATTGCTGGAGATGAGGCTCACAGGAAGAGGTGCATGCGGTTCGATGGAATCCACAATAGTTTTCAGCCGAAACAATGTTCCGTCAACATCTTTCAGTGCTTTGCTATAATCAAGCTTGGCCTTCCTGAGCAGCTCATCGGTTTGGAGGACAAAGGTGCTGGCGGACGATACTAGAGCAGCGTTGCGAGCCTCGACATCGATGAGGCCGTCATGCCGGAGGCTAGATCCGCCACGGTCAATCTTTCGACGCTTGACCCCCGACTCCATGACTTGGGCTGCTGGACTTGTGCGTGATGAGATGCGTATGAGACTTCTTCGGCGTTGGTTTGAGAAGAGTATGCGGCAGTTCGCTGTAGATTCGAGCAACTTGATGGCGCGCCTTGGCTGGGCCAATGGACGGCATGAATTTTTTTTGAAATTTTTTGAAGCTTGGATGCGCTAGCTGCGGGGCGATAAGCTGATAAGCAGCTGTTTGGTCAAGTGTGGTCAAGTGTGGTCAAGTGTGAGTTGGAGGGCTGCGGGCTGGGGCCATTTACTCAGGTACTTAAGTACCTTGGTACCTTGGCTTCCAGCAGGGCAGAGCCTTGGTAAGGGGTCTGGAGTACATCGTAGAAACAGAGGCCACCCACAAAGTCAGAGAAGAGTGAGTCTGGCTCAATGTTGCTCTTCAAAGGAGTTCGTGGATAGAGAATGGTGGAATGTAGGCAAGCGCCTGGGTACGGAGCAGCGAGCAAGTCAATAATCAACTCTGAACAACAAGCTTTAAGATAGTACGCACAAGCTCGACCATCTCACTAGGGCCTGAGAGTTGTTGGGCATGCAGATTAACGGAGAAGTACTTTTCTAGGTTAGAAACGCCGAGAGCCGATAATCGGCGCGAAGCAAGTATTATCCCCGACAATTACCTTAGATTCTATGTAGGTAGGAAGTTGGTTCATTGTCGCTGGAGTGGTCGGCCGCGCCGGAAGACGGTTTACCCTGTCGTTTTCCGGACTCCGGTGACTAATTACGGACGACTCATGGCAGCCAAGGCCAAAATGGCGGCATCGGGTCCGATGTGACAAACCAAGCGATTTCTACGTTTCGACGGCGTGTTCATGGAGCACTCGGCGGAATGTTTTGCCCAATAAGCAAAAGTAACCTGAATGGACCAAAAGCAGGGTTTCGTGAGATTAAGCGTCGACAACTCATATAAACGGCCGTCAGCATCTCAAGGGCACACAATGTTTCGGAGGATTTGCCAGTAGATGCACATGTGTACATACATTATGTTAGCAACTTCAGAAGGTTGTGGGTTGGGCCAATTTCGGCTTAGCCTTCGGAACCGATGCTTGTCTCCTTCCAAAAGCTTCATCTTCCCTTGCTGCATGGCTGTCGCATAGCCCCCGGACCCGCCCCCACAGCTCTTGATGCCAGCCTGCACCTGCCGCCGCCATGGGCCATTGGCGGCTGCGCGGAACGGAAACCGCTTACCAAGTTCCGAAGAGGGAGAGCTCTTTGCCGACGCTGCACCCGAAGGGAAGAAGTCGGCTCGGCCACTAGCGGCACAGTTCCCATCATTCGCGTGCTGCCGCCTCCAATGGATTCCTGCGGACCCTCGCGGCTCGAGAGCTTCATAAGCTGTTAACAAGACGCATCTGCGCACTCGCCCATCCCACACTCCGTTTTCCCGAGCCCAGTTGCCGGTTTCCTCTGTGCTTGGACTGCTACCCTGTTGCCGCCAGCCTTTGTTTCCGGTCTTCTGTAAAACACCCATCGCGGCCATCGTTGTCCTTAGTCCATCTTTCTAAGGGAGCTGAAGTCGGTTGGCGGTGCGAGGCTCAAGTTTCGAAAAAGCGCCCAAATTTCTCCTTTGGCCAGTCTTTCAATATCAGCCTCCAAAGGTCATCATCACATCCGTGTGACGCATTCTCGTGTATGGTATAAACATCTCCAGCTTCACAGTATAAATAATCTCACAATGCCGTCCGCTGCTCTCCGCATGGCGACTCTCCGGGCCTTCGCTCGGCATGGCTGTAACGTACGTATTACTTTGGCTCATTCGCGGCTGCAGCGTCCTTGATTCCCTTGAGCTAACACGAAGCGCCATCAGCCTTCTCCGGCCCTGACCAGGTCATTCTCCGTATCTCTACGCCGGGCTGAGATCAACAAGGTCTTCCCGTCTGCTTCAGCAGCTTTGAAGGATATGAAGCCGAACTCAACCCTGCTCTGTGGTGGATTTGGGCTTTGTGGTGTTCCCGATACCCTCATTGATGAAATCCTCCAAAAGCCTGATATCACTGGTCTCACAGCTGTTTCCAACAATGCCGGCACAGACAACTCCGGCCTCGGCAAGCTCCTCAAGACTAAGCAGGTCAAGAAGATGGTTGCTAGCTACATTGGGGAGAACAAGACATTCGAAACCATGTATCTGACCGGCGAGGTTGAGCTGGAGCTCACTCCCCAAGGAACCTTGGCTGAGCGTTGCGCGGCTGGTGGCAAGGGCATTCCGGCCTTCTACACCCCTGCTGCTTTCGGAACCGTGGTTCAAACCGGTGACTTGCCATTAAAAAACAAGGCCGACGGCACCCCAGATGAATACTCCTATCCCAAGGACGTCAAGGTGTTCAATGGCAAGTCGTATCTACTAGAGCATGCTATTGATGGCGACTATGCCTTTGTCAAGGCCTACAAGGCAGACAAGCTCGGCAACTGCCAGTTCCGTCTTGCTGCCCACAACTTCAATGGTGCCATGGGCCGCAATGCCAAAATGACCATTGTCGAAGCTGAGCATATTGTTGAGCCTGGTGAGATACCTCCCGAAGCCGTCCACCTGCCCGGCATCTATGTGAAGCGCGTTATTCAGAGCACAAGTGAGAAGAATATTGAAAAGTTCACTTTTGCCAAGGATGAAAGCGACGCCGATGCCAAGGCCGCGTTGGGAACCGGCGACACCGCCGCCAAACGTGAGCGCATTGTCAAGCGAGCAGCCAAGGAGTTCAAGAACGGCATGTACGCCAATTTGGGCATCGGCATGCCTATGCTAGCGCCGGGTTTCGTTGGTCCCGAGGTCGAAGTCCAGCTTCAGTCTGAGAATGGTATCCTTGGCTTGGGTCCTTATCCCAAGAAGGGTGACGAGGATGCCGACTTGATCAATGCTGGCAAGGAGACGGTAACCCTCAACCGTGGTGCGGCCGTCTTTGGCAGCGAGGAAAGCTTTGGCATGATTCGCAGCGGAAGAATCAACCTCACTATTTTGGGAGCTATGCAAGTAAGCGGAACTGGTGACCTTGCCAACTGGATGCTGCCCGGCAAGGTCAAAGGCTTTGGTGGTGCCATGGATCTCGTCAGCAACCCTTCCAAGACCAAGGTAGTTGTGACGATGGAGCACACCGACAAGAAGGGCAACCCCAAGATAGTCAAGCAATGCGCATTCCCCTTGACTGGACGTGCATGCGTGTCACGAATCATTACCGAACTAGTGAGTCCTTTGATTGAGTCCTTTTCGGTCGAGGCCAGATTTTATTGGTTGCCGAAAAGCCGAGACTGAAGCTAACAACTTGACTTGCAGGGAGTTTTCGACGTTGATTTTGCACATGGCCTGAACCTTGTCGAGATAGCTGATGGCGTGACGGTTGACGAGATTAAGAGCAAGACCGAGGCACCTTTTACCGTGTCCAAGGATCTTAAGCCCATGTTGTAAATTTATGGGGGATTCGACAAAAAAAGAGAGTGAGCGAGGCGGATACTTGTGGACGGTGGTTAAGAGACTGCATCTTTTTAGTTTCATGTCGGGTCAACTGGAATTGACTGAGCTTCAATGTTGTTTAATCTGGCTTGGATACTTGATAGCGACATATCTGGGGCGTTTGGTTGGCGGTTCGCGCATATCTTTGCCGAACCGCGAGTTAGCAAAGATATAAACTACATCAAATAAAATCTAAATTTTTTTTTAAAAAAAAATGAATAAAAAAATATAATTAAGAAACCATGCATTCAAGCACGAATCGTTGAGGTGCTTTGATCTTGACACTTGAAAGGTGTCTGGTGTCAGCCCCTCCTTGGTACAAGCGCGACGCTGGACTTCAGATGATCCTGGCCTGGCCAGTGCTTAGTACTCAGTGCTCACATCATCTGGGTGCAAGGGGCAAACATTGAAGGCTTAACGGAGGCGCCAGCACCAGTCAGTCCAAGACTCCATTGACTTTAATTCTTGCATCTGCATCTGCATCTGCATTTGACTTGTACTTCAACTTTTTCCTGGCCATTTGTCTTTTCCAATCTTCGGAGCTGCGAATAGTACCGCATCATGCCGCAAGTGCCGTCTCATTCTCGCCATGTTTGACAAATCATCGGGCCAGGTCTACAGAGAATGGACGGTCCCACGACAGAGCCTCACCGTGCATGGTGGCGACCGAGATTGGTCTCGTCGGAGACCGTATCCTTTATTCACTCCTCGAGGGACAAAGGGTCCCCGCTCGCTGATGGACATGGCAACTCATGTTATTGCCAACAATATTGGAGATGTGACGGAGCGCCATCTTCTAGACTCAATGCCCGTCCGGCTACTTTGGCGCATCTGGCTATTTCTCGAAGCAAGGTAAATGACCCCGACAGCATGAATCTGGCAATGATGAGGTGTATGTTTCTTTTTTTTTTCCTTTCTTCTTTTTTCCCCTTGCTCATGGCGAGGCCGAAACGCTCTTGGTGAGCTTGTTCGAAGGCTAAGTCCAATGAATGCCTAGAGGTGTTTGCCTGCATGCATGGAAACTGTTCTCCAAAATCTTGGTAGCGGACGACGAAGACAAGACTCTCGGACTGTATCGGTTCAGGCAACACATATGCCACCCGCAAGAAGAGCTCAAAATCTACACCCAGCCTTTGATGTCCCCATCAACCGACTTCATCGCACATCTGGTCATCAGCGGCGGCTGCCAGTTTAGCACCCATGAACTGCTTTGCCTCGCGGGTATGAAGAGTCTCGGGGTGTTGGAACTCATCCAGCCAGCTGACGAGGTGCGAGCTTCATTCCCCGAGGTAAGCGATAGGCTCATACGTGGTTGGGCAGAGATGGAAAATCCGTTCCCACTCCTACGAGTATTGCGCATCTGGAGGGACCAAGATGCTACGCAAGAATCACTTCGCTGGGTGACAAAATTTCCATCATTGGCATTGTACGATGTCATGGCTTCTCGAGGCGACTGGCCAGATCCGTCCGGTTCTGCTCTTGAGCATGGCTGGGAGATGGCTGGTTCCGCCAGCGGCATGGAAGACTCATTGCTGCGATACCTGATGCTCTTTGCGCCCCTTGAGCAAATTCGAAGTAGTCGTCTGAGAGATCTTGCGAGAAGAGTCGACGCGGACTTGTCTTCTCTTTGCGGTGACTCTCGCTGTGCTGTAAAATTCGTCACAGACCGCCAAGCTCCCCCTTTGTTGGACTACCTGACAGATACCGCAAATGCTTACCTCCCTACCTGGGATATAGAAGCTTCTTCGAGGGATGTAGGGTCTTGCCACGGAATCGCCTTCGAAGCCTGGGCCTTTTGGCTGTACGCCTTCATCGGCCAACTGGGCGGGGACGAGGACTTGAGATCTCGTGGCGTTCAGTCCGATACTCAAGCTGTTGTCGGACCATTTATTTTGCCCTCGAAACCATTTGCCAGCTTATTCCTGGGACACAACGGTCGAGGTGGTATCACGAATACTCCATCATATGTCAGCCGAGGACTTTTTGCAACAAAGCGAATGACATTCACTCGCCCTCCCAACTTGCAAGGTCGAGACGAACCCCCTTTACCACAGAAGATGTCGAGGAAGACGACAAACTTGGCGTGGGACGATCAAGTGGAACATTCATTGCGCAGTAAAAAGAGACAGAGACTGGATGATATTTTACAGTCGCTAAGCAAATAACATGTGTGGAGTTTGCGGCGCGGATTTGACGAGGTGCGTGTTTCAATCTAGTAACTCGGTCCAACCATGGGTTGAGTTTTAGTGAACTCTAAGCCCAACTTTAAGCTGTAAAATAAAGTAAACCAAGTCGGTAGCTTAAAAGTTCTTGTGCATAGTGCGCAGCCATGGAAAACTAACAATGCAAATTTGGCGAAGGCCTCCAGCGCTTGGCTTGAGCCAGTTCTCCAAACCTGAACTCGTCCTGGGAAAGGATATAAAAGACGTAGCCACCCTTGAAAAGAAAAGTCATTTGTACCTTTTTTTTTTTGTGTGTGTCTCAAAGACGCTTGTCCGTATGCTTCATTGTCACAAGTGTTCCAAGTGTACACAAATGCTTTATCCCCATTCATTGCAAGAACGCAACAAAGGACAAAGGGTAAATATCATCACAGGCATGAAAATGAATTACTCGCCAGGGCCCAGGGCTCATAGCTTGCATCCCAGATCAAGCACGATGGATGAATCACAGCAATGGGTGGCATTTGCGAGATCCGTACGTGCAATTTTGTTATAAGAGGACTCGCTGCCTGCGTCCCGATTTTTGTTTCTAACTACCGCGAGACAGATGCCCTCTAGAGAAGCTGAAAAATTCAAGTCACATTGTAGTTCTTCTGGTCTGCAGATGCTTCAAATGCCCAAGTCAGGACACTCCCATCTCTTCTCTGGGAAGAAGGCACAAGATGGACTGCGCAGTCCAACCTCCGGCCCTCAACCAAATTCCACTACGTCGCGTGACAAGAACAATAAAAACTCTCCGACTTGCTTATTCTCCCGCCTTTTCAACCCTCATGATCCTCCGTCGTCCATCTATAGCCAGGGTCATGTCAGAATCAGGCCTGTTGTCGCAGAGCCCTACGACCGTCTTTTTTCGCAGCCAGGAAACGACGAGCAGCCCGGCCCTCCTCCGTCGGAGCAACTGTGGGGAAATGTCAATGCTCGGCGCCCATCCCGCAATGTCCCTGATACCCGGCCGCTGCGAGCACAACAGGAAGACGCTCAAATCGCGTCTGGGCAGTTCGAAGTCAACCGCCGCGCGGTTCTGGCTTCGCAGGCTGGACAGGAACTACCTGAGGGTATGAGCAGGGACTCTATCCCAAGGTGCACCCCTTTAGAGGCATATCGATGCAGCTCTGGTGCTGATCGAACTTGATGAAGCTCCAGTTACAATGGTATACGTTTTGGCATATTAAATGTGAATTTCTGGCGAGTCGCGTTCGAATTATCAGGTCGGTTGTATTGGATGAGAAGAGAGGGACACAGGGAAGCTTTGAAGTCATATAGATAGTAGCGATGCATTTGCAGCTTGGATCATCTCAAGTATATTAAAAAAGTGTTACGAATAAATCGTGGTCAAAGTTTTCTCTTCATTTGTTTTAGCTGCAAGGTTTGTGACGTCGTGACCACGGATGTTTGGTGTGCATGACTACTAGGTAACCCCCTAGTATTGCTCTGTTTCCCACAGCCGGTCGACTTGGCCTCGGCAAGGCATCTCTGATAAAAACTTAATGCCCCATCGATGCGAGTCGAGCCTTGTAATTTATAGCGCGTTCCTCGCAACGTGGAAGGCATCAAGGTCTAAAGATGTGGTGTGGATGAGTTAACTGAGCATGACCGACATCGATTGATGACCTTGGCTTCCCGTCTGCGTGCGCAGGCATTTCGATCATGTCAACATGCAACATGCAACATGCACAAGTATAAGCGACCCGAGAGCCATTCGTACGAGAAAAAGTCTACGCCCCCATAGCTTCACTGGGGTTGGTTGTGCAAATGCGTGTGCCGCCGGTTGAAATTTTTATCTGAGCCACGAGCACCGAAATGCATGCAGAACAAATGGTAAGATCGACGGTTGGGATCCGATCTTTCCTCCAGTTTCCCCTCCGGTGACATCCATTGAAGTGAGTGAAAGCCAGAGTGAATATGAAGGATTGATATTTTCTAGTAGGTTGAAGAAGAGAAGAGAAGAAAAAAGTCGAAAGCTGAGGCTCCCGCAAGATATGGATGGGAAGTGGCTCCAGGGCGGGCCGGAAGAAAGATGAGCCTGTGCCGTTTGTTTGTCCACAGAAGGGCGAACTTGGAAGGACTCGGCGCCCATTCACAACCCAGATACAAAGCATTATTACCTGCACACTGGTCATGCTGCAACACGCGGCGTTTAACTGGCCACGCACCGAGGCGACTTTTTGTTAGTGGGCGGCTGCTCCCGCGAACCTATCCTCAGTCACCTCGATGACCTGGCCAGAAATGACATCTGGAATTATCTGGGAGCCAACCGCGAATACAGGCCAAGGAATGCCGATGTGTGTGTGTCACACAAGAGCTCCAAGTCGCCGAATGCTTGCCCAATGGAAGCGGTAGGGGTAGTAAGGTCTAAAGCATGGTGACTTCCCTATGTCAGGGGTCCTCAGCGTAGCAAGCATCAAGTGGCCGTAGTTTTATTGTCAACCATGTCAAGCTCAATAGAAAGACGCATGCGCCTCATGTGCTCGTGTGAGCACCAAATGATAGGACACGCCGGCTTCCCGCCTTGCAGCCCCGAACCTTGACTCACAATCTCGCAATCTCACCACGATTCTGCATGCCTGACTCACCACCCCTTTGGCCAACCTCATTGTGATGAATCTGGGAGCTTTGTCTGCCTGCCAAGGAAAATCCCTGTAGTGCGAATCACATCTCCCTCGATCAAAGCAAACGGCTTGCAGGTTTGTTAGCTTGGCTCGCTGGGCTATCCTTCATCTTCAAACGGCCACTCCGTTTACCATCTTGCCTCTTTTGTTTGGTCAGCCAGACAGCACTTGAGCGCAACTGCCCAAAAATCAACCCCGCTACCCCGCCTCAGCGCCACCGAAACATTTCTACTTTCTTCTGCCCATTGCATTGTGCAAATCGATACGTTCCTACCGTTTCGGCCTGATATCCTTATCGTTTTGCTTTTTATCTCCTTCAAAGGGGTCGACGGTTCTTCTCTGACCTCAACCCAAGGCAAACATCCCGCTGCTCCCATTCTTCGTTCTTCTACATCTTTATCAATTTCTACCACCCAACATGGCCGGCGGCTCAGCAGCTGGTTCTCGCGGTCGCGCTGGAAAATTTAACAAACCAACCAGAGGCGGTAAGTCCTTCAAAGCACCAGACGCGAACCTCAAAGCCTTTGCCCTGCGCAGGCCCCGGAGGCGTAGACTTCAGCATCTGAATCTGAGCCCAGTCCTAATCCACATTTCTCCTACCTAGGTGGCAAACACTACTCTCGTTCACTACAGCCAGTCGATGCCGATGGCAACCAAGTCAGCATGTGGTCGGCCGGTGCCGCAGACGAACGCTCTGAAGAAGATTCTGAGGAGGAGTCTAGTGAAGAGGAAAGCGATGATGCCGGCCCTTCAAAGGCTACAGCCGATGCCGAGAATCGCGACGACCGTAAGGCCCTGAAAAAGGCCCGTAAAGAGGCTGCCATTGCCAAGCAAAAATCTCGTGAAGTCCAGGTCGGCGATATGCCCTCTAGCGACGACGAGAGCGAAGACGGCATGCCTGCCAACCCGAACCACTCCAGGTCAGCCCGGAAACAAGCCAACAGCAGCGATGTCGACGACATCACGGAGGGCGTCCAGAACATGAATGTTCCTGGGAACCGAAAGGAACGGGAAGCTGCCGAGGCCGCAGCAGCCAAGGAGAGGTATATGAAGTTGCAGGCTGAAGGTAAAACAGATCAGGCCAAGGCAGATCTTGCTCGTCTCAAACTCATTCGAGAGCAACGCGCAGCCGACGCTTCACGAAGACAGGTACGGAAACGCAAAACTTTCCTCATGACTTGGTCCGGGATGTTGGGACCCTTTCTAACCTAAGCTGACTCATTCCCGAAATAGGCTGAGAAGGAAGAGAGGGAAGAACAAGAAAAGACCCGAAAGGCAGAAATTGAGGCCAAAGAGTCCAAGAAGCGGGAGGCTGCTGCTGGCCCCAAAAAGGCCAGCAAGAGGAAATGAAATTTAGCCTCGCAATGGTTTATCTTGTAGCAAGCCTCAATACATGGGACCCCGCATGGCCGCTGAGCCATGGGTCAATTATTCCAAGTACGATATCACGAAATCAAAGGGGCGAAAGCTTAATAAGCGGCAGACAAAGCGCTTCACCCTGTTGCCCGTATCGTTGTCTTGCATCATGTACTTATGTTGGCTCGTGGAAATCGGTGCAGTTCGATTCGAGGCCCGTTGTGGCCTGGTTTTTGGTCGATGCACATGTCTGATGAGCCAGAGCCCATATGTATTCCAGCGGAGACATAATTCTACTTGCTTCACTATCTTCCCTAGATTATTGGCGTATTATGTTTCCAAGAAAGACCAAGGCCGTATGCTGGGACGACATTTTCGTCAATTTATCACGTGCCCGGATAATTCCTAAGCATAGAATAGGTATTGGCCGCTATTGTAGTAAGCTACTGAAAAAAAAAAGAAGAAAAAAAGACAGAAATAAATTTGTTCATTTGGGCATAAGTAGAAGACCTTATTTCGCTATCATACATCTCGTAATTTATTTTTTGGGCTGGTTAGATCGAGGTGTGATAGTTCCCTATACCATTACGATGGACCTGCAAATAGCATCCAAGTACCCCACATTTTTTTGCTGGGCGAGACCTCTCGCACCAAGCCAGAGTTGCTAGGAACTTATTCAAGTGGAGAGCAAGAAAAAAAAAATCCCAGAGGCGCCAATCTGCCGACCGCCTTCACCCGCCGCCGCCCGTTTACGACTCCCAATTGCTGTGGACGTGGGCACCACATTTGAAAGGGAGACAGACATTTTCCAAAAAAAGAAAATCTTACCTTTTCTTCAAAAAATAGCTACATATCGTTCACAAAAGAGTGTTTCGATATCTTTGAGGGCAGGGGCAGGCCAAGAATACCGACAGCAATGGAAGCATCGTCGCTGCAGGTTTGTTTCGGAGCCCTTTGCCCCGCTGCTGTTGCCCAGCACTTTCGTGAAATCTTTCAAGCTGACCAGCATGTGCAGGATCGCTTACGCGATTACTCAAAGTCTTTTGATGGCCTCTTGAGTCTAATCGATGCCAAGACATACTACGGAGAAGATACAGCCGTATGTGAATCCCCCACGCTGACGCTTTGTACGCCCTGTCAACCCAGCCACCAACCGAAATTCGCTACTTGCTCATGAATCCTGTCTGCCTCGTCCCATTCTTCAAATATCATTTTGCTCCATTGCCTTGACGTCTGCAGCCAGTTCACTCTCTAATCGAACACTTTGCAGGATCAATGGAAAAGAAAGAAGCAGACAAAGAAGGAGGCCGCCGCCGCCCGAAGGGGAAAGCTGGACCCGGACAGCGAGCTGAACCGGAATGCCAAGGAAGTTATGGACGAGCGAGCCAAAAACAAACGAAAACTAAGACAGATGGAGGAGCAAGCCGACGATGACGATGACGAGGACGAGGACGAGGATGAAAACAAGAATGAAAGCGACTCGGATGACGACTCGTTTCAAGCGATCAATGGCATAATGACCGAAAAGCCCGGCGAAGGATTGAAAAGGAAGCCTGAAGAGAGCAACAAGAGGCCGAAATTGGCCAAGGACGACGAGCACGGAACGGACACCTTGGAAACAGCGGAAGGGACGCCCAAGCTGTCCAAGAAGGATGCAAAGCGAGAAGCTAAGCGAGAAAAGAGGGCTGAGAAGAAAGCCGAGAAAAAGTCCCCGAAGCAGAATGCTGTCGAGACCTCCATCCAGAACGCTAATGCGACCGAGTCCACCCAACATAAGAACAAGGCGCAATTCGAAGGCCCATTGAGCGAGGCCAAAGACGATGTTGTTGAAGTGGCTTCAAGATCCGAATCCGAGCCGCAATCACCCACATTCGACACGACTGATCCGTCAAACTCATTAAACGATGCCTCGGCCGAGCAAGCCAGCACCACCACTTCTGTCTCCTCTACCATTCCTCCATCGGAAAAGCCCAAGCATATCAAGCTTCCTGCTGACACAACTGCGCTACGAGCACGACTTGCTGCTAAAATCGAGGCGCTGAGAGCTGCCAGAAAGGCAGATGGTCCAGACGGCAAGCCTATTAGAACTCGACAGGAGCTCATCGAATCAAGACGGGCCAAGCAAGAGCAGCGAAAACAACGTAAACTCGAACTTCGAAAGCAAGCTAAGCTCGAAGACGCAAGAAAACGAGAAGAGGCTCTGGCTTCCAACTCGCCTAGTGTCATGAGTCCTGCAGTCGAGCTAGATGAGGGTGCGGGTAGTTTCTCCTTTGGTCGGGTTGCCTTTGGAGATGGGTCGCAGATGTCGCATGATCTTAGCTATGTGCTGAGCCAGGGAAAGAAGAAGGGCCCATCCGATGCCAAGACGGCGCTGCTCAAGGTACAGAACCAAAAGAAGAGGTTGCAAGAATTGGGCGCAGAAAAACAAGCCGACGTGGCAGAGAAGGAGGCTTGGTTGACGGCTCGACGCAGAGTCGAGGGTGAAAAGATCCGAGATGATGAGGCTATCCTAAAGAAGACAGTGAAGCGTAAGGAAGTAGCCAAGAAGAAGAGCGAGAAGGCATGGACAGAACGCGCCAAGGGCGTGCAGCAGGCACAGAAAGAAAGACAAAAGAAGCGTGAAGAGAACATCAAGCAGCGCAGGGAAGAGAAGCTACTCGGCAAGGCTGGAAAAAAGAAGGGCGGCGCCAAGAAGAAGAAGGGTGGACGACCCGGATTTGAAGGCAGCCTGGGAGTTGGTGGTCGCCGAAAGTAAGCCCAGGCGACAGATGTTCATGTCTAGTAGTTAGTCTGTGGGCAGCCTTGGTCTACTTCTCTTCTGCTGCATTGTGCTCAAGTCATGTTGTTCTGGCACGGCAAGGCGATATGTCTTTTATTTCTTTCTGTTACCGGCGTTGGCGTTGGCACATGCCGTGTCTAGGACTCATCAAAATCTAGCATTGTTGTCGGTTTACACCATGGGTTGGAGTTGATGAATGGGCGGAAGAGTAACCAGCGAAGCGATCTCAAGATGAGGTACGGGACGTTGCAGCTGGTGTCTGTCAATCGAATATTGGTCGCTTCTGCCTGACGAGGCGACGGCCGAGAAGTGTGTTGTAGCTGTTGGGCAATCATGATTATTCCTTGACCTCGAGGATTTTATAAATCCGTCATAACTTTTTATTGATGTACTCGTTCAGTCTTATTCAAGCATATCTACACCAACCAGACATTCCCTTGACAAGCCAGACTCCCGTAGATGACAAACGAAAACAAAATCGACTTGATTGACTCGACTCTAGATATTAAGAACTGAGCTCGTCTTTTCTTGGTCTCTTGCATCCATCCACTCTACATTCATTCCTCTCTTACCATGGGACGTACGCCTTTCCCACAAACCACACACACATGCAACAATTGGAACGAGCACCCGAACCAAACAACCCGGGTGCTAGCACTTGGACACTGTACCTCCTTCTGCACACGTCGTTTGCCGGTAAACCCTGTCAATGCCACGGAATATGACTTCCCCCACGACAAGAAACAAAGGAGAAGAAAAAGGCAAATAAAGAAATAGGAGAGACGAGGATGAAACGGGTGAAATTTGGCATGTAATTAAACAATCCATCGAGGTTTTCTTTTATAAAAAAAATAAACAAGGCTTCTTCCCTCATATTCACCGCGACCTTTTTTGAACACTCCCGTTTCAAGTTTGTACTTGTCCCCAATACTCTAGTCGTGCCTAGCCCATCTTGCCTGCGACAGGATCCTTTCAGCCTAGAGATGTCGGGGTTGGCCGCAGTTTGGTAACGAACCCTGCCGTGAAAGGTGAATGTTGGAGCTGGAGACGATGCGGTGGAGGCCCCCTGCCCCCCAAAAAGACGATTAGTTCTGTAGGTGAGAAGTGAAGAAGCAGTTCGATTCGAGGACTGTATCGGGTTGACCATAAAGGAGCTGTGGGCTCAGTCGGTGTAACAAACAGGGCCGCCGGGGCTATAAAGGGCGACTTTGCTTCACGATACATTGACGCCATGCGAGGCTGTGTTGGGTGGATTATAGGAGGGAGTCGAGGCGAGTAAAGACGCTCAGGCAGGCGGCAACGACTTCCAACTGCAGCTCCTTATCCTTGGCCTTGCTGATTTCCTGTGCACATTGTCAGTCTCACAACGTCCCTTACTGTCAAGGGACTCCCGTGATCTGAGATTGGCGCAGCGATTCATCCTCCAACCAACGCCTGCGCCTTGGGGGAAATCAACGCCTACCTCTGAAATGGCCTGTGGCAAGTTGGCACCGATGCCGTTGCTAGTAGCCTTCTTTCCAAACGGCCATTGGCTATAGTCCGCGAGCAGTTCGTCCGTCTGAGCAAAAGCTCTCTCGCGGGCTTCGTGACCAAGGGTTGACAGAGCATTCTCCAAAACATTGGCGGCATATGCGGCGCAGACCATGCACACGGTCCGGAGGTATCTGAACTCGAGGTTCTCGGGTAGGAACTGGTTGCCGCTGAGGACAACGGTTCTTTGTGTGAGCACGTTGCGGACTCTGCGGCGCAACTCCTCCTTGGCTCCGCCATCGGCAACGGGATGAGTGGCCATGTCGAATAAGAGGAAGTTGCGCTTCTCGGTTCGGAGTATGCCTTTGTCTACGAGGCCCTTGGCTAATCGCTCACGAACTTGCTTCAATTGATAGCCAATCTTCATCAAGTTCCACGTCTCGCCTTCAGCCCAGCAAAAGTTAGTACTGCATGGACGCGATGGAATTTTCGAATTCGCAAGGCCAGAGGCCAAAGGGCGTAGTGAGCCGACGGATTTAACTTACCGCTCATTAAATCAATCCAGGAGCTAACGCTCATCTTCTCGCTCTGCTTCATCATTTTGAGAGCCTCGTCGAGCAAGACTTCTCCGGTCAATGTATCATCTATAACTTCAATATTTCGATCGGCTGGGGGGAATCGCCGTCGAGAAGGGTCCTTTTCCATGCTGATGCGGCCACGGAAGGCCAGTTCGAGAACAATGCATCCTCGGAGGGCGTAGGAAATGTTGTCGTTCCAGAAGGACAGGTATCCCTTGATTGGTAGGAAGCGTCAATTGAAATGCTCTTGGAACAGCAAAAACAGCCCAGTCACCAATGGCCGACCGAATGAAGCAAAGCACGAGGGGGTGAGGGGCCGAATTGAGCATTTGAGAATTGAGAAATGGTAGAGAGCGGCGGAGACGGGCTCGCATTTGCGTCTTACCTGCTTATCTTTGAGTCCCAAGAGCAAGACCTCCTCCATCATGGTCAACTTGGGCTGTTTGCTGCGCTCGGCGCTCTCGCTGATGTCTCTGGGGTCGAAAGCGATTTTGTGGCCATTTTCGCTATTCTCGTAGCTCGTCTCTGGGCCGCTGTCTCTGACGTTGTGGGAGGAATTGGTCCTAGAGGCAGCGTTGCTGGCTTCGGCTTCAGTGTTGGCTATGCCGCCTCCGCCAGCGCCACGACGCCGTGTCAGGCCGGACGAGGACATTGCAACGATGTGAGGATATGGAGTAGGAGCGGAAGCACCGAGAGAGCACGTATATCGGCGGCGCCAGGGAAATGCGCCGCTCGTGGCGAGGTCGAGCTGCTGCGGCCGGCAAAGAGGGTGACGAGGCTATCAAGAGTCGCTGGGGCAGAAAACGGCGTCAGGCGTATGTACGTGCGGAAAGGGGGTGGGTCGCAGCGAAGACGAGGGACGATGCCAGTTGCCCCGGAGGTGGATGTTGTTTGGCGAAGGATGCGGTCCCTGGTGATGGAGCACAACTATTGGTACCTATGTGGGAAGGGCGCGAGGGCTCGACTCGCGAGGGCACAGGATGAGGCGGCTGTGTTGGTGGTACAAAAAGGGGATTCGTGGACCGGTGACGATTTAACGCAGTTGCGAGGTCGAGTGATCCACTCGGAGCCAAATTCGAGAGACGGAAGTTGACTGGATGCACAAGCGCCGAGTCGGGAGAGCAAGCGCGCGGCCGTCCGTCTACTTTTGACACGGCAAGTACGGAATAGATGCTGCAATGACTGGAACAGACAGAGACGGGAAGCCAGCGGCCAGCGTGGAAACCCCCAAGTGCCAGGGGCCAGGTGGTCGGTACATGTAACGTCCGGTACTTACTTAGATGTACTATGTAGGTGCCAGCGCACTGGCCACCTGGCCTCTAGACAATGAGCAGACTGGACACTCAGTGCTGCTACACGCTCGAGCACGCTGTGGCCGAAGGGCACATGAGCAGTCTGGTGCACTGGCGCCGGCACTGGCTGCAATTGAAGGAGCCAGGCGCAAGACTCCTACTGAGGTCTGGTGCTTCTGGTGCTTCTGGTGCTTGGTCCACCCACTGACGGCGCGCCCAACTGCCCCTAAGTGCACATACCCAGGTAGCATTAAAGTACCTAGGTGCCTAGTACTTCCATACTTGTGGGCCACCAGCGGGAATCTGATCTGCAAACTCAATGCCGACAGCATCGCAGCCAAGTGACTTGCAGAAGTTGACTCAACATATCAATATGGATAATGTTTGGCTGCCATCATGCGCCACGGAACGCACCGAATCTGATCCTTAGATGGCCAGAATGGCATATTTATAGCTGCTGCCAGCCAACCTCTTGTATCAAACATGTCCCTTTGATTGCTCGCTCTGACATACACGTATGTATGACTGCCTTTGATATCCGGTGTGTGTGGCCGGCTCTTCTTTTCTTGGCGTGTTTGTTGCGAACCCAAACATGGGCACCCTCGTCCTGCGTTTTGTTTTGCCATATTATGCTGTGTAAGCCTATACATGCTCTGCCCGGAGCCGAACCTCAACCCGGCTCGATCCGCCGATAAATGCCACAAGATTGATTAGTCGATGCTGTTATATTGTACAGGGGGAAATTGAATTCCGCTCAACGCCAGTTGCATCAAGCTCCATCTATATCCTCGCCTCCCCTACGGCGTCCTTCCACAGTTGATCAAAGTTGACGCCGGCAGCCTCAAACATTTCACGTATCCTCTTGGCCGTCGCCTCCTGTTGCTCGGGGCCAAAGCCGCCGGGCTGGGTGGCATCAAACTGAACCATCTCCACCCACCGATAAAACAAGTCTTCCTGGCCCATGGAGGTGAGCGCGTTTCGAAAGGCAAAAACTTGTCTGCGTTTGTCGTCTCCATCCGCAGCGATGTCAGCCTTCATGTCATAGCAGAGCCAGCCAAAGTCCTTGTGATGTAGCAGCACAACTGTCCTGAATGCCTCCATGGCCGCAATCTTGTGGTCGACCAAGGCGTGGGCGTGGACCATGGAAGCCCAATCAAGATCCCACTGGCCATTCATCAGCAGGTAGCCCGTCTTTTGTTCCTGCAAGATTGGCGATGTGGCCGCATTAACGTAGGCCAGCAAAATCCTCTTGGAGTCGTCGTCCTTGAAAATATCTCCCAGAACCCGATCCCAGTCGCGACTGCGCCGGACGTAAATCTCCTTGTCCTGAAACCCGACCTTGCGCCTCCAGAGCATGGGGTTGCCGTGAGCCTGACCAGCGGCGAATTCCACCGGCCAAGGCCAGACAAATACAAACAGGACGAAATCGATAAACATGGTGACACCGCGCTTCACCACCTCCCAGGCAAAATCTTGCCACGAGGACCCTGCAATGGGAAACGTGGTCTCGTTGGGCCAGCCAAAGCCAGACTGCACAATCTTCCAGTACCAAGGCAAGATGGCGTACATGCGCCAAACGAAGAGCAACGACACAGCAATGTTCATGGCAACGGGAACCAGGAATATTTTGCGCTTGAAAGCAGCGGGCTTCGAGTCGATGTGCGTAATGTATACATGCTTCTCAGAGAGGCCCTGGATAAACGGGTTGAGAACGTCGGGAGGTTGTTTAAAGGGGGCCGGCGGCAATCCGTTTGCACCGCTTGACTTGGAAGGCTTGGCTTTTGCGGCCCGTTTTGCAGGTGCCATGGTGTCAGAGACGCCGCGCCGAGGAGCAAATATGATGTTTGGTGTTTTGCCTTGGATGGTTGGCAAAAGAAGTGACATTGACGGAGTCCGTGTCTGGGTTTTGCCCGGCTGGAGCTCAACGTCAGCCAGCCTTCGGCAGCAAACCTGCCCCACGTCAACCGTCAACTTCCAGTCATCAATCAACTTTAAAAAGTATCATGTATCGACTGCTCCGCGCCATGGACGGCGCATTTTTGCGGTGGGCAAGCAAATTGTCGACGTGAGAGCCGATGGTTTCAAATTGAAGTCTCTTCCATTGGATACCGATGTTATCGAGTGGTAACCACCTGCCTGCGCATGTACATGATACTCGCTCGGCTGTGAGCTTTTGACGGACAATCCCTGCCCCCGAAGCGCCCTTCCCAGATTCCTGCTCCACCCTGCCTCTCCGTCGTTCTTCTTTTTTAAAGGCTTCCTCGTAGCTCGCCGCGCAGAAGTAAATGATCCAGGCAAGTCGCCGCACGCCCGTCTTGCCTGTACAACGGCGATGCTGAGAGCCCGTGCCTGGAAGGTAACTTCATTTTGGCATCTCAATCCTCCATACGCCACGTGCAATAGCTAATATATCTTTGTGCCAACCACCAGGGCCGCGGTCATCCGTTCGCTTGTACATACTGCCGAGCCCAGTTGTCGTCGGCCACATCGCAAACCCACCAAGCACTGTGGTCTGCCCAGGGCCCCTGTACGACTACGACTGCCACGCGACATAATTCAAATACTGGCCGAAGTGCGCCTTCCAATGGAGGGTTTCCCGGAGGCTTCGCCGGCTCTGTCGCCGGCTCCTGGGGTGCGTTTGCGGCCAACAAACCCGCAAGGACGCTGGATAGCAAAGTCTCGTCTGGTGGAAGCCTCCTTCCCCATGAGCTGGCGGCAAGGAGTCGTATGAAGGGACCCAGAACCAAGTCAAATACAAGCAACACCGAAGCGAATCGGGGGTTGGACAAGGTCGGCTCGCCTCTCACGCGGTCAAAAAGCCGGAGCCGAACCCACGATGCCCGCCAAGCACAAGCTACAAAGTCAAAGTCTGTCCTCGCCGATGTATTCAAAACGATGCGAGAACCTAAAACGCCACCGACGCCAAAGTCTTGGTCTGCGGCTGGTCAGCAGGGAAGCTCTGGCCAAACGACGAGGTTTGCGCCGGAGACCCCAACCGTCACTTTCTCCCCTAATCCGTCTGCCACTACATCTCAGATAGCTCATCGTAGAGCTCCTCCTCCAGAGCCCTCGATGCATCCTGCGGGCGGTGCGCCGAGGCAAATCGGATGGGGCTCCTTTAGCCACCGTAAGCAGCAGGTTCCGACTCATGGCCACAGTCATGGTAATGACTCCACTACCTGGTCAGAAATCACAAGATCAGCCCGAGCAAAGCCAAGGTCTCATCAGAGACAGAAAATCGCCAATCCTAGCAGTATAACTGCTACGTCCAAGGGGGGACCTGAAGTAATTGCCCCGGAGCAGGACTTCTGGGGAGAGCTAGATACGAGGGTGGCCGGGTTCAGAGAGGTTAAAGGCAAGGGCCGACGAGAATCGGCTGAAGCGGACGGCTTGGGCAAAAGACCCATCGACAAAGCACCAAGTAGCGATGGAGATGGGTCAGGGCACAACCAAAGCGTAGCTTCATCCCATCAAGTCCATGACAAGGCTCGGGAAAGGGAGAGGAGAAAATCAAGGTTTGATATTGAAGACGAACCAGCCTCCGACGATCGAAGAACGAAGAAGTCCAGAAAATCCGCCAGAGGTCGCCGCGTGGAATTAGACGAGGACTGGGATGACGAGTCGTCGCGTCGCTGGGAACACAAACAGCGCCGAAAGGCTGAGAAGGAGGCACAAAAAGAGAGAGAGCTTCATGAGGAGAATCCTGCCATGCCAATCTTTCTTCCCGAGTATATCAGTGTGTCAAATTTGGCGCAGGCGCTGAAGCAACGCCCGGATCAGTTCTTGGTCGATATGGAAGAGATGGGCTTCGAGAACGTGACACCCGATACCATCATGACAGGTGAAACCGCAGCGCTCATCTCCATGGAATATGGCTTTGATCCCACTGTCGACACTGGTTCACAACGCGATCTGAAGCCCCGACCAATTCCGGATGACGTATCCTCACTACCCAGCCGTCCTCCGGTGGTCACCATCATGGGCCATGTTGATCACGGAAAGACAACGCTATTGGACTGGCTACGAAAATCATCAGTTGCTGCCCAAGAGCATGGTGGCATCACACAGCACATCGGTGCCTTTGTTGTGAAGATGTCTACGGGCAAGCATATCACGTTTTTGGACACGCCAGGACACGCAGCGTTTCTCTCCATGCGTCAGCGTGGAGCCAACGTTACCGATGTTGTTGTCCTGGTGGTTGCAGCAGACGACAGTGTCATGCCGCAGACCATTGAAGCCCTGAAGCACGCCACGTCTGCAAAGGTGCCCATCATCGTGGCGATTAACAAGGTTGACAAAGAAGATGCTCGGATTGATCAAGTAAAGGCAGACCTTGCTCGGCATGGCGTCGAAATCGAAGATTATGGCGGCGACGTCCAAGTTGTTTGTGTAAGTGGCAAAACCGGTCAGGGCATGCCCGACTTGGAAGAGAGCATCATCACGCTGTCAGAGATTCTCGACGTCCGTGCCGAGACCGACGACATGGCGGAAGGCTGGATTCTAGAATCTAGTGTAAAACAAAACGGCAAGGCTGCAACGGTGCTGGTTAAGCGCGGAACTCTTCGGCCAGGAGACTTCATTGTTGCTGGGAAAACCTGGGCCAGGGTCCGAGTCCTCCGCAACGAAGCTGGGGCTGAGCTTGTGGAAGCAGCCCCAGGCACTCCCGTTGAAGTATTGGGGTGGCGAGAATTACCAGACGCCGGAGAGCAGGTGCTGCAGGCACCTGACGAAGGCAAGGCAAAGACGGCCGTCCAGTACCGGCTCGAAATGGCTGAGCGTGAGCAGAGCTCCGTCCAACTGGCCGAGCAGGAACAGCGACAGCGAGACAAGGCTGCTGCTGAAGACAAAGCAGAAGAAGATGGAGACGCCCATGCCGCCTCTGAACCTGGTATCTTGTATCAAAACTTTACCGTAAGAGCCGATGTCGTTGGCTCAGTAGAGGCTGTCTGTGGCAGCGTCCTAGAACTGGGCAATAATGAGGTACGACCCAAGATTCTTCGATCGGCGGCCGGCCAGATATCAGAGTACGATATCGACCACGCAGCGGCCTCAAAGAGCGTCATTGTCAACTTCAACGTTCCCATCTTGCCCCATATCAAGCAGCGTGCAGAAGAGGCCAAGGTCAGAATTCTCGACCACAATGTCATTTACCATGTAGTAGACGACGCCAAAGCAGTCCTTTCGGAGCTTCTACCCATCAACATCACCTACCGCGTCAGCGGGGAGGCGGACATTCTTCAGGTTTTTCCTATAAATTTGAAGAAGAGAGTTTTCAAGAATATCGCCGGGTGTAGAGTACGCAACGGGTCCATTAAGAAATCTTCCTTGGTCAAGGTGCTTCGGAAGGGCAAGGTTATCTTTGATGGTATGTATTTTTTTGGTTTTTTTGTTATTACTGCCTATCCCTCTTTCTCGAAAAGTAATGGTCCTACATCTTGCACGATTCGAGCTAATCAATCAACTCTGTTCGCAGGTAACATCGATACCCTGAAGCACGTCAAGAAAGATGTCATGGAGATGGGCAAGGGCACAGAGTGCGGCATTGGCCTGGAAGGCTTTGAAGACTTTGAAGTCGACGACCAGATTCAAACATATGAGGAAGTCAGGGAGAGGCGGATATTGTGATTGGAAAGGGGGCATGCGTAAAACGCCATGTCAGGGTCCGAAAGATGGTCGGCGGTGCAAACCCGTTTGCTTATTTGTAACAACTACCAGAAGAATATTTGCCATGTTCATGTACAACTAGCCAAGGGGGAGGGGTCAGGATTCTTAGACAAACTTCATGTACCATACGTCGCTTCTCTCAACACATATAAATACAAGAGGAGGCTGTAAACTTTCCAAGGTCTCGCCCGTCACAAGCACTTGGTGGTTGCACCGGGGATTTGTGTGTAGGCAGTATAGGATAGAACTAAACGTTCAATGAAGATTATATTTCATTCACAGCTGCATTCTAATCTCTACCACCTGTTCGGCGCTGAGACAGAAGTCGACGAAAATGTCTTGGTAGTTGTCGTTGCTTGTCTGCGCTCCTTCTCGAGCTTCGCCAGCCCAATCCTGTCAGTGACGGGCGTGGCTTCGATAATATTATCAAACTCGTCGTCATCCCCGGCAGCATCACTGTCGTCTTGGTTGTCGGCGCTCCTCTCGTTATCCGAGTCGGGCTGCATATCAAGGTCGACTTGGTACCGATGCCGTTGCTGCGGTCGCGGTATTGACGCAGGCTTCTTCTTCTCTTGTTCCAACTCGGGATTTGGATTGCTAAAGGTTTTGGAGGCCAGGACCTTGCGCCGGATTTCCTCCATGGCGGCGTCGTCATCTTCGCTGCCGTCTGTAATGTCAAATGGGTCTTTGTCTCTTCTGGCTTGCTCGTCTGGTATATTTGCAGGAATCTCGCCAGGTTTGGGATCTAACGGCTTCTTGCCCAGATATATGCCATCTACACTACCGCGACCATCTGACCTTGCATCGCTGTCACCCTCTTCGCCTTCGCCTTCGCCTTCGTCGTCGTCGTCGTCGTCGTCATCGTCATCGGCGTCATCATCATCATCAGAGGGAGGCATTGCCATGCGGTTGGTATTACCGGTCGTCCACATGTCGCCATGGCCTTGTTCTCTGCTCTCTGCGTATTCCCGCTCTAATCTCTCCATCCATTCTGCCTCTGTCTTTTTCACTTCGGCAGCATCCTGGCAAGCGGCATATCGTTTGAGAATGCTCGCGTTGATATGTAAGAAAGACTCTCCGTACGAAAATGGAGCCAGGATCTGCTCTGCCCAGTCGGCATGTCCGCAGATGTAAAAGGCAGCGGCGAGGGCTTCGACGCAATTCAGTCGCCACGGCTTTCCGTAATTGACAGTGTTCGCGGCGACGAGGTAGGGCAGCAGTCGTTCGCATTTCCCGCCAACCTTGCTCCACTGAACCTCTTGCGTACGGGCCCAGGAGCACTCGACCACAGCGGCGCCGTACTGGTCCATGAGCTCTCGATCAGCGGGGGAGACGACTTGTCGGCCGTTGGGGGTGATGATGACTCCATGGTGTCTTTGGCCCATGTGAAGATCGCGCATCATTCCCAGCTTCATGAGTTTCTTCCCTGAGCATCGTTTGGGGTCGCAGTGGCCCAGATCCCAGCATGCTGCCTTGAAAGCTGGTCGTGCTGGCTGCTGGCCTTGGTCGCCGTCCTGATGGCGGGGCTGTCTCGAGCCGCCACCTCCATGGCCACCACCACGGCCGCTTTTTTTGCCTCTGGCAGCAAAATCCTTCTTGTGACGAACCATTGCGCGTATTTCTTCGGGGAGGATGTGCCTTTCTAGACCGGTATGGCTCAATGCTCTTGGTGCTCAGCAGTCCGCACGTTGACGGAACGATATTGGTACGGAGTATTGGGATAGGATAGAAAATTATGGCGGCGACTGTTGGTGGGGGTGGGGCAGGGCGGGGCGGGGAGAAGTACGTACCTAAGTAGGTATGTATCTACCAACTACAGTACTGTAAGTACGTACATGGTACATGTGAGCTGCTGAGGTGCCTAGGTACGTACCAGACGTATTGACCTAATGTACTTCCATCGACGTTAATAATTCTCCAGTGCGACGCATGCAAGTGTGGCGTGCAAGACGGTTGGGTGTGGCTGGACCTTCGTTGCTGGTCACCCCCTCCAAGGCCCAAGCATCTCCACCGTCCATACCGCATAGTTCATCGTCTGCTGAGTCTTGGCCTTTTCTCTTCAATAATCTGCCAACCTGTCTCCCCGTGCTCAGCGCTTCCGCACCTTCAAGACCTTTCGGCGGCAGCCATGAGGGACTCTTCCTAACGGACCGGCCGGCGCATTAGTCTATCCCATTACACTTGTCCCGGTCTTGCTCGGCATATGACGTTGAACAGCCAGCTCCCTTCCCCTCAGGTCAGACTCCGCCTCTCCACCGGTGAAGCCAAGCCTACGACGAACCTTCTGCCCATCTCTACAGCCGCGTCCGTCTGCCGTGCATCCTCTGTATACGAATCTCGATAGCTCCTATTCTTCGACATCATAGATCACAATGGAGGCTGCTTCTGCCAGGGCGGCCGCCCGGGACCGCTGGAGCGAGTTCGGCCACGCCCCCTCCCAGCTCCAGCGCTTCATTCAAGGCGCCTGCAGTCCCGAAAACTATGAGCCGAACCTGGCTCTGAGTTTGGAGATTGCCGATTTGATCAATAGCAAGAAAGGGTCCGCCCCGCGTGAGGCCGCCACCATGATTGTTAGCTACATCAACCATCGAAACCCAAATGTTGCGCTGCTTGCTCTCAGCCTGCTCGATATCTGCGTCAAGAACTGCGGCTACCCTTTCCATCTACAGATCAGCACTAAAGAGTTTTTGAATGAGTTGGTTCGCAGGTTTCCCGAGCGCCCGCCTATGCGTCCGACCAGGGTTCAGGCCAAGATTCTCGAGGCTATTGAGGAATGGCGCGTTACCATATGCGAGACGAGCCGCTACAAGGAAGACTTGGGCTTCATTAGGGATATGCATCGCCTTCTGAGCTACAAGGGCTACATGTTCCCCGAAGTGCGACACGAAGATGCCGCAGTTTTGAACCCCAGTGATGTAAGTTGATAGTGCGAACTCGTGGCCGCCAACGTTCTTGGCGGTATAAAAGCAGCCTTGCCCAGTGCTAATGCATGTGCAGAATCTCAAGTCGGCTGAAGAGATGGAAGAGGAGGAAAAAGAAGCCCAGTCCGCGAAGCTCCAGGAGCTCATTCGACGTGGCACTCCCGAAGATCTTCGAGAAGCCAATCGCCTAATGAAGGTAATGGCCGGTTACGATACCCGATCCAAGACCGACTACCGCGCCAAAGCGGCGGAAGAGGTAGCCAAGATCCAAGCCAAAGCCAGGTTGCTTGAAGAACGGCTAGAAGCGTTCAGGCCCGGCGATAAAATGTCCGACGGCGATGTGTTCAGCGAACTGGCCTCGGCATTGCAGAGCGCACAGCCCAAGATCCAAAAGATGTGCGAAGAGGAATCGGATGATCATGATGCTGTTGCTCGGTTACTTGAGATTAATGATAGCATTCACCGCACTGTCGAAAGATACAAGCTTATCAAGAAGGGGGATGTAGACGGCGCGGCTAAAATTGCAGCGGGTTCTCTTATCCCCTCGGGTCCAGCGAAGACGCCATCAAGCTCTGGCGACGCAGCGAACGAATTATCTTTGATAGACTTCGATGCCGACGCGGCAAACGACGGTAATGGCATTGGAAACAACCAAAACAATGGCGGGCCCGCGGGTAGCACCTCACAGGCTAGTGGGTTGGAGAATGACTTGTTAGGGCTGGATATTGGCAGCTCATCAAGCAATTTTGGTCAGGGAGGCAACATTGTCCTTGGCTTTGGAGCCAATCAAAGTAAGTATAGTGTCCATGTACTGAAACTTCTTTCCTCCTCGGAGCGAAGTCTCCTGTCAAAGCCTCAAAGGCTAACATTACGCCTCATAGATATTCCAGGTCCAGCTCTGTTATCTTCCATGACACAGGACAATAGTGCCAGCGGAAATGTCTCTAACCAGACGCCTTCCTTCTCCCAATTTGCCTCATTCACATCTCCTGCAGCTTCGCAACCTGGCACCCCGCAACCTGCAGTTCATCAACAACCCAAACCCCCTTCATATCAACCGGCCTCGGATCCTTTTGCTGCCGTAGGAGCCGCATCCGCATTAACATCTGCCCCAACTCCCCCACCTCAACCCGCTGCTGTCTCTAACGACGACGACGAGTGGAACTTCTCGTCATCGCTTCCTCCAGCGGCGCCTAACAAGCCCAAGGAGCACAAGGGAACTATCAATCAGGGTCTACTGCGAACAGACTTCCTGGCAGGGCGTGCCACTAGCGCGAGCAACTCAATCCATATAACCTTTGCCTTCTCAAACAACTCTGCCCAGCCCATTACCGAACTGCACTTCCAGTTGGCGGTTACCAAGGTTAGTAGAAGCCAGTCGAAGCCCCTAGCACTTGTGGAAAGTAAAGTAAAAGTAAAATATTTCAATTACGCTAACTCCACACCAGGGCTACGAGCTACAACTCAAGCCACAGACTGGCCGAGATCTTGCGCCCAAGCAGAGTCGCGGCGTCACCCAAGAAGTAGACATTTGGCACGCCGGCAACCGAGGACACAGGGTAGACTCAGTCAAGCTGAGATGGCGCGCCACGTATAATGTCGGTGCGGAGAAGAAGAACGAAATGGGCGAGATTCCTGAATTTAGCCTGGCATAAGGATTGTCGTTTTGCAAGTCGTCAAATTTACGAGGAAGTCTGTGGGGGACGAGAGGAATCCTGCGAGGAGGGAGTCAGGAGTGTAGGAAGGCCGGCGCGCTGACACAGCCATCCGGCGGATAATTGCAAAAGGGTATGGTCGGGATCAAGCAGTATATTTTGCGTAGGTACCTACCACTTGAAAAGCGAATTGGGCAGAGATAATAGCGTATCATGGAGTAAAACCAGGTAGACGGGTACTCCGGGAGCGGCAGGCGACCCTGCATTTTATAGATGCCACTCTAAGTAAAGTTTGTCACTGCTTGCAAAAAAGCGCATCCCGAATGACGTCTCGTTCAACAGTCATGTGTATAATTTACACATACAGGCTATTTAGACAAGCAAGCCTCGTTGCTGTAGGCACAGGATTGCTTTATCCGCTGGTATACCATACACTGGGGTGGAATCCCACCAATCATTCCCAGCAACCACAATGTTTTCCACTTCCTCACACGCAACCCTGCCAGTTAGACCACGCCTGGATGAAAGAGGAAAATTCCTGACAAAAAGACGACGAACCACTCCAAACTCCATGCAAAATTGGCCAATGCATCCATCGTCCTGGAATGGAGAAAAACCCCTGGCAGCATTGTTGCGTTGGTAATCGAATTCTCGGCTCCATAAAAACCACTCGCAAGTCGACCTGACATCCCATGAATAACGACTGCGATATCCGTCCTCGAAAACTGAAACTACAAGACCGTGTCGGTGGCCCGTATGACTCCCATAAGGAGTAGCAAAATACCGGATTAATACATAAACAGAACAAATGGAACAAGGGCAATACATTGATTGTTAAGGAGTTGACATCAATGTAAAGAGTGCAGGAACCGAGGCAGGGGGGGCTGCTGCCGACGAGACGTCGCATAGTGCAGCAACGAGGACAGTGCAGTGTGCCGAGAGACATCCCCAGAGGCGCCCTGCAGACCATGCTGCCCAAATCGCCGAGTTACCTCTGCGCAAGCTGCCGAGTACTGTGGGCTTGCCTAAGCACCCAGTTCACTAACAGAAAACGCGGGCGTAGAGGGCTGGAGAACATATCCATTAGTCGGTGTCTTGTTGATTTGTGCCATGCTTTCTCGCTCGGCCTTTTCTCGCTCGCGCTGCAGCCTCTCAGCCTTGGTGATGCGAGGCTTTCTGGTGACGGCACCACCACGAGAACCAGGACCACCTCCCCGACCAGTACCTGTGCCGCCTCTAGTTGAGCCTCTACTACCCCGGGCACCTCTGCTACCTCGGCCACGCTTGGGTCGTTCGTGAGTGCTATTGCTACTCTGTTAGTTCTGGCACAGCCACATCAAGAATGACGGAAAAGCAAAGACATACATTGCGGGTTTTTCTACCTCGGGCACAAGAGGCCCAGAGTAGACAAAGAAGCCATCTCTACTGGCTGCAGCTTGAGCTTCCCATAACAGCTCCGAGTCATCTACAAAATCGTCCTCGACGTCATATTGGTCCTCCTTGAAGTTTCTCTTTTTCTTGGGCTTAACCTGCGCATCAGGTCCACTAGTCCCTCCGTTCTCCGGGTTGCTAGCTTCGCCGTCGGAGTTGTCCAGTGACATCTCATCCCCAGACTCTCGACCCAGCTCGGCCTTTTCAAGTGATGCTGTAGCAGCCTCAATACGGGCTTTGCGGTCCCGATTTGCAGCCTGACGCGGGTGAAGGGCATCCCACCCATACTGTTCTTCAGCTAATCGCATAAAGTTGACATACTTGTTGTTTTCGCCATGCCCGATGGGAATAGTCAAGACAATAGTGGGAGCTTGGACCTCCTCACCAGGTCGAGCCTTGCCAAAATCCAAAATAGAGCGCCCTTCGCTGTCCTGGAAATCGTCGAGAGTATCCGTTCTCGGTGTAGACACGCCCGTAGCAGGCTTCAGTTTGGGAGAAGACCTTCGGATAGGACCATTTGATATAGTAGTAAAGTTGGCCTGGTTTACCACAGGTCGTTGAATAGCTGCTACAGTGCTCTCCTTCTTCGAATCGACTGCAGTTGGGGGAGCCCCGAGTGTTGATGTAGGTCTGTAGGAAGGCGACGGCGGCATGGATGATGAGTCTTTGCCATGGAGCCGACTATGAGCCGAAGCTGTTGGGTGTCCATGCTGTGACATACTCGGCGAGGTTGCCGTTGCCGTTGCCGTTCGAGCTTGTGGCTCTATTATACTCGCTATCGAGGGAGATCGGTTTGCCGCTTGCGCCGGGCCCCGGGGGGAGCCTGAAGTGGAGGAGTATGGATTTGCATTTTGGGATGTAATAGTTTCGCGTACGGGGTCATAGTTGCCGCGTATTGGATCATAGCTAAGTCCGCTGCTGCGCACGGGTATTGAGGCGGATGGCGGGTCAGCATTCAGAATGCTCTGCATCGACCCAGGATACCCCTCTCTCTTTGGCATCTTGGGCGAGCCGCGGAGGTCTGAGGCTCCCAGAAGTTGATGCTGCTGTGATGGCGATGATATGCCACCATGCTGGCCAGAAGCAGTTCTCGGGACGTCGGAGTCTGGGTCTGCATCCGAGGCGGGCGCAATTTTTCGCTTGCGCTGGATAGGAAGGGCGCTGGGGTCACGAGGCTTCCGAGGCTTGCGCACTTTGCTCGGGTCAGCGCCGTCCATCGTCTTGGGTTTCACGGTAGAACCAGGCTTCCGACCAGGCTTCTTGCGCGGAAGGCCGGCAGCCGTGAGCTGAACCCACTGCCCATCGATAAGTTCGTATCTCTTCTGAGCCGGTGCGCGCCCACTGGCCGTGGTGCCGCTTGGCGACGGTTGTTGGTATGACTGGAAGGTTAATTGACGCTGGTTGGGAGACTGGTCGCTGCCCACGACAATCTGCTCTCGGTCCGTGTCCATGGTAACGAGGCTATTGGGTTTGGTGGCGGAACGGTGGAGGATCGGATATCGAAGCCAGAGCTTCTACAAGCTCGAGATGGCTCCTCTCGACTGGTGCGCTCGCCGCAAAGATACACCGTATGCCGGAAGATGAGGATGCCTTCCTAGTACGAAGGATGGGCCCGAGTTTGGTTTCTGTACAAGGCCGACTGTCTATAGCGTCCGACGGTCGTTGTTGAGGAATGAAGCATGTGTGGTCGGGAAAATAGCGAATTAATTAGACGATTATATCGAACTCGGCCGACTTGAAAGATGGAACTGCGGAGGGACGGAAACATGCAAGACAAGATGTAACAGGACCTAGGCGCTGCCAAGGGGAAAGAAAATCGCCATGAACTCTAGCAGGGAACACAAACAGACAGAAGAGGAATGACGGAACAAAGACAACAGAGACAGAGGTCCCGGAGGGGGGTGCGTGCTGAAACCCCGAATCGAATTAATGTCAAGTCTGGTTGGATAGACTCTGATGCAAGTGTCGCGCAGTGCAGTGTGGCGGTCGGCAGAAACCAGACACGAAAAGTACCTTGTACCCGCAGAGCTAGATTGAGCGGGTGCTGACTGGCCGGGGGGACGAAGCGCGGACAGGCGAGCGTCGTGAGTGGCCGAAAAAAATAGACTGCGGGTGCGCCGCGCGCAGCAGCAGCGTCTGGTGGAGACACGCCTCGAACTTCCGCTGCCGCTGCCGCTGGTGCTCGTGCTGGTGCTGGTGCTGGGCTGGCGCTGTTCCTGCGAGGTGCGCGGTGCCAAGGGCCAGGCGCCCGGTGCGAATAGCCTCACGAACCACGCAAGAGGGGTTGGGCAACGATGGCGGGCGGCCCGGCAGCTCTGTCTGCGCAAAAATGCACTGGATGCGTCGACACAGACAGCTTGGCTACGGCTCTGTATGCCGCGGAGAGCGCTGCACAAAATGATGACGGTTTGGCGATGGCACAGATGCGGCGACGCGGGCAAATCGATGCAATCTGGCGATGCGCCGTGTTGGATTTGGGTGATGTGGGCGGTTGGGGATGGTGAAGGAGTCAAAGTGGAAAGGAAAGGGGGAGAGAAAATTCGAGGGGGGGGCGGCGATGGCGATGGGAGGATAGGAGGATGGGGCTGGAATTTGGGGATGGCTACAACTTTCGGAACAACGAAACAACATTTCTTATTCCACCTGCGCTATAAGGACGGAAAACCGGGGCACGACGGCTTAATCAGGTAGAATAACTCGAATGACGGCCTCAAGTCATGGCTTGACTAGACGAGAAACGAAACACCAGAACCAAGGATCTCCAAGAGCTGCAACGACAACAACAGGGGGGAGGTGGGTGAGGATGACGGGCGAAGGGGCAGGAGCGGAGGGATGGCCTACAGGGCGTGGCATGGGAAAGTAAAGCAAGAAAGAAACGTAAATGGGGTCACTGGATGCACAGGTCAAGCGTGGACAAAGGGAGAAGAGAGACGGAGACGGGGCTTGCCTGGAGAGAATAAAAAGGTGTCAACTGTGCATTGGCAAAGCCATCAGACTAAACCAGAGGAGAAATGATAAAACACCAGGCCGCGTCCAAGATTGGCGGCTTGGGAGACGGCTGGGAGCCTCAGGTCCGACATTTGGATGGACATGGGCAATACAGGAAACCTCTGGGGGCGGGCCATTGCGGGCAAGGTACTCGGTACGGACTGCGGACTACGGAGTACAGACATGGGAGGGCTCGGTAAAGTGTCAAGGCACTTAAGCAGGTATTCATTCCAGGCACTTGGCACTTGGGCGCTCATTGCATGTATGTAGTTCCGGATGCTCCATTCTATCACTGTACTGTACATACTCAAGTACAATGCACATGCTTCCACAGGCTCATCACTCACCAATGCAGCTGATACGCATCAGACCAGACTTGATACTGAGGACAAAAGCTGCTGGGGACCGCTGATTGACCTGCCCATCCCACCCCCCCCAAGTGCAGAAACAGGCAGCCTGGCGCACTGGGTTGAGCCGAGTCGGATTCAACGGTGCAGCTCGTCAACGTGGAACTTTATCATAAATAAAGGGCACATGTGGGGAGACACAGAAAGAGGTAACGAAGAAAGAAGCTCAAGCCAGGTTGGGGCCCTCCCCTCCCCCCCTCCATGCAAGATTGTTCACCCGTTTTCACTCGGCGTATACATGCCGGCCAATCACAGGGCGCGCCGCTGCCGATGAATTGTGCTCAATGCTGGCTTGTCAGGTTCTCGATGACACCTGAAGGGGTTCGGGCAAGGGGCGTGCCTGTTTCTAGCTTAGCGGGCCCAGAGGAGGTTAATGAACGAGAGATCCTGCCACCCCAGCTCCCCCCTGTCATCGTGTGTCACACTGCTGGGCGTCTGCCATCTGGGTCTACCGAGGACGGAGGATGCTGTGCACATGTGCAGAGTACTAGTACTCCGTATTATACCAGATGCAAGTGCCGAGTGCTTACTCTGTACCACGTAATTGTCTGTTGTGCGGCCACACCGACATGCTTTCTTAGTGCTGCAGCTGCGGCCACATGCTGCGCAAGACTTGAGCATTTTCTCGCCTCTGCTCGGGAGGAGTGCCCCTTGTCTTACCCGGCCCTCGTTAATTTTTTTAATGCTTGATGCCCCCAATAAGTGTCAGATTAGCGCGGCTCGCGCACGCGGTCCATTAGGCGACCATATTTGTCTGTCCCGCCAGCAACAAAAAGTTCCTTCCGCGTTTTGGTTGGGCAAGTACTACAATGCTGTGTGCATTTGCAGTATCCTGCGAACGACGTCGGGGGGGGATGCAGCTGTACAGTTTAGTGACCTGCTAGGTGCTATTTTCAATTTGGCGCATGCCCGGCATTTAGTAGTAGTAATATTGAACTGCTTGGGCAGACCCAACCAGACCTGACATGTCGCTCAATAAGTACCTAGGTAGGTTCGCCCGAGGATTGAAATTCTGACCCGCCCGGGTAATCACATGTACTTTACATGCTTAAGTACTTGAGTACTTGAAGTACTTTTCTTGTAGTACCAGACGACACTGCGCGAGTGCCCGGGAATAGAAGAGTGAGAAAACGCCGCCATGGGGGCTCCAAGCACATGAATCGTACCTCAGCACCTGTCAGATACCCAGGTAGGCACCTGATAATATTGAATATTCAATGCTGCTATTAACCCCTGCTGTGTCAGTGCAGGAAGCTCCTTGCCTTCCAAAGTTGCTACCCTAGACCCCAATACTACGATGTACCAAGTACTTAGGTACATAGAAACCCACGCACTAGGTCTGCGCCAAAACCTCCGAGACGTCGAATTTAGAGGGCCTCAGGCAAATGACTACAAAAATCCGATTCAGACGCGTGTATATATTTTTATTTGATTTTTTTCTCTCGTGTCTCTATACAGGTACGGTGTGCGGCTAGTTCTATCCCCTTCACTTCCCCGGCCCTATAAATAGGGAGGATAGTACATGCGGCCCGCTGGCCTGCAAGATCTGAGGGTGTTCTGGAAGCCTTTGGCAACATTGAATAAAAACGCCGGATCGACGCTAATGCAGGTGTGGCTGTGCTGGGCCAGTGCAGCCCCAAGCCCCAGTTCCCTCTAGCCTAAGTACATATGTATCCTTTGTCATGGGCTGCATAACCAATATCCGTGCATTGAACAAGCAGTTCTATACAAGAAGAATGCCGAGCAAGTACTACCCAAACATACGGCTTGACCGAATTTTCTATTCATAGAAAGCTTGCATACACGCGAAAGTCATTTCAAAAATGCAACACCACAAAATTTCATCTGCACTAGCACAGCAGGAAATGATAATAGGCTAGACGAGATGCGGACACAGAAATTTTGTTCGCACGGAGTATTTTGTGCTCCAACAAACCGACCCCGGGCTACTGGGTGAAAGCACGATGTAATGCTCATGACACAGGGAATTGATTTATATTTTTTAGTTTTCTTTCTTTCTATTACTTACATATATATACACGGTTTTTTTTTTCGCTTCGGCTCATTCTGTTCTGCTGTCTGCTGCAGGAATGACTTATGGTCCAAATGTACCAAGAATATGCCGGCTCACGTGTCTTGGCATCGCCTCCAAAGTATCTGGCTGCCCCACGACGCCAACCGCTACGTTTTCGTCAGCCATGACCGCAACCCCGACTGACGATCGAGACCACAGCGTCTAGCAGCTCAGAATAACCTCTTGATAACAACATGGACCCGACTCTCCTCATAGGAGATATTGTAGAGAGAGATTCGAAGGAGAAAAGGCCCGTTCGTTTTCCCGCAGTGCCGTCATCGTCTACCGGCTTCCCCTCACACAAGAGGCGCTGGAACAATTCTGCCTTCAAACAGCAACGAGCTGGGAATCTCGACCAGAAAGCCCCTGCATTCGAAGAGAATGAGAACGTTGACATACAAGGAACTGGAAAGCAAAATGATAATCCGTCGCAAGGCTTTGACCGGGCGGAGAGACAGCGTATCGACCGAGAAAACAGACAGAAATTGGCGGCCATGACACCGCAAGAAATCGCACAAGCACAGGAAGATATCATGACGGGGTTGAATCCTGGGCTTGTTCAGCGCTTACTGCAGCGCGCAACTATAGATGAACCAACTGGGCCTTCACCGTTTGATCTGCCGGATGACGTGACCAAGACCACAGGGCAAGCCGAGATCCCCTTGAGCAATCCTCCTTCGATCGAGATATCGGATTCCGAAAAGCCGCAGAATGTGCAGCCTTTGGAAGAGAGACATCAACCTGCGTCCGGCCCACATGGCAGAGAACCTGCAGGACTACCGTCGAAAAAGATTGCAGATGATTACGACGAAGATAAAGCCCCCTCTCAAATTCCAGCAGATTTATTCCCCATTAAAGAGCTGCCGAAGACAACGCACTTCCCTGTGCCGCCTAGCCTTCCAGATCTTGATCCTTCCGACCCCAACTTCCTGGCGACTCTCCATGAAAAATACTTCCCGGAACTCCCTGCGGACCCGAGTAAGCTTGCTTGGATGGCACCCCTACCCAGCGAAGATAGCACTGCGGACAAGGACTCAACGTATTATCCACACCCTGAAATTTCCGTATCAGCTCTGCGATTCGATTTCCGTGGTCGTTTTCTATCTCCAAGAGTGAGCCGCTCTATTGCTTCAACCAAAGGCCTGCACCACCACGGAGAGGCGCCCGAGGCTGCTGGGTATACCATTGCCGAGCTAGCACGCTTGGCTAGAAGTGCCGTACCTGCCCAGCGATGCTTGGCCTATCAAACCTTGGGAAGGATTCTATATCGCCTGGGCAACGGAGAATGGGGGAAAACCGACAACGACCCCATTGCCATGGGAATATGGGCAGCGGCGAAGAAGGGTAGAGTACTGGACAGTTTAATGGAGGCCGCTGCTGGTGAAGGTGGCCACCGAGGTAGCAGGGCATATGCCACTGAAGCCTTGTGGCTGTTTGAGAGAGGAGGCTGGAAAGAGAAGTATCAGGGGCGTTGAAGAAGCGTTCTAGAGTCAAGAGAGAGCCAAGGGCGAAAGGGAAAACAACAACAGCAACAGTTCCGACTAGTGGTTTAGGCATCAACAAAGACCCGCGGATACATACTACAAACAATGGTGGTGGAGGCACTCAAAGGCCGAATTGCCCACACTTCGGACGAGTCACAACTAGGCATGGGCCAATCATTAATGCGTCGAGCATTTTTGTAATGTCGCAACATTGGCCAAATTTAATTTTTCGATGCGCATAAGTTTTGAAATCACGAAGCATTGAAGGCGGGCATTCTGCATGACGGGTTGAGACAGGGTTCAATACATCCCTGGCAGAAATAGGACTCCAGCAATGCTTGTGTCTCCATATGCAGGTGTCAACATGCGAGCAGAGCGAGAGGCCGGGGAAGTAGGCAATACCAGCGATGGGCACTTGAGATAAACTGTTGTCCGGCTCAAACGATACTACGTAGTGGTGTCCCGCCATGGGTTAAATCAATTGACCCCGGCTGTCTCCCGCTGGGCTGGCTGCTACTGGGCCGAGAAACAAACCAGACCGATTTTACTTGCCAGTCCAAACAACTTGCCTGCTAGCTACTTATGTAGGTTCGCAGCGAAAATGTACAAAGTATCTAGGTACATAGATTATTCAGTCCAGATTCTGGTTTTGGATATGAAAACAGCCACATCCGACCCAAAAGGAAGTAGTAGTAGTAGCTAGCTATCGTCATTCTCCAGCCCCCGATGTGTGTCTTTAATATTTGTGGGAGGTGTCGTTGGAGGAACGAGCGGTACTCTGGTATTGGACACTGCACAGCGGGAATGGTGTACTCGCCCGCCTTGATGCATGCCACGTCTTGTCAGGTAAAGTACCGATGAAGTTGGATTGGATGGTGTGTGGTGGTTGTGTGGATTGTGGATTATGGACTGTGGACTGAGAGACTGCGGACACTACTCCATATGTATGTATGTACTCTATCGGAATTGCCAATGGCCAGTCAGACCGGCAAACAATAATCCATAAAAATATTGTATGCTCCAGTGATGATTGGTCCTGATGGTCGTCAATGTGCTCAACGGTGGGACGGGGACGGGGACGGGGACGGGAACTGGCTGTACGGTACGGAGTAGTTCAGAATAGTGTTCACATATTGACTTTTTTTTTTTTTGGCTCAAAGTTGCACCGGGACTTGCGCTGCGGCGGTTGGGCTGCTTGCACCGGCACTGGCGCGACTTGGTTGAGTTGGAAGTTAATTAGTAAAAGAGATGGACCCTCTCTGGAAAGGTTCGTTGACAAGTCTGCAGTTGGGACTGGGCACTCATAGCAATTGATCTAGGTGCACTAGACCAGACTTCAATGTTGACTCTCCGTTGCCGGCCAGGCATTGCAGACCGTGTACAGAGTAGTAATTGGCCTTGACAGGCTTCAATACCAATTGAAAGATTCTGCTGCATTTCTGGTGCAACTGGGCCTGGGCCACATGCAGTCTGGTGAGGCAAGACGGCTCCAGTGGAAGCATAGTGAGTGATTGGAGATTTTAACAACAGTGCTAACTATACTAATACTACCAGACTAGTACTAGCACTAGACTCGAGTTGACCCAAAAAAAAAAAAAAACACCCGATCAGAAAACTGTGCCCGCATTTTCGCCTGCCCTTGTCTTGCTTCCCTTTCTCCCCATCCCAGCCCGACAGCACAACGGCATCGCCGCCGACGTCGCCAATTCCCGTCCTCCCCCCTCTGGGTGCTCGCCCTTTGTTCCTTGTACGCCATTCTCGCTGCAGCCTGTTCTTCTAGTCTTCTTCTCTCCGACGTGTAGAAAACCTTCCTGGCCTTTGCCTACTGTCGCCGCCAATCCCAGACCGAGTCGCTGTCTTCCTTGATAGACCGCCTTTCGCGTCGCCCTTTGCCCATTGCTCATCGCCCATCGCTCTTGCAAGCGGACGAATTCAACAGAGTGTCAAGTCTGCTTGAATTGACTTCAGGCTTTGCGGCTTTGCTTTGTTGGCCTCGCTATTTCAGAAGCGATCAGGGGACCGGTTGTCTGTGACGCCGCTCATACCGCCAAGCGACAAAGAAGGCTTTCCATCAGAAGCCCCCATCGTGCCCCATTAGCATCAGCACCGGCATTTGTGTCGAACTCGTTGGAACCTTGCATCTCGCCTCGGACCCCATCGAGAACAATACAGACGCTGTCATCGATCTCGTTTACCGATACCCTCTGTCGGCTTGCGAATCGTGACGAGCCTGCCCGTCTTTGCGAGTGCCAACCAACAGCACGGAAAAAGAAAACGAGAGAGAAAAAGGACAGAGGTCAAAGCAAAAGTCCCTGCACGCAATTGCAACAACGTTGCAACAGAACAACTCTACGAGCCACCCACGTCTACTGCAAAACGCAAACACGTTTGAGATCCTGTGACTTTGACTAGCCATGGCATCTCCCTTGCAGTTCGCATATCGGACCCAGAAGGCCATTGGTGTCTTCGACGCCGCTCCGGCCTACGAGCCTCTCGCTGGGTTCACCAAGCCCGAAGGAAATCTGCGGTGCAGCGCATACTCGCCCTGCGGCCGTTTCTTTGGCTGGGCCTCTCCTGAAACCGTCACTGTTGTCGATGCCTCGGCTGGTAACGTCGTTCTCGTCTTGCCCATCATCAACGTTTACGAGCTTGGTTTCTCCCCTCTAGGTACCTTTGTCATTACCTGGGAGCGGCCAGCCAAGGATGAGGCCGGTGACGCCACCAAGAACCTCAAGATCTGGCGGACAGTCGAGGACGGCGTCGCCGGAGCTGACAAGCAACCCATTGGACGCTTTGTTCAGAAGCAGCAGGGTGGCTGGAACCTCCAGTACACGGCCGACGAGAAGTACTGTGCTCGGCTGGTCACGAATGAGGTCCAATTCTACCAGAGCCACGACCTCGTCACCGTCTGGAACAAGCTGAGGGTCGAAGGGGCCGCTAATTTCGCCCTTGCGCCGGGAAGCCAGAACCACGCCGTGGCCGTCTTTGTCCCCGAGAGAAAGGTGAGTTTTCACTGCCACAAAGTGTGGTTAGCTTCCGCTCCTGCAAGGACATTATTGCTGACTTGCTCCTCCAGGGCCAACCCGCCGTCGTCAAGGTGTACAACGTCCCGCTCTTCCAGAACCCCATCTCGCAAAAGACCTTCTTCAAGGGCGACAAAGTCCAGTTCAAGTGGAATAAGCGTGGCTCCTCTCTGCTTGTCCTGGCTCAGACGGATGTCGATAGATCTGGCAAGAGCTACTATGGGGAGACTACTTTGTATCTGCTCAGCACCAACGGCGCCTTTGATGCTCGCGTGACCCTCGACAAAGAAGGCCCGATTCACGATGTGTCTTGGTCGCCAAATTCCCGTGAGTTTGGTGTCGTCTATGGCTACATGCCAGCCAAGGCTACCATCTTCAATGACCGAGCCGTCGCCAAGTACTCATTCCCTCTCGGCCCACGCAACACCATCACGTTTTCCCCGAATGCTCGCTTTGTCCTCGTTGCTGGCTTTGGCAACCTGGCCGGTCAGATCGACGTGTATGATCTGGAAAAGGACTATCGCAAGGTCTGCACTATTGAAAGCGGCAACCCCAGCGTGTGCGAGTGGAGCCCAGACAGTCGCTACATCATGACGGCCACAACATCCCCGCGTCTTCGTGTCGACAATGGCGTAAAGCTTTGGCACGTGGGCGGCAGCATCATGTATAGCGAAGATATGGTCGAGTTGTACAACGTTTTGTGGCGACCTTCGGCTCCTGAGAATGTGGCCGGTGGTGATCCGCTCAACCCTGTGCCCTCCCCCCATGCCTCTGCTGCTGCTTACCTTGGTACTGTGAAGACGCCCAGCAAACCTGCCGGGGCTTACAGGCCCCCCGGCGCCAGAGGTCTGGCCACGCCTCTTCACTTCAAGCGCGAAGACGAGGGCGGTGCAGCCCACTTTGTGAGCAACGGAACGCAGAACGTTGGTCCCAACGGCTTCGGTCGTCCTCGCCGTGGAGTCCCCGGTGCTGAGCCAGCCGAACCGTCGCAAGCCGCGGCGAGGGTTGTGCCTGGAGCCGAGCCAGTAGGTGAAGATGGCGCCAAGAAGAATAAGAAGAAGCGTGGCAAGAAGAATAACCAAGAAGGCCGGCCCGAGGCGGAGCCCAATGGCGGCGCTAGTCTTGCCCCCTACGACAATCGTGCCCCTGGCTCTGGTAGAAGCCCTGAAAGACGTGGCCCTGCTAATGGCAATGGTCGAGATCACAGAAGCCGATCCCGAAACAACGGAGGTAGCCGCAGTCGCAGCAATACCCAGCATGGCCAGCGTTTGAACCTTGGCCAGCAGAACAATTATTATGCGCAGCAGCAAGGCGGCGCAGCTGTTGCTGGCGCCGCGGCCGACGCCGGCCAAAGTGCCAACGCCAAGAAGATCCGCAGCCTTCAGAAGAAGATTCGTGCGATTGAGGATTTAGAAATGCGACTTGCTGGCGGAGAGAAGCTTGAAGACACACAAGTCAAGAAGATCAACACCAAGTCGGCTGTGTTGAGAGAGCTCGAAGGCTTAGAAAAGGAGGCTTAATCTTGTGACAAGATATCCGTGTATATATGGAATGGGCAATTTTTATCATGATGTGATCCCGGATGGAGCGGTTCCATGCAGGGGAGATTTCATCCCTACGTTATGTGTGGACATGCAAGCTGTGTCGGCAAGCAAAGCAAATTGAACAGATGCCAACATGATTGACGGACTCTGGATGTATGTATGACAAGAAGGAAGCTGTCTTTTTGTGTTTTGGAAAACCGTCAATTGCGTCACATCGAAAACATGGGGCGTCACAGTGGTGCATCCCAGCCTGCATCGGGCTGGTGTAGTATGATGAGGCAAAACTTGATCTCACGGGGTTGAGATTGAGGGGGGACAAATATTGAGAGTGGCATTTGGAGGGAGTAAAAAGTTGGAAGAACCTGCTGGTGTTTGATGACGGAGAATTGCATCTTGATAACCCAGCGAGTCGACAAGGTCTGAATAGAACGATAACACTTCATTGTAATTGGTGTCTTCTGAAAATGTAGAGATTTTGGTTGAGAACTGCCCATTGTGATGGTATTAAAACGTTGAAGAATTGTGTCAACAGCCGCTGTGAGTGAGTGCAAGGATGTGTCATAGGATTTGATGTCCTTGTGGAAGAGATAGATCAGTTGCTCATCCAGACGTCGCCTCGCGCAGCTCGACCAGGTGGCGAGACGGAGCGTCAACGCCAAAGTCCAACGCTACAACATATTTGGTTCGCAATAAAGGAGGGAAAACGTGTTCGAAGTCGTGTTGAAGCCGGTGCTGCGAAATGCTGACCGTGTGTAATTGTCCCAGGACTCGGTTTCAAATTGCAAAGAAAGCTTTAGATCCATAACGCGTAATAGTGCTTGCCTCTTCAACAATTCGCATCGATTCGATGCCCGGTTAGCTCAATCGGTAGAGCGTGAGACTCTTACGAGTACACGAAATCTCAAGGTTGCGGGTTCGACCCCCGCATCGGGCTGTTCCTATATAAGAACGATTGACAACATATTTTTTTGGGCAAATTCTTAGCAAATTGTCTTGCCCCCCCTCTTTTTTTTCCTTTTTCTTCTTCAACTTCTAGCCATTGATCGCCAGGGAAATTGGAAATTGACCGTTGGATATATTTTTCAAGCCGCGTGCTTCTAATTGCCGTCAGATGGTATCTCTGTGCCTATTCCAAGATCTCTCCCAGGGCAGGTCGATTGTCAGCATGGGATTCTCGCTGGACAGACGAATATGCAGCACGGCTGGGCTGCTGGTCAAGGCAACTCTCCTTTGGCGGTTCAACTCGTAGGAAAGAAGGTAGGTACTGTTTTAATGTGTTCATTTTTATTCATCTACTAATAACTGAGAGTTGTATGTTGTTCGACAGATATCGGTGGCCATGATGCAGGGCTTCAAAAGCAGGAAAATAGGATAATAAACAAACTCCAAGCAACGCTATGCGAAACCGCCCTCGGCGAAAACATTTGAATCCGAGCCGCCATCAGTCGCTCTGACCCGTATTGGACTCGTTCACTCTGGCGACGTTTTTCTCGGCGGCATCTCTGTCAGCCAGCATCCTGGCCGCCCTTCTCTCCATCCTGGCCACGCCCCTGGCCCTCTTCTCGTCCAGCTTCGCCTGGTCCTCTCGCAGCTGGCGAATGACTCTGCTCTTTGCGCGAATTTTGCCACCATATCTCCAGAACACAAAGGGGATAGGGATGATGGCGACCTCGAGCAGACCAAGCAGAGTGCCCGCCCACTGCGCACTGAGCACGCGGTACATTTGCGGGCCAGCAAGGGGCAGCGTGCCGCCGATTACGCTCCTGATGACGGCGTTGCCGGCCAGAGCGCTTGCGGCGTAGATGCCGTAGGCCCCGGCGAGGTAGTTGGATCCGTAGATGAAGCTGATTGTGTTGCCGCATCCAAAGGGGATGCCAAAGGCTATGGGCGCGGCCCAGTGGATGGACGCGGGCAGGCAAGTCCACGAAAAGCCAAGCTGGCCGACGGCCGTGGAGACAGCGCCAATGGCCATGATGGAAGCCTGCGCCTCGGGGTACGGCTTGCCCGTCTCTGGGTCTCGCGCCTGCAAGTTGATGATGTGTCGAAACAAGGGCTCGGCAGCGATGGCGGTCAGAGTGCCGATTCCGATTCCGCAGAATGCCAGGCCGGATATGCCAGGACCCCATCCCCTGTGCTGTGAGAAGACGATGGGGTAGGCAACGAAGCAGAGGTAGAGAATTCCGTAAATGATGGAGATCCTGTGCGTTTTCCGGGGTCAGCCAGTTTGGACACGCACACACACACACACACACACACACACACAAAGGATGCGCGAAATCTTCCGTACCAGAAATTCATGAACCACAGGATGGGCTCGGTCGCAAACAGGACGAATGGCCGGCTCAGGTTTACCTTGAGCAGGTGCAGAGTCGACACCCGTTGGTCGTACTGGCACCAGTACCGGGGGTCGTCCATTTGCCTGCGCATCCTGGCGGCCTTGCGCTGTAGAACCTTTGGCGCATACGTCTCCTTGACGGTGCACATGAGGGCAATGGCGAGGCCGGCCATGATGAGCACAATCCAGTTGGCCCAGCGCCATCCGAGGTATTGAAACACGAAGCCGCCGATGATGGGGCCCGTAACGGGGCCGTTGAGCGGTGCCACTCCGAAGAGAGACATGCTCCTGGCGAGATAGTCTGGGTTTGAGACATCGACGACACTGCCCGGCGCGTTGGAAATCATGACGGCGCCAAAGAATGCCCTGCACCAAGGATTTGGTTGTTAATACAAACGTTCAGCCGGCGGGGGGCCATTCTAGTGGTTCGGAGGCAAATAAATAACACGCGGGGAAGAAAAAAAGAAAGAAAGAAAAAAGAAAAAAGAAAAAAGAAAAAAGAGAGACGTACCCGATGAAACGCACCACGATAATGGTGGTCAAGGAGTTCGCCAGACCGCAAGGGATAATCAAGACGGCCCACAGGCAAAGACACACAATGTAGATGATTTGGCGGCCGTACAGCTCACTCAAGGGAGCAACAACCAGGCTGCCGGCAGCGAGGCCGAGGAGGTACGTGGTCATGCCAAGCGTGACAATGGTGGTTGTTGAGCCAAACTCTTGGATCAAGCCGGGCGTGGATGAGGTATAGCTGGTGCTGTACATGGTGGCAACCCAGGTGGCAAACGACACACAAAAGATGCACCAGCATCTGTACCACAGGGGCCAGTTCCTGGGGTTCTCGGGGTCGTTTTCCTCAAAGTACACCTCGTACTCTGGCGGACGGGATGCGGTGCTGCCGATGCTGGTGCCGGTCCTGGTGTAGGTGATGGGCTCGCGGGCCATACGCTCGGCTTCCGTCTCGACATCGGGCGTGATGCAGTGGTCGAGGTTCTCATACGGGTCAGTGGCATCCAGCCGTTGAGAAGCATTCGACGGCCGGCTGCGGTTGGTGTACGAGGGTTTGATGGGCTCGAGCCGAGGCGACTCGGCGTCAGACCAGGAGCGGGAGGTGGACGACGGGATGGTATCGAGCTGGTTTCCGTCACCCGCGGACGTTGCTGCCGGTGCCTTTTCGGGATCGGGAGCCATTTGTCGGACCAGACAGCCTTTGGCTGTCGAGACTTGGTTCTTTTAGGTGCCCAGAAGGACGCAGGGTCGGTTGATGTCGGAGCCGGATGTATCTCTATGCTTTCCACAGCCGTGGAATGGGAGCCGGTGGGACATTGGGCAGAAGCGCAAGATAGACAACAGCACAAGGGACACGGGGGTTGAGAAAGATGGAGGTTGGAGAAGAAGAAAAAACCCTACGCGCACACGAGGAGATGTTGAGAGACGAACCAGGGCCGGGCCGTACGTCGGACTGAGATTTGGCACGAGCACGGACAGACGGGACTGGTTGACGGGAACCGCAACCGGAGCAAAAAAGGGAAGAGCAACAGGAGCAACAGGAGCATGAATAGGAATAGCAGCAGAAACAGGGATGGAAATGGGGACCAACTCTTGTACATGCATGCGTGTGTAGAACGGGATGGGGGAAGCTGTATCGTACGAGTCACATAGTCCGAGGGGACAGACAGAGAACACGGGATAAGGAGAAGACGAAGAAGAAAAACCCTGAGGGTTACATTGCTGGAATGCTGGCTACAGTATTGCGAAAGGGCAGACAATTGAACTACCGTTTGCGGCCGTCATGGATCAATGAATGAACGGATCATTGTTGTCCACGGGTTGCGTCGGACATAAAGCGGAGACTTGGAATTTCCTAGGTGGGACGGAACCGAGTCCGCCATTCTGACTCGCCCGAGCATCTGGAGCGGTGTGGCCCCCGAGCCGCCCAAGTGGGTTCTCGTGTCGAGCAGTCCGCGGAATATCGCACCAGGGCCGACCACGGAGTCTATATATACTTAGGTATATATACGTGGCTAGTCCACTTGGTTGCCAACGGATATCTCGACAGACAACCCTATTTATCTTGCATCCTGACCAATTCCCCGTCTCGCCGTTCAGTTGTTACGAGGATGGCTGCCCGACAGGATGTGCGTTGCCGTCGTTGATCTATTGCCTGCGCCGCTTTTTTTTTTGCTTTTTTTTTAATAAACCCTTTAAGATTAGATACTACTACATTATACTGTTATCAATATATAAAATACTATGTCGAGACATAATATACTATTATCGAAATACAATATACTGTTAGCAAGATAAAATATACTGTTATCGAGATACACTATACTATTATCGAGATACAATACACTGTGTCGAGATACATGATCCTGCTATTGAGATATATTCTAGACTATCGCGGCACGTTCTACCATTGGCCAATCCAGTCTTCCCGACGCCCTCTTCTCCAACGCCCTGGTCATTCTGAATTTCTGATATTCCATCACGTATACTTTGCTGTATCCGTACATGCGGATGGCGTCGAGACTCCGTCCTACCCTATTGCCCTGCCATCTTTGTCAATATCCATCCATCCTTGGTCAATATCAGATACAACTGACGCCAGTCATATACACATGTACACTGGAAGGTGCAA